GGGGGGGGGTCCGGCTTAGCGGCTGCCACACTCCAGGCGGCCTCGTGGTCGGAGGGTGGTTGAGGATATAGTGGCGGCAGCGGGAGATGTTATTACACCGGGTGCGCAGGGGTGGGCCCTCAGGCGGATGATGCCTAGGCCGTGCAGTATCCGCCAGAGTATCCGCCAGGCACGAGGCGAGTAGCGGCCGGCACTGCTGGGCTGGGCACAATGGTTCGCGGTGGTTGGCTGGCCGAAGTTGGAGTGGGCGCGGAAGTGGGAGTGGAGGTGGAGGTGGAGGTCTCTGTCGCAAGCGAAGAAACAAACACGGCACAGACGACGCAGCTGTGTTTCTCCGTATTCTCGCACAGAGGCGGACGGACAGACTGCGACGGGTATGGGACTGTTGGCATGTTATAGCAGCTAGTCGACGCCCGTGTCGCCCGTCTCGCGTGCTTCTGTTCTCCAGATCAAAATCTCCGCCATGGCAGGCAAAAACTGCCGCGGATGCGCCGAGCGATGGATGCAACGGCGCATCGTCGACTTTGCCTCTTTGAGGCCGAGGCCGGGCGGGCACCTGTGGAGGGCACCTATGGAGGGCACCTGTGGAGGGCACCTGTGGAAGCGGGTAATGGATGTGTGCGTGAGGGTAGGGTAGGTGGGTGTTTGGTGTTTGTTTGCGTGCTTGTTTACGTGTTTGCGTGTTTGTGCCGGCATTGGGCTTCCTTCTGCAGGCCCCCTTCTGCGGGCTTCCCATACAAATTGCCTCTTTAGCCTCGAAATTGTCGACGACAGCAGTCCCGTGATGGGCTGCTGGGGTCGGCCGCGACTGCCCGAACAGACGGCCGATCTATCCGTCGTGGGTCCGGGTGGGGCCGTGTTCCTGGTTATGAGGCTGTCTAGGCCCAAAGGGGGAAAATCCAGGCGAGCCTGGGGCGCGCCAAGAGGAAGTCGTCCAGGGGTCCAGAACTGCGGTTTGTCTAGGCCGCGCCTTCCCTCAACGCTGGCAGAAATGCCCCAAAGTGGTAGGATAAACTTTTGCCTCTCTCCTGACCGGCCTGGCATGATTTCCCTCCGCTGCCCATGTTTCGAACCGAGGCCGGTGCCAAGCCAATGGCTCCCGGCAATGGCTGTCCCATTGGTGCCATTTGGCCTGGTCCCATCAAGACCAGACGAAGTCCTCCACAGTAATAGCGAAGCTTCTTCCTCTGGCTGTAGCCTTGATTCCTGTCTCTATCCACAGCCTCGAAGCTTGGTCCCGGTCCTGTTGTGTGTTGCTACACTAAAGTACAGCACCCTGAAGTACAGCACCCCCAGCCCCCTTCGCCACACCCACCCGTGTGAGCTGTCTGAGGCTCGCCAGAGTAGCATCCGGCCTCGACCCTCGACCCTGACTGGTTGTCTGACAGTTCCAGCCGCTGTCCGTCAACCTTGCCATAGGGCAGACAATCTCAAATCATTGCCATGCCCTATTCCCAACCTTATTATTAGACGGCGACTCCAACCGCATCGAGGCCGGCCCGACTCGTCCCTCCCCCCTTCTATTAGTCTTCTTTTAGTCTGCCTTGCCTCCAGTCATAAGCCCCGGATTGGCATTCGCTTCTCTTCTTTCTCTCCTCTTGGTTCCCTACTCTTTCTTCTCCTCCTTCGACCGGCTCCTTGTAATCTCGCGCGGCGTGCGGGCCATGCACTTTTTCTCCAGCTTTATCGGCTTTGACGTTGCCTTCGCATTTCCCATTTCGTTCAGGTAGACGTGCCTTGTCTTGCCAGGTTATATATTTTAGTTTTCGGCTCCCCCGTGTCCCCTTCATTTCAATTCCCGCTTTTGCAGCTAGGCCCGCTTCATTCGCCACCCCGCGGTCCCCGAGAGCTGGACTCTGCCCATCGATTGGGCCACGCCACCGTGACTAACCGCCTTCGCCGCCGACTACCTCCCCGGCCGCCAACATGAACGCCGGCGCCACCCTCCGCGCCTCCATCATCCGGACCTCGATGGTCCCCGTGCCCTTCGACAGGGCACGGAGTGATGCATGGAGCAACGATGTCGAGGGCCTGCCGCGCGGGACCGCCCGGACTGACGCCAGGTCGGCCGAAAAGGAGGGCGGCAGTGACATTGACATCGACGACGGAGAGCGTCAGCGCGTCATTGGCATACTGCAGTACCTCGAGTACAAGACGAAGTGCGAGTGGGAGCGCGAGCGCGGGGCCGCCTCGGCTACCATCGACGACACGGATAGCATCTACAACCCCAAGGGCGAGGTCCTTCAGATCGATGTCGAAGCATCCGCAACCGGCCGCATCTCGCGCATGTTCACCATCTTCCCCTACCGCGACGCCAACTGGATTGTGTCCATCGCCTTCATCCTCGGATCCACGTCCTTCACCGTCAACGCCTTCCTGGGCATGCTGCCGGTTTGGTACGACCCCACCACCTTGGGTCCCGAGATCGCGACTGCCACCGTCGCCACCCTCGACGGCGGCGCCGCGCTCTTCGTGACGGCCGGCATGCTCGCCATCATCTCTGCCCTCAACGCCGACCGCGGTACGCTCGAGGCTCCCAAGACGAACAAGGAGGGTGTCGTCGTGTTCAAGTACCGCCCTGCCCTGCTCGGCAGCCCGTCGTGGTCCTGGGCCCCGCCTGCCGCGCAGTGTGCCGCCATCGCCAGCACCCTGCCCTTCCAGACCGGAGCGTTCCAGATGCTGGGCGGTATCATCCTGTCGACATCGGCTGTGGCCAGCTTCCCGGGCGTCTTGAACCCGCAGGAGAACTTCTTCCTGTTCCAGATGCTTGTCTTCCTGCCTCTCATCATCGGCGGTAGCATGTTCTTCCTGGCCAACATCACCCTGATGATCTACACCCAGGACGCCTGGTACAAGCCCAAGCCCGCGTCGGCCGATTGGCTGGGCTTGTTCTGGAGCATGGTGGCGTCGACAGGCTTTGCCCTCACCGGTATTCTGCTGATGATGGGCGACAGCTCGGGGGCCGCCTACGCCTCGCTCTACGGCAGTCTTCTCTTCCTGTGGGGCAGCATCACACAATTGTACTGCCTCATGGAGTTCCACCCCACTGGTTGGGCGGCCTAAGGCCTGGCAGGCTCGACGAGAGGGGGGGGAGGAGGAGAGGCATATAGAAAGAGTGAAAAGAAAAAGCAACTAAGAAAGAAAAAAAAAGAGAAAAAGAACAAAAAACAAGGCCAGTCAGAAAGCCAGCATGCATGTATTACGATGTGTAGGACTAGTTACGAACCTAGACTCTTACGTTTGGCTACCGACTTTTGAGTCACCCGCATCCTCGTGCGCTTGTCGGCCCAGGTAGGTAGGCTGCACGTCTTAGCACAACATGGTCGCTTTTCTGGCTGCACCTCCATCGGGTACCCCACGTCTTTATTGTTTGTACCAGTACATACTACCTACACATGTACATACTATTACCAGTCCTGACAGTGGGTGGCTTGCATTAGAGCCGCGCGACGAGCCTGCCGGCTCTGGTCTCCAGTGGCTTGGGAGAGAATCGTTCCAGAAACCCCGTGCCCCCCTCCCGCTTGTGGCACGATCGATTCCGCTCGAACTAGACCCAAATGGGGAATTTGCTGCGGCGGATCCTGGGGGGGTTGGATGGGTGGGGAGACTAGCCTACTAGCTCGGCACTTGCTCGTTCCATCTGGATTCCACCGCGCCAAGTGCTTGGCGAAAATAAGAAAACATGGCTGGCTGCAGGACGCCGAGATTTGATCCCGGTCAGATTGCCGTTTGCTCTTTGCTTCCCCCTTTCGGCAGGAACCCATGATATACAGGTACGTAATCCATTTATTTTAAACAAGCACCTAGCGCCAAGGAACCCCGCCCAATCATACAAGAAGAACATCCAAACCACCGGTCGGCGCGAGTTAGTGCTCGGGCTACCACGGGAAGGATAGACAAAAAGAGTTAAAAGACGAGGAGGGATGAACAGATAAAGGGAAGTGGAAAAGGGGAAAAAAGAGGAAGGACTTTCGGGAAAACGAAAAAAAAAAAAAAAGTGGGTATCATTGAACATAACAGCTTTACGGTAACGCGATACAACACGAAACAGTAACAAACGGCCGTAGGAACAAAAAAAAAGGTTGTAGGATGTGGGGGCGGGTAGCAACACAGGGTTTCCGCGGGCCGGCCAGCCTAATTGCCGCCGCCGCCGCCATCGAAACGCCTCTTTTTGTCGTCCCTGCGCGGCGGGCTGGGGGTGTAGTCGCGCGACTGGCGACGGCCGAGGTGCGAGGGGCAGTCGGTCGGGCCCGTCTGGCCGCCGGTCGTGCTGGCCCGCCGGCGCATGGATCCCAGCGAGCTTAGGTCGCTGGCGGAAAAGGCCGTGGGCAAAATGGGCGGGGGAGGCCGAACAGGAAGCGACGGGCCCGGGGGCCGCGGCTCGACACCCCCCGTGGACTCCTTTCGCGCAGACCCACCCCGGCCACCACCGCCCCAGCTACCGCCACGGCGGATGTACCGGCGGCCGCGTCCGTTTTTGGACTCCGCTGGCGAGGCGGGCGGCGCCTTGACCGCCGGCGGTACCACCGGGGTGATTACCGGCTTTTTGACGGGGACCGTGAGCGGCGTCGCTGGGGCCGCAGACGGCTTGGCCATGGGCAGTGGTATTACCGGGACGACGGCTGCCTTCTTGATGGGCGCCTTGACTGTGGGCGTCGCCGTTGGGATGGGCGCCGCAGCAGCAGGCGGTGCCACAGGAATAGCTGCTGGCTTGGTCGTGGGCGTCTTGGCTGCGGGCGGTGCTGCAGGCGCCTCTACGGTAAGTGGTACCACCGGAACGATGGCCCTCTTCTTGATGGGTGTGGGTGCGTTGGCCGCGGACGTTGCCGTTGCCGTTGCCGTTGCCGTTGGGATGGGCGCGTTGGCTGCGGATGGTACCGCTGGGATAGGCACCGCAGTAGTGGACAGTGTTTTGGCCGTGGCTGCCTTTTTGGTGGTTGCCTTCTTGGGGGTTGTTTTTTTCGGGGTCGTCTTCTTAGGGGCTGCCTTGATGGCAGGTACCTCTGTGCTAGGCGTTTCGGGGATGGGCGGCTCTACGGTCGACCCTGAAATGAACAGCTCGGTGATATCAAGCTCCTCGACTGACGACTCCTCTGCGGGCGGCTCAACGGCAGGCGGCTCAATGGCGCCAGCGACATGAGTGCCCGTGGCGAACTCGTCGGGAAAGTAGGGCGCCCCCTCAATCATTTGGCCTCTGATGATGCGGTTGCAGATGCCGCTGACGTGCGCGCGCAGGCCCCGGTGGTGCGTCTCGAGGCGGTGGCTCATGGTGTCCTCGCTGACGCGATAGAGCACCCGGAGCTTGTCGTCGAGCCGCGTCAATATGTAGTCCACCATCTGGCTGTTCAGGTGCACCAGACCCCCGCCGCTGCGAGCCTCCTGGTACCGCCGGACCGCGGCGTCTATCGAAGTCGCGTGGGCAGCCTCCATGTCCTGAATGATGCGGCGGAACACGTCGTTGGCGTCGTTGGTCGGGTGGCGCGTCGAGGCGAGGTGCCTGCTCCAGTCGCTTTTTGCAACCGCGATGGCGTCCGACAGGATGCGCGCCGGGTCCTCGTCGGGCTCGTCGTCATCTCTGGCTCGACGTGGTGGCATGTTTGCGGGTGGCAGGACAGGGGACAGGCAGGATAGGCAGGATAGGCAGGATAGGCAGGATAGGCAGGATAGGCAGGACAGGCAGGACAGACGGGAAAGGTGCGGTGGGAAAGACAGAGGTTACGCTTAATAGGTTTTGTGGCTGCAAGTGAGAGATATCTAACAAAGCCAGTGTTGTTGTGTTTTTATTGCCTGCCTATTTCCAGCCAGCACAAACGGATGGGCTGGGTCGTCTCTTTTATGCCACAGCTCAGGCCAGGCAGAAGGTCGCAAATCAGCCGGTTGATATTTCTTAAAGGGAAGGAACGTCCGATATCTTGCTGTCAGGTCACTTGCTGGAAAGCGATATGATTGGCGGTTCAGGTCCCGGCGGCGCGGTTCGTCTGATGTTTGCCTGCACGCCTGCAGTTTTTTTTTTTGGAGAAAGAAATCCGCAACGTCCTGGATGCTATTTTTCTATTTTGGATTTGGCCTGTATGCCTATGCAAGGCTGACGGAGGAATGCCAGAGGGGAGCACGCAAGTGCGTGTTACAAACAGGCCTCTGCTCCGAAGGTAGGGCACCGAACAGTAGCACGTGACTTGAAGACTGAGGGGATTCACAAAGATCTTGGGTGTAGGTCTGGATGATTGCTCCAAGGGATACTTGGAAGCTAACTTGGGTTGACTAATGCCAGTGCAGCTGTCAAAGCTATTTAGGACATAAGGAGATCCTCGCTCTTATACCTTGGCTCGTTGGCCTTGACGTACGTACACAGACATAGCTCCCTTGCTATGCCTGCTATGTTTGTAGCAAACATAGCAGCTTTGCTAACATAAATCGGCACGTGGCTACCAGCGGGGTCAGGTCCTGGTGGCTTTTGGTCCTGTCGGGGGCTCCTACCTGTTGCCGTAACAGTGCGGTTCCACGGCGCTCACCGATTACGGGATCGGTAGGCTATACCCAAGCATCGCCTGCTTCACCCCTTTTAGATAAATCTCTTCTTCCTTTGCATATAAATTGGCCCTTAAAACCTTTCGTATACAAACGGTAGTTTTATATTAATGTACTATTCCTGCTTCCATTGCCATTCCCGATTTTATTATTCCTGTTTTTATTTTTATTTTAATATTCGTTCTTGGTTCCGTTCCTACCTCCATTTCTACTCTTATCTTCACTTTCACTTATTTCCCTGCGTGCAAAATAAAAAAGTCCAAACATTCCCAAGGTCCCAGGGAGACGTCATTTATCCCCATCGACCTGATAGCGATGCTGGGCGACATGTGGACAGGTGGGTAAAAAAGCCAAACTAGGAGGTTCCAAACCTCAGATCGCCACTGCTTGGCTTTGGCCATGTGCGCCTGGGAAACGTGGATCGGACGGCCGGCGTGAAAGAGTTTCTTGTAACGCCTTTCCGCCTCCCCCATGGCCACCACTGTAATGTGCTGCACCAACTCCGGCACGTCGAATTCTGCAGCATCCGTTTCGTAGTGTCGTATGTTGGAGATGGCGCTGGCCAGGGCGATGATGGTCTGGCGCAGGGCAGGTATGATAGCGCCCCAAGCCGGGTCCTCCCCGTCGTGGACGAGCGTTAGATCGCGGAAGTCGCGCGCCAGGATATCCATGATGAAGTTTTCCTGCGCAGCGCCCCAACCATTTGTATCGAGTATAGTGGCGGCAATGTCCGGGATGGTCTTCGGAATCCGGCCCTTCGTGAAGTGGTCGACCTCGTTACGGACGGAGGCCGGATCCAAACCCATGTTATGGCACACCCAAAAGATCATGTGGGCACTCGCTTGTGGGTTTCTCGCAGCGAGCGTGCTGAAGATTTGGATCGCATCCTCGTGGTGTTCCGGGAGGAGTCCCAACGGATACTCGAGGCCCAGGTGACTGACCACACGCGGTAGGACGTCTATGTATCTGTTTGTCATGACGGCGCGGCGCACGGCAGCGATGGGGGCGACCATGAAGCGCACCTTTGACCAGCATGTATGAAACATGGCAGGCGACAACTCTTTCTTGACAAAGCGCTCGGCACGGTGGATGAGGTCGAGAAGGCCAAGTAGGTCGAGAGGATCGTGTGGTTCGTCATTGAGGGCCGACTTGAGCATGAGCCTGTGCAACTCTAGGGCGTGCTGCATCACGGGGGCCATTCCTTGACTTTGCAGAGTCCGCAGCAAGTTGTCGGCGTAGGTGAGCATCTGGCGGAGTCGCGGCCTTGTTGTAAGCGCCAGGTCGGTGCTGACGGGCGATGGTGATGGCTGGTGACTTGACATGGCGATAATTAGGTCGTTTCACTCTTGCTTGTGTAGCTGTTCGGGAGCCTGCTTCTGCTATGCAATGGTAATTCTGGGTGCCGTCTAGAGGAAGCAAAACCCCGGTTTAAAGTGAATGTCTACCATATCCATCTCCGCCATGTGTGCTGAGCAGGCGTCGTCATAAGGTTCCTCGATAAAAGCGCCCCTTGAACGGAAAAGGGTTGGGACGCCCATCGAGCGGTACCCGATACGAAGTCATCTATCAAAATCATGGCTCCAAAACGCCCCAACGGTTTGAACCCAGAAGCAAAAGGCGTCGCTCGAGGCCAAACCCCGGACCGAAGTGGTGGTTGACGTCATCAGACATGCTGGAAACGGACGATTGGGCCCAAGTCTTTGGGCACACGTTGTGAGTTGGAGTCGAGCCAAAAAGGTGTCGCGTCAGCAACACGCCAGTGTCGCGAGACCACGTGACCCACCAGACTCGGCTTAGCGCTTTAGCGGGGTTGCGGCGGGCGCCAGAGCCAAGAGATTGAGTAGGAGCAGCCATCACAGCAAAGCGGGCTCGATGCCGCTCACAGTTCAGACGTCCAAATCCAGCGAGGCCTTTGCCGCCAGCCTAAACAAGCCACACCTGCCTGCCACAACACGGAGTCACATCCGCACACCCCCACCAGACAGACCGTCGAGTCTAGCCAGCCAAGACAAGACACAGCAACCTGACAGAGACCACGGGCCCCCTTGTCGTCGTGTGGCCCCGCTCCCAAGGTCGAGGCGGGTTGCGTTGCGCTCTTGTCTGCGCCGTCCCCGACGTGGGAAGCCGCCGACCACACCGTCCCGACGACCGGTGCAGCAACTCCCTCCCCTCCTCTCCGTCTTGCCTCCAGGGGCGTTGGTAGCCGCGGGCAACACATACACACCCAACTGCCCGCCCAATGAGGACGATCCTCGCCAGCAGCAGCAGCAGCAGCGCGACATCGGACTCTCGGCCTCGGCCTCCGCACCCTCCCCCTCCCACCGCCGCAGACACCACCAGTCGCCGCCATGTCTGAGCCGACCAACTTCCGCGAGAAGGCGATACAAACGGTCGGCAAGGCCGTCGAGGCCGACAAGGCGGCCGCCAAGCTCGACGGCGTCGCGCGCGCGGCCCAGTACCAGACCGCCTACGACCTGTACATGGACGCGTTCGAGCTTTTCATGAAGGCCATCAAGTGGGAGAAGTCGCCCAAGATCAAGGAGATCCTGCGCGCCCGCATCGGCGAGTACATGGACCGCGCCGAGGAGCTCAAGGGCTACCTGGCCGACGCCGAGGGCAAGCGCAAGAAGCCCGGCCTCATGGGCGCCAACGGCTCCAGCACGGGAGGCACCGCCGACGGCAAGGCCGACGACGGCGAGGGAGGGGCCCCCAAGCTCGACGACGACTCTAAGAAGCTGCGCAGCGCCCTCGCCGGCGCCATCCTGCAGGACCGCCCCGACGTCAAGTGGGAGCAGGTGGCCGGACTTGAGGCCGCAAAGGCCGCGCTCAAGGAGGCCGTGCTGCTGCCCATCAAGTTCCCCCACCTTTTCAAGGGCGCGCGGAAGCCGTGGAAGGGGATCTTGCTGTACGGCCCGCCGGGCACGGGTAAGAGTTACCTGGCTAAGGCGCTGGCGACGGAGGCCAAGAGCACATTTTTCAGCGTCAGCAGTTCAGATCTAGTGAGCAAGTGGATGGGAGAGAGTGAGAGGTAGGTTTTCTCTCTTCTTTTTTTATTTATTTATTTCCTTCCCAGTCTTGGCGCTGCGACAACACTCCAGGAGCTCACAACCAAAACCAGGCTAGTCAAGCAGCTTTTCGCCATGGCGCGCGAGAACAAGCCGTCCATAATCTTTATCGACGAAGTGGACGCGCTGTGCGGCCCCCGTGGTGAGGGAGAATCCGAGGCTAGCCGGCGCATCAAGACGGAGATGCTGGTGCAGATGGACGGTGTCGGCAAGGACAGTGAGGGCGTGCTCGTGCTGGGCGCCACAAACATCCCCTGGCAGCTCGACTCGGCCATCCGCCGCCGCTTCCAGAAGCGCGTCCACATCAGCCTACCCGACGTGGCAGCCCGGGCCGACATGTTCAGGATCTCGGTCGGCGAGACCCCGACGGAGCTGTCGTCGGAGGACTACAGGAAGCTGGCGCTCAAGTCGGAGGGCTTCTCGGGTAGCGACATAGCCATCGTGGTCCAGGACGCCCTCATGCAGCCCATCCGCAAGATCCAGCAAGCAACACATTTCAAGAAGGTAAGCTGCCCTGTCGTCACCTCGTGCTGCTGCCTCCCCGTCGTTCCCCGAGCTAACCCCCTTCACAGGTCCCCTGCAAAGTCAAAAAGGACGACAGCGAACAATACGTCGACATGGAAAAGTGGACGCCGTGCTCGCCCGGCGACAAGGCGGCGCAGGAGATGACGTGGGAGCAGGTCGAGTCGGACGAGCTGCAGGAGCCCTCGCTCGACGTGCGCGACTTTGAGAGGTCCCTGGCCTCGAGCAGGCCAACCGTCTCGGGCGAGGACCTGAGCAGGAATTCGGAGTGGACCGCCGAGTTTGGAAGCGAGGGGGCTTAGCATGGCTGTGTGCGTGTGTGTGTGGGAGTGTGTGTGTGTGTGTGTGTGCGTGTGCTTGTGTTGTTGTTTTCTCCTCCCCTTGTTTCTTTTGCTAGACTTTCTGTTCTTGACGCTTTGGTTGTTCCCATTTCTTGACAAGCCGTCGAAAGCAAAAAGAAAAGAAAAGAAATATCACGAAAGAGGTCGGTTTACAACAAGTTACACCTATAATAAACCCAAGCACAGATCTCAGCATTGGAGTATGGATGGCATTCTGTTCTTTGTCAAGAAAGCGAAGAGGGAAGAAGTGTTGCCCACACGCGAGCATAAATAACGGCAACGTCCAGGCGGTAGATTTTTGTTCATTCCATCTGTCTGTAAATGTGATGGGTATGATGTACATGTTTTGGAGTGAGAAAGAAAAAGCCCTTAACACCGAGAGACCCTTACAAATGAACCAGCCCACAAGAACTCCGGGATATGAATCAAGGGAAACGCACAGGCCGCGGACGCGAATCGATAGAGTTTGCAAATGCGAGAAAGGAAACAACCGAAGCCAAGACGTCGTCGTCGGGGGACGGCTCCTATGCGGCAACCTCCGACTTTCTCTTCTTTTTCTTCTTCTTGTCTCCGTCCACCTCCATCGCGTCCGGGTCTAGCGACTTGCGCTTCTTGTCCTTCTTGTCCTTCTTGCTGCCGTCCTCGTCCTTGGACTTCTTTTCCTTCTTGGACTTCTTGTCCTTGGGCGCAGCCCCGGCCGCCGCTGCCACGTGCGAGGCCGTGTTGGGGTCCAGCATCTCCGTGTCCACGTCCATGTTGCCGCCGTCGGCCAGGATCAGGTCCATGGCCGACTTCATGGCCTCGCTGTTCTTGGATGGCTTCTTGCCCGAGTTGTAGAACTCGAGCCTCTCCTCGAGCTGCTGGCGCAGCGCCTCGCCGAACCGCGCGCTCGGGTTCTCCGAGAAGTTGTCGATCCTGCTCGCGATGCTGCACTTGTTGGCCAGGAAGCGCGAGATGCGGCCCTTTTGGCGCGGCGCGGCGCGGCCGATGAACGTGCTCTGGTAGATCAGGCCGTACTTGGGCGTGTTTCCCTTGGTCTTCAACGCCCGGAAGAGGGCCTTCTCCGCACCCAGGATCTGCAGCGTCGAGGCCGGGTACTTGGACAGGTTGGTGAGCGAGCCGGCGTGAGAGATGAGGCGGGCGGCCACGGGGGTGCCCAGGATGACCTGCAGGTTGGGGGCAACGATGCCCATCTTGTTCTCGAGCGACTCGGACAGCACTTTCCTGTAGGCGGCCATGTTGGTGACGCTGGTGGCGAACGACTTGACCATCTCGACGTCGGGGGCCGAGATGTCCTGACCCATGGAGATCTTGGCAGCGTCGAGGATCGCCTGCGCCTTCTCGCCATCCTCGCTGAGGATCAGGGCCAGGTCGTGCAGCTTGCTGTCATCGAGCGACTTCTTGTCGCCGATGGCGAGAACCAGCTTGGCGTACGTGACGTTGTCCGAGACGATCTTGATGAGCTCGGGGAAGTGCCAGCCGTACCACTCGCGCACGCGCATGCAGCCGGCATTGATGCCCTTGTCGAGGGCGTCGAGGGTGGCGATCTGCTGGATGATGTGGTTGTCGTTGCGGTGCACGTTGAACTTGACCTTGTTGCGCGAGTAGGCGTGGCCGAGACCGAGGCTGCCGCGCAGGATGTCACCCTCGTGCAGGGACTTGAGCAGCTTCTCGGCGTGCATGCGGATGCCCCTCAGCAAGTCGGCCACCACCTCGGACGTGTCCATGGTCTCGCACTCAACGCCGGGGAAGAGGGCGCTAATCTCGCTCGCCAGCTTCTTGTCGGCCACGCCTAGCACGACCTTGGTCTTCTTGCCGCTCGTCTTGGGGAGCGTGAGCTCGAGCGCGTTCTTGAGGAAGTCGGTGACCAGGCCCTCGGAGATCTCGTTCATGTTTTGCAGACCCTCGTGGAACTCACTATTGGGGGTGGGCGAGGGGTTCGGGGCACGGGTCAGCTGGGGCGCATTGCAAAAGGAGCACGGGGCAGGCAGAGAGGGCGGACGCGGGCTGCGACAAGACAGATCGCGCTCACCCGGCCAGGATAGACGGAATTGCCGTCCCGGTGGCTGCCACGGCCTAGGGAGACCGGCGTCGAGCTTCACTTACGGCCACGGCGACCAATTCGCCAGCTTCACCATCTTGCCGAACTTGGACAGATCGGCCATCGAGTCCTGCACCTCCTTGAGGCGGAGGCCAACGCTGTCGGCCTGGTGCACCACCTCGAAGATGGCGTACCCCGCGGGGGTCTCGTGCAGGAGGAAATTGATTTGTGCCATTGTGCCGTATACCAGTCGCCGTATTGGTGTAGTGGTGCCCCTGTCGTGTTCGTTGCGGCCTTTGGTGTAGCGGCCGTCTGTCAAAATCACGAATCCTTCAGCTGGTTTTTTTTTCCCATCCGCGATCCGCTGCAATGAATTTTTTTTCTTTTCCCCTGCCTCAATGCATCCGAAGCTTAAGCTTGGAGCACGGACCGGCTGCAGTGGGGTGGGTCAGGTGACCAAGTTTTGCCGCTTGTCGCCGCTTTTGTCCCCTGGCCGCGGCACACTCCTTTCTCCGCGTTGCGCTGGGCGTGACTGTCTGGTGACGCTGAATATGGAAGCAAATGATAAGCAGCGAGGACTTAGCCTCGCCTGAGTGTATCGCTGCATGCTAAAGATCTATCTAGGTATTCAATACAAACAAAACAGACACGAACACACCGTGACAAACAACTCTACTGGCCCGGGAAGCCCTCGCGCAGGTTCTTGAACTCGGTCTGGGGGAACTCCCTCACGTTGTTACGCCGCTGGAGCCCGCCCGGCCCACCAAACACCCCCACGACGTTGCCAATCAGGCTCTCGGCCCCCTCCTTGTCGGCGCTGCTCTCCCACCACATGCCGCCGCCCAGGCCCCGCTGCCGGATGAACTCGGCCTTGCGCCTGGCCAGCCCGACCGTGTCGTACGACACCATGACCCGCCGGCCCGCGTCGTAGCTGTACGTGGCGCCCGACTCACCGTCCTCGCGCTCCTCGGCCCCCGCCTGCGGCAGCGCCTTGAAGTCGTACACTCCGGCCTCCCACGTGCCCTGCCCGATGCCGCTAAAGGGGGCCCCGGGCCCGTCCGTGTTTTCGAACGCGCGTCCGTACAGCGGCATACCCATAACGATCTTGCTGGGGTGGATGCCCCGCGCCACGTAGGCGTCTATGGCTGCGGCCGTGCTGAAGGGCGTCGAGCCCGGGTTGGAGTAGCTCGGGAACAGGTTGGCCTGGTGGCCGGCCGTCGAATCCCACGAGCCGGCGTAATCGTACGCCATCAGGTTCCAGAAGTCGAGCAGCCGGTCCATGCCGGGGAGATCCATGTTGTTATAGTTGGACGCGCCCGCCGGGCTAGCAACCGTCAGCTCAAAGTGGTATTGGCTGCTGAGGGTGCTGCTGTAGGCGTCGAGCTCGTGGCGGCAGGCCTGCAAGAGGGCAACGAGGTTCGCGGCCTCCTCGGCGTTCTGGGGGTACTCCCAGTCGATGTCGATGCCATCGAAGCCGTACTGCTTGACCAGGTTGACGGCAGTGCGGGCAAAGTTGGCACGGCCATCCGGAGTTGAGGCGGGCCGGCGGAAGTTGGACGAGTAGGTCCAGCCGCCGATGGAGATGAGCACCTTGAGGTTGGGGTTGTACTTCTTGAGCAAGTTCAGCTGTTTGAGGCAGCCGTACAGGTTGTTGCCCTCGTCGTTCCAAGAGTCGCCCTCGAAGTGGATGTCCTTGTCGGCCCACAGGTCCGTCAGGTACACCTCGCCCGAGTCGGGTCGGATGTTGGCAAAGGCATAGAGTACGTGCGTCAGGTTCTGGGCTATCAGGTTCTGCGGGAAGTGCTTGCGGCCGTAGATGGCCCAGTTGACGAAGTAGGCGACGGAGCGGTAGCCCTCAGGCATGGCGCCGGTGTTGTTGCTGTGGCCCAGCGGCGTCGTTTGCGGGGTTGTGGAGAGGGTGCTGTTGGATCCTAGGGGGGCGATGCCGAGGAGGGTTGATGAGATGGTGAATATGAGGCCAAAGAAGAGGGCGATGGAAGTGGCAAATATGACGCTTCCCTGCACAGAAGGCATGATGGAAGGAGACGAGAACAAGTCTCGAAAACGGCACTCAAGCGCTCTTTAAATAGCCGTGTTTTTTTTTTGGGACTCGAAGAAGTAACCACTGGAGGGTCCTCCTGGGGAGCGGAGCACAGGACCGTGGCAGACCGGCCCGCCAGCTACCGTTAAGGCAATGCAAGACAGGTGTGGCCACGCCTCTAGTGTGTCTCGTTGCTTCTCAGCGTCTCTCGCGCATGCCAAGTCGCGCAGGAAGCGTGACGCAAGTACTCATGCAGGGGCAGCACAAGGACGCGATGTGTGATGTGCCGGGCTGCTGGTGCTCTCCCGATTTCTGGTGTCGAATGCCGGCTGGACAAGTCGCTCCATCACACGCAGCCTGGTCGCTACTTGGGTCTGATGGTTGATTGGCCGTGTTGACGCCAGCGAAGCTACCTGAGCGCAGGACATGGATGGACAGAAAAAAAAACACAAACAGGCCAACAGGTTTGCAGGGTCGTCACAGCAGAGTGGAGGAGCCAAGATGCTGAACACGCCGTCGTTTGTGGCTTGAACCGAGTGCTGGTTGTGGCGAGACGCTTGGAGCGTCGTCGTCAGCGGCCCACCCCAACCGCAGCAACAGCCTGGGCAGCGCGTGCCAGGGATCTGGATCTGGGCAGGGGTTCATGTTGAATGATGTCTGGATTTCCAGGTCGGCGCAGTCGCCGTCTCCGCGTGCGAAACCATAGCATCGGGATCTGCCTACCACACCAGCACATGAGATGCGGCCGAGAAGCCTGCTCGGGGGCCGTTAATGGGCGCAAATATCGGCGTGGCGTGCGCCGGGGCCAGGTCACAAAGTTGCATGCCCGCCCACTTTCGCTGCGTTGGAGCCGGCCCTGTGTTTGGCTCGTGAGCCGTCGATGTCACCCTCCCTGGGGACCTGTATCAGCCGCCCGCCCACTGCCCTCCCCCGGTGCCCTCCCCCGGTGCCCTCTTTGATATGTCCCGGCCACCCATACGGAAGGCCACACGGCACCGACATCACGACAATCTCCAGTTTGGTACCGGGAAAACTACCAAGGCAATCCATGCCTATTCTCAGGCACATGCATCCCAGCATGCCCAGGCACATGCGTCCAGCAACGACAGGGCCATGTCACACAGGGCAAAGGCGACAAATGCAACGTCACCATGACGGCAAAGAACGGGTCAGTTGTTCGAAGTCGTGGTATCATCAAGTTCCCAGTCCATTGATTGCCAGTCAGAGCCGTAAAGAAAAAAAAACGAGCATATGCTACATCAACGCCTTGGTAAAGGGTCCGGGTATGTCATGTCCCGTCCCAGTGGTTTCCGTGCCATCCCATTTTTTCCCCCAAAAGAAAAGTTCGTCATCCCGTCGCAACCAAGAGCAGCTTAGTCCTTCTTGTCGAAGACGTAGGTCAGGTGGCAACGGCCGCAGTACTGGCGGTCCTGCATGGCGGCCATGAAGATACCGGCACCGCACTGTGGAAGTGAGGCGTATGTCAGCAGGCCGTTGCGCAGACGGGTAAAATGAGGTCAAGGCAGGGCAGGGGAAACTCACGGTCTCGTTGGGGCACTCGCGACGGAGGCGCTCAATCTTGCCGTCGCCGTCGACCTTGTAGTACTTCAGGACGGCCAGCTTGGTCTTCTTGCGCTTGTGCTTGATCTTCTTGGGAGTGGTGTAGACCTTCTTCTTGCGCTTCTTGCCACCGCCACGCAGGCGCAGCACCAGGTGAAGCGTACTCTCCTTCTGGATGTTGTAGTCGGAAAGGGTCCGGCCATCCTCCAGCTGCTTGCCGGCAAAGATCAGGCGCTGCTGGTCAGGGGGGATGCCCTCCTTGTCTTGGATCTTGGACTTGACATTGTCGATCGTGTCGCTCGACTCCACCTCAAGGGTGATAGTCTTGCCCGTGAGGGTCTTGACGAAGATCTGCATGATTGCCTGCTTTGGAACGGGCCACGTTAGGATGCGAGAATGGGACAAAGGGACGCGGCGCTGCTGCTGGACGTCGCGCGGGGAACGAGTGTGCGGCGGCTCGAGGTGGGCGCAGTGCGCATCCGGTACGCACCAGGGAAAACAAGGTAAGAGGGAAAAATGGCAAAATGTGGTGATGGGAACGCAGCCGCAAATTGCTGCGCGCCCAGTCGCCAGGTATCTCGAAGAAAGGATGCAGGGAAATCAGAGCGCGCGGGGGGAAAAGGAAGGAGAGCGTCCAGCAGCAGCGAAAAACATCATTCAGACATACCTAGAGAATATCTCTATTCCCGTCCTGGGCAATCTGAAAGGTGTTGTTCGTTGTCGAGAGAAGGAGTGGGAGAGCTTTTCGCAGATGCGGGCTGTGAATTGAACTTTGACTGGGAGCCCTCTGCTGGGCGGGTCGGCTGAGCATCACGTGTGCGGGTAGGGTTTCTATTAGCACCTGCCCTGGAATTGGACTGGGGCCGCCGCAAGCTGCAATTGGTCCGCTACTGTGATTATGTCAGGGACCACCGCAGCGGGGCAGCACACTTCAGCTCTCGTGCAGCAAGCACTAATTGAAATTCCTTGGGCTTGTCGTCCACTTGGAATCTTGGACCTCTCCAACTCCGTCAAGTGATAGCAGTCCATCACCAACCGCCAAAATGCCTAAGAAGAGAAAGAACAAGTCAGTGTGCCCTCTGCCTCTGCGACGACACCCAGCGCAGCGCGCGACGATGTTCTTACTAACCCCGACGTCTCCTTTCTAGTGGCCGCAACAAGAAGGGCCGCGGCCACGTCAAGCCCATTCGCTGCTCCAACTGCAGCCGATGCACGCCCAAGGACAAGGCGATCAAGCGCTTCACCATCCGCAACATGGTCGAGTCTGCTGCTATTCGTACGTCTTTCTGCCGAATTCCAGTACGCGCGAGAAGGAGACTTCTTCTGGCGGGCGCTCGCTGGCCGGCTCTGGCTCTACAATTCCTCTGCGCTGCCTCTGCGTGTCCCAGACAACCGCTGACCTCTGGCTTCTTCTCCAGGTGATATCTCGGACGCCTCGGTCTTCACCGAGTACACCGTTCCCAAGATGTACCTCAAGCTGCAGTACTGCGTTTCTTGTGCCATCCACGGCAAGATCGTTCGGTACGTGTTTGTCCACTACGGGAGGGACAACTGCTCTAGTGGTGCTCTGGCGGCTTCTGCTTCGGCAGGTCGCTGGGGCACACTGGATGCAGGGCTAGAGATGAACCTTGGCGAACTTCCACCCTCCCCTCCCCTGCTGTCGCACACACACGCTCGTTCTACAGGCAGCGTCGATGTCGGTGTCGGATGACCGTTGCGGTCTCTGGGCTCTCTCCTGCTTGCTCGGAGAGAGGGCCGTCTGACCCGACATTATGTGCTTCGGCACTCGTTCTCGGCCTTCCATCCGAGAACGAGCCACCAGCGTCCCGAGAACACCTGTGCTAACATGATAATCTCTAGTGTCCGCTCGCGCGTGGGTCGCCGCAACCGTGCCCCGCCCCCTCGTGTCCGGTACAACAAGGACGGCAAGAAGATCACTCCCACCCAACAAGGTGCTAAGACCTCCTAAAGGGTGGGTTGAACAACCTTGCGGAGCCGCCAACTCAATTGGCATGTGCATGACATGATCAGGGAAAATGGGATATGGGGGCTTTGGCGTCAAAATCATCTGGGCTTGCTTTGTTCTTGGAACGGCTTTTTCCTTCGGTAGACAGAATGGAGAGATTCCGCAGCAATAGGGCCCTGTCTTCCTTTGGCGATGCTACGTAGGGAAATTGATCTTCTGGTCATGTTGCTCTGGTGTGTGGGCTGCCGATGTGCCGTGTTGCTGTCTGGCTGGAGCGAGTGCACTGGACGCCATCTGCAGCAGCTTGGACTAGACGGCGCGGCCATGTGAAGCCCCCGAGCCAACGCACGAGCCCGAGCTCAGATGGTGCGGCGCTCATCTTGGACGGAGCGCACCAGCACTTTTTGCTACTGCTGATAGTCTCTAGGCCGACGACTTGGCTTCGGAATTTCTTTTGAGCAGGACGGGCTGTTCTCTTCTTCTGTCTCGCTCCTCTCGACATCTCGCAAAGGCCCGAATAAATACGCATCCAAAAGCACACCCGTCGCCAGTTGGAATCGCGGGGCGCCCTCCTCGAGGAGAGTTCTAGATCATGTTCTTTGAGCTCATCATCACCAGGCTGCTCCTGTGGAACTTTCTGAGGTATCGCCGTCTGAAGAGGCAGCAGCGCAGGAGCGTGTAGCAGGCAGAGATGGCGGACGGGACCGCGACGCGGCAGCCACGCGTGCGCGCCGCTGCGAGCAACGGCGCCCACAACGATGATACTCCCTCGCCGAGGCGTACACCCCGGAGAAAGATGCGCACCACCGCCCGAACCGCCGCCGCCAAGACCGACCGCCTCCTCATCAACAGCCGGGTGCCGGCGTGGTACAGCCAGCCGCTGATACGCACCGGCTACCGGCCCGGGACCAACTTCGTGGGCGGCCTGCCTGCGCACGCTGGGCGGCAGGCGGCAGCCGCACAACCAGACGGTCAACATCTACACGCAGCTTGTCCCGGCAGCTGCCTGCGCCGCGCTGCTCCCCCTCCTCCTCCTTTTCCTCCAGGCCCGGCTCCTCCCGGCGCCGTCGACGGCGGCCGGCAGACGGGCCTGTCGTACTACTACGCCGAGGGGCTGCTGGTGCTTCTCGGGGCGTGGCATTTCGATGTAAGTTTTGTGTGTTTCTTGTTGGCCTTTTTGCTTTTTATACCGTACTAACATGCATTACCACGCAGTCTCGTTTCCCCGAATGCTGGAAGCCCGGCAGGTTCGACATCCTTGGCGCGTCGCATCAGATCTTCCACGTCCTGATCGTCGCGTCGTCCGTCGTGCATCTCTGCGGGCTGGTGTCTGCGCTCCGCTATAACCACGAGAACGCGCGGTGCCCGCTGCTTGAGCTTGGGATGTAGATGCTCCCGGTTTCATTTTGTGCATAATGGGATTATAGATTGTACGGCCCAGTCAGCTAGAACGGTCGAGAGGAAACACACCCTCCAGAAACAGCGTTATAGCAAAGAGTCTAGATGAGTGTGTGCTGGCAGCGCATCATGTGGGTGCAAACGGCGTTTATCCACCCCACGATGGAGGCTGCAGGCGCCTCATGCACCCCTCCAACCGACATTTGGGGTCTTGATGAGTAAAGGCTCTAGCGTTATTGGCCTTGGCGGGAACGTGGCCGCGGAACAGGGCTCGGCGGTTAGCGAGCGAGCAGCGTCTTCGGCAATTTAATCGCTGCCCTCGTGATGCGATTCTCCATGGCAAGCGAGCCCAGACGGACGAGTACGTAACAGCTGGCGCGGGTTCGATCGGCTGAAATAGTGTTCCCTTGGCTGGGCCGCCGAGACAAGAGCATCTCCGCGGCGGCGCGTTTTCGTCCCAGCTCATTGAGAATGCCGCCTCTCACTCGGGCTTCCGGGGACTCGGGGTTCTGCTTCCACTACCAATTGGCAGCATCGCGATATAGCGTCTGATTCGGGGCATAAACGATGCTTATAAATGTGGCGTGGTTCCATTATACGGGATGCCCCCGATACACCATCGGGCGATAACCTGTATTACCTCGACGCACTATAAAGTGAATGTGCTCCAGCCTAGGCTCCCCTAATTTTGTGTGATCTGCTTCATCTCTCACGAAGAAACTCAAACATCAGTAGCATCATACCACCATTTGTACACCAGCGGGACCAACCATAATGACTGCCTCCGAGCCTCCAAGCTTCCCCTTCCTCCGGGCCTCCAACCTTGACCCCCCGGCCGAGTACGCCAAGCTTCGGGCCACCGCGCCCGTCTCCCAGGTCAAGCTGTACGACGGTAGCGTGGCGTGGCTCGTCACCAAGTACCGTGATGTATGCCAAGTCGCGACCGACACGCGCCTGTCCAAGGTATGGATCCAGACCTGTCATCCTTCTCACCCTCTCCATGCTCACCTAAGGCAAAGAGCTGACACGGACACCCATTGCCGTTTCTTAGCAAAGGACGCGGCCCGGATTCCCAGAGCTGAGCGCCGGCGGTAAGGCGGCGGCCAAGAACAAGGCCACCTTCGTCGACATGGATGCCCCAGATCACATGAGGCAGAGAGGCATGGTCGAGCCCCTTTTCGTCCTGGAGCACATCAAGACGCTGCAGCCGTATATCCAGAAGACGGTCGATGGCCTGCTCGACAAGCTGGCGGCCAAGGGAGGCAAGGAGCCTGTCGATCTGATTGAGAGCTTTGCCCTGCCCGTGCCGTCATATGTTAGTCTACACCTACCTCTTGCGCGGTGCCTTGTCCAGCGCCTGACGCGACTTTACTTCGGCAGGTCATTTACACACTCCTCGGTGTCCCGTTTGAGGACCTCGCCTTCTTGACCACGCAAAACGCCGTCCGGACCAACGGCAGCGCCACGGCGCAGGAGGCGGCGAGCGCGAACCAGTGAGTATTTTTCCTGTCTGGCTGATCTGCACCAAGAGGGGCTGACGAGTTGGGTGATCCACAGAACACTCCTGGGCTACCTCGCGGATCTTGTGGACAAGCGGATAGCAGAGCCCAAGGACGACCTGATCAGCAAGCTGGCGACGGAGCAGCTCAAGCCGGGCCACATTGAGAAGTCGGATGCCGTGCAGATCGCCTTTCTTCTCCTTGTGGCCGGGAATGCCACCATGGTGAGCATGATAGCTCTGGTAAGCAGTACTAACAGGAACCCTCCAGATCACATGCGGCAAGCTCTAACACGTCCACACACAGGGCGTCGTCACCCTGTTCCAGAACCCAGGCCAGCTGGCCGAGCTCAAAGCCGACCCGTCGCTGGCGCCGGCCTTTGTCGAAGAACTGTGCCGGTTCCACACGGGCTCGGCGCTGGCCATGAAGCGCGTGGCCAAGGAGGAGGTCGAGATCGGCGGGCAGCGCATCCGGGCGGGCGAGGGCATCATCGCGTCCAACCAGTCAGCCAACCGCGACGCCGACGTGTTCGGGCCCGACCCGGACGTCTTTGACATGCACAGGAAGTGGCCTGGCGGCGGGCGGGACCCCTTGGGCTTCGGCTTCGGCCCGCACCGCTGCGTGGCCGAGCACCTGGCCAAGGCGGAGCTGGCGGCCGTGTTTGGCACGCTGTTTAAGAGGCTGCCGGGGCTGGAAATTGCGGTGCCCATCAATGACCTGGAGTACACGCCGCTGGTGAGGGACGTCGGTGTCGTCTCGTTGCCCGTGACCTGGTGATGAGGAAGCCATGTGCGTGGGCGGGAGATGCCGCGAGAGGGTGTGCTGCGGTCTGCGGGTAGGGCTGCCTTTGATCTTGGCAGGACCATGGCTGGGGCCGATAGGTGGCGGTTACCTAAACTTCACTCAATGGAATGGAATTAGTCCAAGCAACAACCGGAAGGGGGCCACTGGGAATGGGTGATGAAGTGATGACGTCAGAGGTGACTCGTGGAGTCGATGACGATGCAGTGCTTCCATGGTCGGATCGATGCTAGCACGGAAAGCACACGAGAGACAATAACAACCCTCCAGAAACAAATCTCGAGATCGGTTCTCTACCAAAACAAATCTGCACCAGTTCCCTATCCTACAAAGAACCAACCCGACACAGAAACAATGGCCGGACAGGTAAACATCTCTCCTCGCCCAACATAACAACCTACTCGGTCAACTCACTGACCGTCCCCAAGCGGCACGACGACGCGCACCCCAACCCGCTCGAGGGCGGGCAGCAGTCGGCGCACAACATCAAGGACCCGCTCGACACGTACAGCCTGGCCGACCGCGCCAACAAGGAGAAGAAGGAGGAGAAGGAGGAGGACGAGCGCAAGGCCTCCCAACAGGACGTCCCGCCCACCGCCGCGGCCAGGGAGCACGGCAACAAGCCCTCGAGGGGCGCCGTCATGGACGAGCAGCTGCAGAAGGAGGACGAGGAGCGCCTGCGCCAGATGGACGAGTCCAAGAAGGCAAAGTCGCACCAGTAGGCTGCGGGTCATGTGGGCACGACATGATTGGACTGTGCGTGGTCAATGGAATGCCGCCGTGATGGGCCTGTTTTTGGGGGTTAGCTAGGCAATGCTGACCACTAAAGCAAAGTCTCTGTTTATCACTTTCCGGCTACGAAGTGATCAATGCTGAGGAGAAGGGAATAGAAAGCAGCAACTCTAATGAATGGAAAGTAAACTCCAAGCCGACGCCTGTATGCAATTCCATCGCAAGATAGACCTAGACCGTCTTCAAGATGCCACACCTACACATACAATCCATCACTCCATCACTCCATCCTTCCTTGAACCCAAAACCTTGATAGAGGTCAACGCAAAAAAAAGGGAGAAACCTAGAACTGGAGATTTTTAAACGCATGCCCAAGGGAAAACAAAGAAACCCGACCCCATCTCTCCGCATCAGTCCTTGGTAATGTACAGGTAGACAACCGGACTCCCACCAGGAAGCCCGTTGCGAGTCGAGTCCCAGCCGACCGACTTGAGCGTCTTGGCCATGTCGCCGGGAACTTCGCCAACGAAGCTCATGCCGCGGTACCAGTTGCCGTTACCCGTGCAGATGGCCTCGGTCACCACGTTGAGCTGCGGATTCGGGTTGTTGGCCCCGAATCCCTTCATGAGCTCGCCGATGGTGATGTTGCAAGGCACGTGCGCCGCCGTGAACTCGATGTGCGTTCCCGGTGGGAGCTGCCAGGGGGGCGTCGGCCCCGTCTTGAGGAAGTGTATCTTTGTGTGCTCGGGCGGGAAGAAGTAGTCGTAGCCCGGCTCGCAGCCCACCCCGCCCGTCGAGTTGGTCATGTTGACCGACGGGTTGTCGGCGCTGATGATGGGGTAGGGGTACTGCGGCCGCCCCGCCGGCGTCATCAGGGGTCGCGGGCCGGGCGCGCCCACCCCGCCCATCATGGGCGCCGCGAGGCCGTGGTTCACCACCCCGCCGCCCGCCGTCATGACGGGCGTGTGCATCGCGCCGCCGCCGTAGAAGCCGCCGACGCCACGGCCGTAGCCACCGCCTCCGTACTGCGGCATCCCCGCCCCGGCGAGCGTGTAGGGCATCGCGCTGGCTGCCTGCTGGGGGTACATGCCCATGGGGTAGCCGGCCATCATTCCGCGCGGGGCGAACTGCGGCGGGAGGCCCATGTCCGGGCCCCAGCGGGCGTTGAAGCCGGTTCCGCTGAACGCCATGGCTGCCTGCTGGGCCGGGGGGATCTGTGGTGGTAGGGGGAGGGCGGAAGCCGCTTCGTCGGCCGCCTGTTGTTGTTGTTGTTGCTGCTCGGCGTTGTCGCCCGCGGCTGCTGTGCCGGCCCGTGTCGCCTGAGACGCCCTGCTGCTGGGCCGGGACCCGTGTCGGGAGCTGTGTCTCGAGTGGTTGGAAGAGGTATGTGACTGGGGAGATCCAGACATGGTGATATGAGCTTGGTGACCTGACAGGGATGTTAGGGATGGCAAGGGGAAGCTCCAATAAATTTGATTGAATGTGAGAAGCTAGCCGAGACGAGCTTGGTAATGATAGGATAGGATAAGAAGTGACGGAAGACGAGGCAGTGAAGAGGAGCAAATACCCTAACGGATGGTCCAGCTAATAAGCCGGCCTCCAAACGGGTACCCAGCGGCAGGTTGTCTGGTCAAATACCGGCGTCCACTGGCCTGGGTAGACAGAGGGTCGCGGCTGTTGCACCAGGGGCTGGGGCGGGTGCGCGGTGTGGTAGCCGGGGTAGTAGTAAGGGTGTTGTGGAACAAGATGAGGAGGCGCGGTGAAGTTCACGGCGGGCTGGTTTGGCCTTGTCGCGTTACGCGGCAGGCTTCCCGGCGCGGAACGGAATGGCTGACACAGAAGGGAGGACGAGTGGCTAGTCCTGCTGCGGCTGTCGCCACTTCGGCCACGCGCGGTGTCCGAGGGTTGGCCTTGCTGAGGACAAGCAGAGGCGCTGCTCGCGTTGCTGTTGCTAGAGCGCACTGGAGTTGAGCCGTGTCTGTCTGGACGCTGGACGACGATGTGGTGATCAGATCGTGTGACGTCAATTAGTTGGCCGTCGAGGATGTCGTAGGTGCGGTCGCCGACACGGTAGCCACGGATGGTGAGGCCAGTAAGATCCTCGTTTGCAGGTGGAAGAGTTCCTAGTGAGAGGGTCAGAGGTGATCGAGAGTAGGGATAGGGACAAGAAAGATCAAATAGATGCAAGTAGATTGGAGTAGCGAATGGATCCATATGTAAGAGCAGCCAAGTTCAACAATGAATCAGGTCGAGAAGCAGTGAATTCACTGAGTCCTGAGCGAGGGCCAGGGGGGAATGATGGAGCAAGAGTGGCGTGAATGGAATTGACTTTGGATGTAAAAAAAAAATTAAAAATTAAAAAACAAAAAACCTTTGAAGTGAAAGAAACAGGGGCGGGCAGGGGGGTTTGAGGAGACCAACTCACCGAGAGCAGCCCAGCGGGGTGGAAGAGGACCGTCGTCGTACTCACGGGTCTCAGGGCTCCAGCCGCGTGTGCAGTCCTGGGCGATAAAGACCTCGCTATGCCAAAGCTCGTTGTCGTCGGCGTCGAAGAAGCCACAGACAATGAGCCAGCCCCAGAAGCGCGGACTGGCGCAGGACAGGAAATGCTGGCCGATGATGCACTTGACTGCTGGGTACGGGAACGTCAGGTCTGGGGTTGGTGGCCGGCCGGTTGCGCTGGAGGACTGGTGCTGGTGTCCGCTAGAAGACTCAGACTCAGACTCGGAGCCAGAGCTAGAGCTGGAAGATGCAGCCGAGGAAGAGGAGGACGAGGCCCGACAGACCCGCGTGCGGTCCAGCTTGAAGGACTTGAGGAGACGCCCGCGAGGGTGTCTCACGCTCTGGCTGTGAAGTGGCCTTGGGGACACTGGTATCTAGGGGGGTCTCGAATACGAGCAGAAGCTTTAAAGACCTAGCAGGTTTGGTAGTGGTGAATAGGTTCAGGAATTGGGATAGATTTTTAGAAGAGAGAAGCCGTTTTGTGCGAGGAAAAGGGGGAAAGGGGGAAAGGGGTGGGAGGCAGAAGCTGATGTCACCCGCCAGCGAGCGGGACCCCTGAGTGTGACTTCCGCCCCCTGATGCGAAGAAACATAGTAGAGACGACGGCTTTGCGGGGCACCAGGCTCAGATGGCCCCCAGACTCAGCCATGAGACCAAATGACTATCACCCACAGAGGTCGGAGTTGGTGGGACAGTGGGTTTTTGAATGGGCGTCAGAAAGGTGACGAGGTCCAGGTCACGCCTGGGGACGAAAGCAAGGCTCCAACGAGGTAGCGCAAAACCCATCCCGGCAGCATTTCCTCGGGTCAATCTGCTCGGCCGGCCGGTCGAAAACAAACGTTAAAGTAATACCGCGAGGCCGGATGTTCAAGAAGACACGTAGGTAGGCAGGTTGTGGCGCGTTTTGGTTGCGCAATGTGCAAGGGGATGACGATTATCCCAGAAGGCGATTCCTTGGGATTTGGGACTGGCATTCAATGTACTTGCGCCACGGGGCAGCGAGGCCGAGGCACATGCTGTAGGGTTGACAGCCAAGCGTCTGTAGTCATGCCTGGCAGGCAGCCACAACGTGATCAATGTGTTTTTTTGCCCTGTCACGATCCGACTCAGCCCGGCGCAGCTTGACGCCGTCATCGTCCTCAGGAACCAGATAGAGCGGAGAACCGTCGGATCAGGTGCGGCCAACACATTCACCTTCCGCTCGTAAAAACCATCCGCGCATCGCCCCCTGATTGCCGGCCTAAATGGCTGTACTGTGCTTGAGACTAGTCCCAGGGTTACCCAGCCTGTGAGGCTGGACGCAAGCAGAGATCACCCCAGCCAAACCATTTCTCCATCGATGGGCAAGCAGAGGGCCACATATGAGGCTAGGAACCAGCACGACCGAGTCTAGGGCTCCGTAGATGCTCTGAACTATGCATGCGGGCTAGCCGCAATGACGATGCATGAAGTCAACCCTCGGCCCATGGTTCAGTCGTTGGTCCCATCATCGTCGCCCAGCGCCCGCAGCGCGCTGCTCCTGCTCTCCATGCTGACGCGCGACTCGGAGGCAGCATCGGCGTCCCTCTTGGCGGCGCGGCGCCGCTCGATCTCGGCCACCAGCGTCTTGAGGTACGTCTCGGCCTGGACCGTGGCGCTGTACGACAGGGCGGTCCAGTTCCAGGCGTTGCGGCGCTCGGCGTCGGCGCCGGCGGCCAGCAGGGTGCGCAGGACCAGGAGGTTTCCACCGCTGCTGGCCAGGTGCAGCGCCGTGTTGCCGTCCATGTCCACCTTCTGCACCGCCTCGGCGGCCCCGCCGGGGACGTACGTCAGCAGTATCTGCAGCGCCGTGTCGTGACCGCCCAGGCTGGCCTCCATGATGGCGTCGCGGCCGCGGCTGTCGCGGCGCAGGATCACGGCCGCGTCTGCCTCGCACAGCAGGTGCACCACCTCGGTGTGGCCGGCCTCGGCGGCGAGCATGAGCGCCGTCTGGTGCAACTCGTTGACGGCGGGGTCGGGGTCCTCGTGGCCGAGCGAGAGGAGGAGCGAGGCGATGTCGGCGTGGCCTAGGTGGGCGGCCAGGTGCAGGTTCGAGTTGCCCGTCGCGGTGCCGGGCGAGTTGGGCAGCATCAGGTCGGGGTTGTGCAGTAGGTGCGGGTGGGACTTGAGGATTCGCTGCACGAGGAGGGCATCGCCGGCGTGGATGGCTCGACGGAGCCGGAGGGGGGCGTCGATCCTGGGCCAGGGCTGGGTCAGCGGCGGGAATAGGTTTGACAAGGGAGCAAGGAGACGGACGGAAACTTACATATTATGGCCTTGTTGCCCCGGCCAGCCAGGGATTTCCTAGCCTGCCTACCTTCCTCCAAAGAGGGCGGGCGGATTGGATTGGAGACGGCGGTATGCGTCGCGTGGGCGGTGTCAAGGCGACTGCTATATGGCGGAAGCTTGATCTGAGACGATGGCTGGCGACGTCAGTTGGGCGGATCAAGCATCACGGCCAGCTCCATAAAGGTGCATGGCGAGCAGCAGCTCGATGTGGGTCCGATCATATGTACCTTTTAGCGCTGCTGTCAGGCACACATCCCTGTAGGCCAATGCACTCACCCGCTACCTCGTCGCGATTTGGCGCTCCCTGAGGGGCGGCGTCGCCCAACATCCACTAACATCAGCATGTACCCAAGAGCACCCCTCAAACATCTCCAGCCCACTTGAGCTTCATGCTCCCATCAATTGCGCAAACACCAAAAACTTCTGCCCACCACCGAGCCCATATAATTGCCGTCGCATCTACCATTACTTTCATCACAGCCGAAAAAGGGACAACTTCCTCCTCGCCCTTGAGCCCAGCTTGCTCAAATGTCGGACATCCAGGCGCGGATGCAGGCTCTGTCGGAGGAGTACAAGAAGATCCAGACAGGTGCGTGGGCTTTGCCCCCCACTTGCGTGCCCGATCTCGATACCCCGACCGGATTGATAGGAGACACTGACCCATGCATCTTTAGAGCTCGACACCTCCATCCAGGCCAGGCAGAAACTAGAGGCTCAGCTGCAGGAAAACAAGGGAGTCGAGAAGGTGAGCACTTCCTAAACACTCATGCTCACCTCCCAGAGACATCAACTAACCCACCCACAGGAGTTCGGAAAGCTCAAAGATGACGAGGCAATCTACAAGCTCTCTGGCCCTATCCTGCTGAAGCAGGAGAAGGTCGAGGCCGACAGCACCGTCAAGGGCCGCATAGAGTTCATCACCAAAGAGATGTGAGTAGCCCTACCTATTGCTCAATCACACCAAGAAAAACACTAATGATGCCGTCTCCCAGTGCGAGGCTAGAGAAGCAGATCAGTGATGGTCAGGATAAGCTGGAAAAGAAAAAGGGCGAGATCATTCAGGTGCAGTCGAACGCACAAGCAGCCTCTCAGCCGCAAGCTGCACAGGCATGATGCGCCAGGTGATGGTCCATGTCGTGTGCTGGGAAGGGAAATCATGCTAGCATTATGATCTAGTGATCCATGTACGACTAAATACCCAAAAGACATGACGCTAACCTATTCCCCGAAAAACCCATGCGCCACGCTCAGAGAATAGGAGATTTTGCCATCCTGACATCGTACAAAAGCACACAAACAACAACAAAGGGTGGGGAAGCCACCGGATCAGGCGCCATTCAGTTCAGCGCCATGATGGTGAACCCGAACGGCACACCCATGTCGCTCGCAGGCCGGGCCTCGCTCCAGCCGAAGCCGTCGGACGCGTAGTCGTCAAAGCTGGGCGTGTGTGTGGGCGGCTGGAAGTGGACGTCGCCGCAGCTGACGGCGGCTAGGATGACGGCGGCAATGTCGCGCTTCATCAGGCAGGCGCCGCCAAAAACACCACCGCAGTGATCTAGCCGGTCCAGCACCCTCCTGCGCGCCGGTGCGTCGGCGAAGTGGAGCAGCTCGCGGCCCAGGACGGCCGGCGTGACCTCGGCGGGTTCCCCGGACTGCTGCTGCTGGTGAAACTCGACAGCAAGAGCGAGCCGGTGCAGGATGGAGACGACACCGGCGACGGCCTGGGCGAGCAGGCGGGCGCGGGCCTCGGGCTCGAGCGCGGCGAGGGCCTCGGCGGCGTGGGCGTCGTCGGCGACCACCAGGGGCCGCACGTCCAGGTCGAAGACGGCGTTGAGCATGGCCTCGACGGCAGACTGCTGCAGCAGCACCGCCGAGGAACCGGCGCTCAGCCCAAAGGTTTTGACGGCCTCGGGCAGCCACTGGGAAATGATGGAGAGGAGGCTGGTCTCGGACGTCGTGCCGACTTTACCCGTGTCCAGGGTGAAGAAGCTCATGGAGGCGTCGACTGCGGCTGAGTTGGGTGGTGCGGCGTTAGCATTTCTATTGTTTTATGAGATTTTTGCGCATCTTCCTACCTCGACACCTCTTGTCAAGAGCCGAATCATCGACGATTTGCTTGGACGGCGCTTGCATGCTGGGTCTGATCTGGGGCGAAGAAGGGATGGGAGTAGATATGGTCCGGAAGCAGATGTGGTAAGAAAGCAGATATTCACGAGATCAACAGCTACTGCGTGTGCAGAAACAAGTCGAGCCAAGGAAGCCAGCAAGTCAGGGCGAGCGACGCCTTTTATACCCTGGACGAACCCAAATCGCCTTGCGGCCTCACATTGCACCTCCACGTCGCTGCTCCTTGCCACGGACCACCATCCGGCCACCCACAGCCCAGCTGGGGCGGACGGCCCGGTGCCACACGATGCCTGACCGGTCCATGCCACCAGGATGTGAGGTGAGACACGGCCTGTGGCTCAGGGAATGCGTCAGAGGTGAGAAAAGGGGTGGAATCGGGTCGTTGTCGGTCCCGGATTTTTGCCAGCCTTGTCCCGACATCACCCGACCGGAGATGATTGTGGGCTGGTTTTTTCTTGCTTGGGTAAGCGGTGGAGTCTGCGAGCCCTCACCGCCAGCGAATCCGGGCCTGACCAGGGAGTAACAAGGTGACTTTTGCATGCTGGAGAAAGCCACCAATGCCCTCCAACACCACGGTAGCACCGGCTGGTTGGTGCCAACATGGCTGTCAACAGTTGCGGCCGGACGAACCCTTCCCATCGGGCCTCACAATTTGGGCGGCCTGGAATCGCCACTGGGATGTGTCAAGTGCAGGTCTGTGCCCCGTACCAATTCAGCCAATACACCAAAACACCAAAGCCCATATCTCGCGATGATTGCAATACGATTTTCTACCCCAGATTGCCACGTTGGAATTGGGTGATTCTCTTCGGGGGCCGCATTCCCTAACTCGAGGATGGCTTCACGTTCTTGTCGCCCAATCTCTCCTGCTTCAGTTGGGGATTGCTCAGACGTGTATCGAAATGCTCAACACTAGAGTTGCTCGTGGTTGACTTGTGTTTATCAATCTCGACCAGTGCTGTCGTCACCTTCCCTCAATTCCGTCACAAAATGATTTTCGCGAGCACAAATAATGTGCAAGATTGCATGGCCCAGCTGTGATACACCGTCAGCCCCGAGTCCAGGGTCCAATTACTGTAGATTTGGCAGGGCAGGGCAGGGCAGCGTCGATGCACTCTCGCAAAGCGCCACTCTGCGAGAGGGAAGCCAGCCAAACCGGCAGACTGCCTGGGTCACCATCCGCATCATCTACACTACTATATGCCTAGCTCTACGGGCCGTGGCAGGGACGGGCCGGAAAGTGACGAGGACATGGGCGTCGAGACTGGAGAGCGGGCGCACAATGCTATCCGTTCACTCAACAATACAGAATGCGGCTAGTACTCTCCTGACGCTATGCACTGTAAGCAACAAGTCTTTGCTGTCATACCAATCTAGTCTCCGGTATGTGAGATAAATAAAAGAGTCCTGGGGAAATAACTGACCCTTCCAGCCAACTCCGCAGCCGCTATGAAGAAAACAATGAACCAAGGAAATACAAAACCAGACGCCGAGGAAGCAAAGAACAACGCAAAAGGGAATGATACCAGGATTGTGAGAGTACAAAGAGAAAAGGGGTATCTAGTGGACACGGGAGAAAACGAGAAAGGCAGAAAAACAATGATACCGCGAGGGAAAGGATGTCAGCAAGTGAGCGACCAGGTGCTTTGCTTAAATCTAAGCGTGCTCCTCGCGCTTGCCCTTACCCTTAACCGGAGTAATGGGCTTCTTGGGCGTGGTGCTGATGGGCGCAACGGGCTTGATCTTGCCGACATTTACAATCGAGGGCTTGGGGGCCGGCTTCCCACCAACGCCAGTCTCGTACATCGGGTTCTTCCGCTTCTCGACGATTGGTGACTCGTCGTGACCGACCTCGCGCTTGCCCTTACCCTTAACCGGAGTAATGGGCTTTTTGGGCGTGGTGCTGATGGGCGCAACGGGCTTGATTTTGCCGACATTTACAATCGATGGCTTGGGGGCCGGCTTCCCACCAACGCCAGTCTCGTACATCGGGTTCTTCCGCTTCTCGACGATTGGTAATTCGTTGTGGCCGACCTCGCGCTTGCCCTTAGTAACCGGAGTAATGGGCTTTTTGGGCGTGGTGCTGATGGGCGCAACGGGCTTGATCTTGCCGACATTTACAATCGAGGGCTTGGGGGCCGGCTTCCCACCAACGCCAGTTTCGTACAGCGGGTTCTTCCGCTTTTCGACGATTGGTGATTCGTTGTAACCGACCTCGCGCTGGGTAATGGGCGCGGCGGCCACCTCGGTGACGACGAGGGCGGCCAGAAGAGCCTGGACTACTAGGGAGGAGGAGGGTTGCATTTTGTGGTTTGCTGGTCCGAGGTGGATGGATACAAGAGGAGAGAATGATACGGTGAGAGGATGGGAAGATGTGATCAAGGCGATGGAGATGGAGATGGAGATGAAGATGAAGAAAGAGAAAGTGGCATGATGATACTGGTGTCAATGTATTTATGATATTTTCTCTAGAGGCCGTTTGCAAGTGCTGCTTCTAATTATATCGCCAAGGTTTGTTTTCTCGGGATGCCGGCACGACAGACTTTGGGGCGTTGACAGCAAGACATGGGGACGACATGGGATCAAGCTTTCTGGCAGGCCCCGGGGCATTGACGTCGATCTGCGGTAGCCCAGTCGGTGGTCTATTCAAAGCCCCCAGCTGGAGTCGACACCCACGTCGCCGGCCAGGCGTGACGTCGTGCTTCTAAATCGGGTCGGTTTCAGTTTTGACGTTTGCGTGGGTTCGGACGGCTGCGGTGCATTACAAGGACATGGCTGGGTGCTGCCAGCCCAGGGTCCACAGCATTGCCGCCCGCACAGCATGGGGTCCATATGCGGCTACTCCGGCTCCAAATGGCCGGGTTTGGTAATTATTGGACGACATGAGAAGGGAATTCTTGACATATGTTCGTCGCCGCTTTCCCTTCCCGGCTGTCTTTTCTGTGCAAGCAACGACAGCCCGCGCCATTACGAACTGGCTCCACCAATCGGGAGCGCGATATTAGAACCAAAACTCCAACGACATACCGCCAGCACGTCCTCCTTTTGACAATAGCTTCACCTCCCACTGGCGAGCCCCGAGTGTGAGATAAGGCAGCTCCGGCGGTTTGGACTCCTCAACTCCAGCGACCCCCCCTCAAGGGTAGGAACGAAGGCTTAATTCAAGAGCAAGAGAGGAGAAGGTTTTCGATGGCAATCGCCTGAGTATTCTAGCAACCAAACAGTGCGTACGCCAAGTGCCCAGATCGAAATGCGATGGAGGGGAGAGGAGACTGAAAATCTCGACAGGTAAAACCAAGGACAGAGGAAAAAACAATGTGTAGCTCCGAAACTGGCCAACATCGGCCAGTGGACGTGTGTGTGCCCTCAAGGGGGACTTGAAGCAATCTTGCGTATCTCCGGCATGTCCCCATCCCTAGCACTTCTCCTCGCTGCCATGCCTCTATGCCACAGTATATTCTGCATCAGCAGAAAATACACCACCATTCAGCTTGTCATCGCAATTGGCGCGGACCGGCCAACTGCCACCTCCCCGTACCCTGCATCACCCCTGCCGGCACAATCACTCGACGTTGTCGACGGCCAGCGAGTCGAGGTCAATTTCCTCCTTGCGGCGACGGTACAGTAGCTTGTTCTCGGGGTTGACGAAGGGGTCGGTGCCAAAGTATATGGGCTCAAGGGTGGTGGTTCCGGCGAGCTTCCAGTCGTACTTGAGCAGCAGGTGGCAGAGGGCCACCTTGATCTCGTTTGCGGCGAAGAAGCGGCCGGGGCACATGTACTTGCCGTAGCCAAAGGTTAGATGCTCGGGGTTGGGCGACACGAGCTGCGCCTTGTGCTCGCCGCCGGGCAGCTTGCGCCGCTCGTAGAAGCGGTAGACATCGAACTTGTCCGGGTTCGCGTAGACTTTGGAGTCCCGGAGTGGAATCGTGTCCACGGCCATGTACTCACCCTTGTACAGCTTGGTGCCGTCCTCGAGCGCAATGTCCGCGGTCGCCTCGCGGATCATGTTGGCTGTGTCCGGAGCGGTTGTCGTTAGCAACAGGCAGGGCTCCAACTGGCGAGGGCGGAGGGGTTCAAGGGGATGGTGCCTCACCGGAAAGGATGGGCTTGAGCCTCTGGGCCTCCTTGATGGCGCTGTCGAGAAGCTTTAGGTTCACGAGCGCCGTCTTCCTCCAGCCGTCGATCGGCAGGACCTCGAGCGCCTCCCGCCTCAACGCCTCGACGGCGTCGGGGTTCGCGGCCAGGTGCAGCATGGTCTGCATCAGGAGGTCGGACGTGGTGTGGATGGCGACGAAACCAAACATGAGCTGGAAGTCGGTGGGCTTCATGGCCTCCTTGCTGCCCTCGTGCTCGAGGTCGGCCCACTCGATGGCGTCGTTGTACTTTGGCACGGGCAGCCCCTTTGCCACGCACTCAGCCTTCTCTTTCCGCCGCGCCGCGACCTGTGGCTCCACAATGGCCTCGGCCCGCCTGTAGATGGCGTGCGCCTTTTTGCAAACGGGGTCGAGGTAGTAGACGAGCGGCCTGGCCCAGCGGGGATACAGCCGCATGTTCTGCATGGCTGCGTTGAAGATCAAGGTAAAGTTCTTGGTGACGTCCAGCCACTCCTCGTTCCGGCAGGTCTCGCCGCCCAGAAACACGCGAGACGAGAGCCGGGCGACGATATCGGTCACGACGGGCGATAACTTGGTCTCGGTCCAGCCTAGCACCACCACCGTCAGCGACGATAGCTCACACCCCGTTGATCGTCCGCATAATTGTGGCAAACATACCTGGGTTATCGCCGAGGCTCTTCTCAAGCGCAAACGTCACCTCTAGGGCGAGTGGCTCTGTGACGGTGTCTTGGGAGAGGACGCGAAAGGCGTGACGTTAATAACCTTGGCCACGGCTCCAGATTCATGGCCGCAACAAAAGCGTCAGGCCTGGTTGTGCACGTGGGGACTTACTTAGCCGCTTCGTCAAGTGCTTCATGATGACCCTCTGAAGGAGCTCGTCCTGACGGTCGATTAGATTGGTGGTCCCGTTGGCGGCGGGGGCGAACGGAACAAGCTATAGGCAGAAGACGCCCGATAAGAAGCCTTGTCAGGGGTCTAGCTCGCACAGGTAGGGATAACATGACTAATAGCAGATAGAAGGCTGCTTTCGGGGTTGACATACGTGGGAGATGGCCCTGCGGAAGTCCAGCGACTTCTGGTTCTTGATCTCTTCCGCCCGGTCCGGAGGAAAGATAGTCACGGGCCCAATGTTCGTCAGGAGCTTGAAGGGCTTGCCCGGGTGGCGCCTCCGGCCCTCGCGCAGATACTCGACGCCCTTGGTGACATACTCGAACTTCTTCTGTATGGTGAGCTCAAAGGGCCCCGGCGCGTTGATGATGGGCACCTTTCCGTCCGTCTTGGTGCCAAATAGGTGGCTAGCGATAACAGGCACCAGCACCAGGGCCGCGAGGGTCAGGGCGATGGTTGAGCGATCAAACTCGAGGAGCAGGTCCGCCAGAGCGCTCTGCCCCTGGAGCTGGTGCTGCAGCCAGGTCGTGTCGACGTTTACAGAGCTGGCCATAATGGGCGGTTGCTCGTCTGTTTGGGCGGTCCCTGGAGGGGTTGTCAGGAGGGACAATGGCTTCACAACTGAGAGAAGAAACGATTGTATTGAGAGGATGCTGTAGAATGTCCCCAAGTAGTGTGTAGAAGATGGATCTCATCCCAACTCTTCAAAGGCTAGACCGCTCTGCTTTTAAACCCGCCGCTCTTTTGGCTATAATGTCATGCCAAGCACGTTAGACCCACACAACTAGGAAACTGATAGGGACCGTGGTCGGAAAACAACTAGAGATTTGCCGACTGGGCTGCCTCTACTGTTGCTTCGTAGCCGCGGGTGCGAGCGTGAGTCCGAGCCGAGAAAACGGTAGGAACGCATATCTCCACCCTGCATCTGGGCATCGCATCGGAGTCGATCCGGACAACATTTTGGGGCCGACCCCGCGCTCCCGCAGTTTGCCCGCGCGCCAAGGAGTTTGGCGTGGGGCCACAGAAAGGACTGGGATGAAGACGAGGTGGACGACGTCAGTGATAGCAACGAATCACGGTGACTAAGTAGGTCGAAGCAGCTGGGGGTTATACGTTGTGGACCCCCTCCAGTCGGATGGGCGGCGCTTTGCCCAAGGCCGAGCCGGGTTTCTCGGGGAACCCGCTCCCCCGTCTCTGTCGCTAGTATGAGTGCCTGCCTGGCGGTTAGCCACCGTTATACGGCGGCGCGTCCGCCTTGCTGCACCGCCGACCAGGATCGTGTTCGCGAGTGCAGGCGCTTCGCTGTCCCAGTTCAAGCCCGGCACCAGCTCAGCGACTCGTCGCCGACGGGCAGCTCGTGCATGGGTTCTGGCAGTTGATGATGCGTGGTGTTGCGTAGGTAGGCTGGTAGCCATCGTTTCGTTTCGGGTGCACCAGTCTAGGGGGAGAAAATTGGCAGCCATTGATTGGTTGTCAAGGGGCCGCGGCTGGGTTGGTTCTGCCGTCCGGGGCGGCCCACAGAACAAGGCTAGATGTCCGGGTAGTCCTCGCTTGCTTCCGCTCCAATTTGAAGCCGAACTCCTTGGAGTTCTGTGGCACCCAGCCGACGAGCATTTATCGACCCTCCACTCCTCTGCGGCAGGGCAGCCGCTCGCCTCCCTCGCGTACGGCTCCATAACCAACAAGGCCTGTTGGATCCACGGTCCAGCCCTCTCGTCGAGCCTCCCGGCCACGAACTGGGCAACGTAAAATGTGCCCAGCGTCCTTTCCAGTTATTAGTGATGGTTGGCCAAACGACGCGACTGTCCGGATAGAACATCTCCCGGTTGAACTTGAGATTTCCCTGCCCGAAAGACCAGCCGCGCGCATGAAGCTTGTCGACCGCATTAAAAACGCCATTCCCCACCACGCGTCTTTATCCGTATAGACATACGCTATTCTCAAAACCTGATTACAACCATCGATGGGAATCTCTCCGACCTCGGACGTTGAGCTCGAGCGTATGGCTGAGGAGTCGACCGATTCAACATCAATCGAGCGAGTCGGTGTCAACACGAACCAATATCCACGCGAGAAAAAAGGGGGATAGCAAGCAATCATCCTGGCGAAATGCATTTGATTGGGTGAAAAGGAACCCGTCGCTTAAACACATATTCACCTAGCGTTTCCTTCCCCCACGCTTATTGCAGAATACCCCAAAGAGTTAGTATAAAACCGCAGCCACAACACCAAGCATTAAGTCGAGGACGGGATGCAGTTAATGCCAGTTATGGCCACCACGGTGCAGCAAGCGTGTTGGACTTGGTTTGGTGCCCAGAAAACCCAATTGCCTGACCGACCCAATTGACCGATCCTGGTAACGTTGCGATTTGGGCTGTGTCGCTGGCAGGTTGGCCAAGTGGGTGGTGGTCTGAGCAATCCATGGGGTCGCTTTGGGGGAGATTTTTGGTTGTTTGGTTGCGCAAGGACCGGGCTGGGAACCTATCCAGTGTTTCATGGAATTGATCCACATGGGCGCCCCGTCCCGCTGGAGCTAGATATCCCGGGTTTGGCATCCGGGGAGTGCCAGGGGTAAAGCTTGCCCATCAACATGGCTGGAACCTTGTGCATGCTCCTATTTAAAGTTCATAGCCATTGTTGACGCCAGCCTTTGGGAATGCCTTGACGGAGGCATCTTTGGAAATGTACATGAACGGAATGTACGGGCGCTGGCTGGGGGTGGTGTGTCGGTGCCTCGAAAGTCGAAAGGTGGTGGGGCTGCGCCCACGCAGGGTGATGTTGTTCCAGTAGGGACCTAGAGGCATTAGGGTACCACCGAAATTGCTAGCCTCGATCTCTCCCGTGCTGGAGGAACGCCGCCGATGTCTCCGGGAGGCGTTGGAAAATCTAACGAGGACGAGGATTGTTGGGGGAAGCGACACCACAAGTGTTATGATGCCAATAATAGCTTCGGGATAAATGTTTATGTTATTAAATGGTGGGAAGGGAATATGTTTTGCCCTGCCTTGTAGATGACGGTAACTGGTGGGTGTTGCCCTCGCTGGTGCGGAATGTGGGAACAGTAAAACCCGATGGAAAGTTTGCACTTCAAGGTACTTAGTTTCTGTGAGGACGTAATTTGTAAAAGTTGGTCCCATTCATGATCCATGTTCCGATCGACTTGCCCCGATCCCCAATCTGTTCCACTCATGATCCCTGGTCCTGTCGTTTATGCATGTCGGCTCGTTCGGCGAACGGAAAGAAAACCGAGCACGTTGCCCAAAGAAATGAGACTAGACCGCGGTTGGCTTTCCACCCCAAAACCTCGGGGGTTGTACGTTGTGGGCCCCCTCTAGAATAGGCACTAGTTGATAGAATCCACGGCCTCGCTTTTTGTTCGGGCAACGTGCCCCAGGCGCACGGTGCTCCACTCCCGAGCGCAGCCGACCAATGACAGCATGAGCAGTCAACTAGCTGGTGCTGCTGCATGGCGGCGCGCTCATAGCACAGCCTCTCTCCCCTTCCTTTTTCCGAGAAGGGATGGACGACCGGTAGCGGTGCTGAGGGCACATCGCTTGCTCATCTCATCAATATAACATCTTGGAACCTCGCGAGATTAACTGGTAAACATCACTTTGCGAAAGGCCTGGGGGTTGTCCAAATCTTTGCCGCAGCGGGTGCAGAGCTTAAGCCTATATCAGACACTGGAAAAACACCCTGGCCATGCACCTTTCACACGAGCCCAGGCGGTGCCTTTTTGAAGTGGCGGGCGTGGAACATGCCCGAAACCTCCATCTGCACCGGTGTATGGTGGTTCATAGCCAAACAAATCGCACCTCCGACTGCAACCAGCGCCTCTGGAGTCTTCCGCACTCTCGCGCCCGCATGTTAGGTCACGACATGGGCGAAACGCTCCGGCCCCGAAAAGACGTCCCCCTGGAGCCACCCGAGCGCGCCAACAGGCTCCTCCCGCCACGGCCCTGGCCCTGCTGCAGGCTCGGGCGGCGCGGGTTGAAGCTGGCGCCCGTGTCGCCGACCACCTCGAGGCCGCGCCTGATGACGGCCAGCTCTGGCTGCCGCGCGAACAAGACCTCACCGCCGTACCCGATGCCAAGCATAGCCTTGTTGAGGGTGCTGATCCAATCGTTGGGTATGAAGAAGTGATGGACGAGCGACGCCATGTCGGGACGCCCCTCGGAACTAACAGTAGGGGCGCTCTCGATATTCAGGGATGAGACCCAGTTGCCGGAGGTGGACACGACCAGCCTGGTGCCGAACGAACCAAGTATGGAATCTATCCCAGCCGAATGCGCGCTGACTTCCATCGCTGGCTCCACGGGCGACTCCGTGTTTCCTTCCAGTAACTTCCTCAAGTCCCACGACTGAATCCAATCGCCGAGAGTTGTCTTTGAGAGCACTGTGGCCGGTGCGTCTCTGGAGATGGAGACAAGGACGCGAGGATGCGAGAGTGCGATCACTCGGTCTATTGTCCCGGTGTAGCTGCATGGCAGGGTGCGGATGAGCTCGAGCGACTCCCACTTGTAGACCCGAAACCCCTCGGGGCCAGCCCGTAATAAAATCCCACTATTTGTCGGGCCCGAGGCCCACACCGGCCCGGATGGTTCGTCGATGTGGGCGAGGCATTGGACACCGTCCGTTGTTGGGGGAAGGGACCAGAGCATACACGCGTCTGCAGTAACCACCAAAAGCCGCTGACGGGATGCTGAAAGAAGCAGCTGCCTCAGAACCCCAGTGCTAGTACAGCGGACCTCAGACACAGGACCATCCTCGACGACCCAGGTCGCATTTGCATTGCCTTTGCCCCCGGTCCTGTCAACCTTCCGCACCGTTACCCGGCCAGCGAGGTCGCCACAAGCAAGAACGAGCGGCCTGTCCGTATCGTCGAGAGCAAGATGGTTGACCCCACAGGTCGCCGTCTGCTCAAACAGCCGCTGCATTCGGGTCTCTCCCGAGATGTCGTAGGCCCACACGGAGCCGTCGTCCCTGCCACAAAACACCAGCGGGAGGGCGCTGCTGCAGGTAATGGCCATGATGCGCGACTCGTCCCGTTTCGCCGATGATATTGCCGGAGTGATTGTCGACACGGCTGACGCCGAGTCGCTGTGCTCCACGTCGGGCTCGTCTTGACGCATCAGAACTGTAGGCTCCCACAGACGGCACTGGTTGCCTCGGAGCTCGAGGAGTCGGCGGCTGTCGGCCGAGAAGACGAGCCCCTTCGGGCTCAGCTTTGTGTCGAGCTGGATTCGATACAGTGGCTGCAGCGTCTTGAAGTCGAAAAGTGTCAGATTGCCATCTGAGTCGGCACCCGCGAGGGTGCGTCCATCGGGCGACCCGGCCAGCACCATGGAGTTGACGCCTTGCGAGGCTGCTGTCGCCACGCCGCTGTCGGTATCGTACACATGGACGTCTCCGATGGAATACGTCGCAGCGAGGAGGGTAGTGTCGATGGCGTCGCCGAACGCAATGGCCCGGACAGGCTCGGGGACGCCTCCGGAAAACCCCTTGGCACTCACGTATCTCTTGGAGCCCGTCTCCTCGTCGTAGATGCCGTGAACGCGCCCCCTGCGCGGGTCCCAAATAACGACCTCCTGCCCTCTGTACACAACTGCCAGGAGCGAGGTGGCGGGCGATATGGCTGCCAGCATCGGTTCCCGGAGCTGGTAGGCTTCATCCAGGTGCGCGGTCCAGTCGATTGGCCTCTCGCGGCAGAACTGGCGAGCCTTGACGTCCCACTCGTATAGCTGGTTCTTCTTGGATGCCGCCCGCAGCACCGCGTTGTTTTCACAAAACTCCAAGGCGAGACAGACCGAGGGGATAGAAAATCCTGAAACCTCCTTGCCCTCGCGTGTGTCCCAGATCCGGACGCGTTTTGCCCCCGCAGTCGCCAGCAGCGAGCCGTCCTGGGCGAAAGCCATCTTCCAGACCGGTTCGCCGTGACTGAGGGTGAGTACCTCCTGAAATACCAAGTCGTCATAGAGAATGACTGAGCCATTCATCATGCCGACTGCGAAAAATCCCTGCCCCGCGGCCACGAAGTTGGCCTTCTTTCCACTGGCATAAGTCACCGTGCTGAGGCAGTCGTCCCAAGCAGGAGCTAGGATCCCATCGACTTTGATGCTGGCAAAGCCGCTGGCGAACTGCTTGTGGATAGAGGAGTCCGGTGGGCAGAATGGCGGGATCAAAAGGTGGATCGACTGCGGCGACTGCCTCAGGTGGCTGGAGAACTTGGTCGCTATGTGCATCAAATCATCTCCCCAGTTGTCCAGCATTGCAAGCTTTTTGTGCGCTCGGTCTCCATCATCGAGTGCGCCTAGATCTCGAGATACGCGGCTGAGCAGCAGGTTAAGGACTTGTCCAGCATGGTAGACAGGCTGTAAATCTCCAGTCATAGCAATGATCTCGATCCAACCCAAGATAGCATCGCTGGAAAAGAAGCGCCCTAAAAGAGTGTGCATCTTGTCGTCCACACGAGGGACAAGGCCAAGATGATGGAAGAGAAAGGCTGACGCATATGACATGAATGGAAAATGTTCGAGTTGGCTACTCCTGGAATCGGCATTTGTGGCCAATGCCAGCTGTCTGGTGCTTTGCTCGTGGCTCTGTAGGATGTACTCGAGACATATGAGTCCAAGTCGCCGATGAGCCTCGGTCTTGGCGACAACGAACTCAGACTCGATGCTGTTCTGGGCGAGAAACTCCCTTGCGGTGGAGTGGACGAGATTGACTCGGCTATGTGTGTCGACGTAGACCAGTTGCCCACAGCATTTTGTGATGGCTCTTTCAATGTTGTCGACCTTGTCTTTGATGTCCATTTCGATGGGGCACTTAATCTCGGCAGTGCTGAGGGCACGAAAGGAGTTTGCTGTCCACGTCAAGATGGATGTCGCCAAAGCTTTGCCAAACCGGGCCTTCGACATGTTGGAGAGAATCTGCGCATAGAGAGAGTCCATGTTCGGAGGCATGCCGTCTAGTACCTGCCTGATCTCGCCTTCCGTGCAGGCTTCTTGGAGCTCCGAGCAGACGATTGAGGCCCAGAGAAAGCTCCCTCCTGCCTTCTTCGTAATCTTAGCAACCATGTCCGCGGAATCCGAATGCTCGGGCGAGACCGCGATAGGAAGCAGGTCCATGCTAGAAGAGAGAAAAAGCGATATGTCACCTTGGACATCTTCCTCGCTTATTGTTTCTGTCCGTATATAAACCTTGGAGCGGTTCACTCCTCGTTGAGACTCAGTGCCAGTCCTAGATGTCACCAGAATTGACACCGGCCAGTCTTCTTGAATCCGAACCAGGAAATTGACGGCTTCGGCACTATTGCACTGATCAATGGCATCAATGACCCAGAATTGGTGTCGACTAGGCCTGATTTTGAGAAGGGCAGAAAGAAATATTTTCCGAAACACGGAATTGTCATCGTTTTGTTCCACGGGCCCATCTTTCGCCTCTGACGCGAGCTTTTTTATGCCCGCAAAGACGTCGGCGTGGAGTGTGGCCATCTGCCTCGCTAGTGACCTCAGACAGGCGCCAATCGTGGATTTGGTGGCATCGCCTCGCCGGAAAAAGAAGTAGCAGCAGTCCACGCCGGCTTCCCTGAGACTCAAGATCGTGTGGGCCGCAAGGAAGCTCTTGCCAGTGCCGGGTCTGCCCTGAAGCCATAAGAATCTTGTGCTGATGGATCTCCAGGAGCGGTAGTAGTCCTTGTGAGCTAGCCATTCACAAGAGCCGGGCAGTCTAGCGAAGTCCATGGTCATGAGGTCGTCCTCAGGCGCCGCAGAAACGCCAAGGAAGTGGTTGACGGATGTTAGATCCTCATGGCTGTCGCTCCTGGAGCGCTTTTGGTTGGTTTCTCGCAAGGAGCTGACAACGGCGGCGAGGGCTTTGCGGATGGAAAGGTACGACGGGTCCTTTTGAGAGGCGAACATGGCAGCATTACGGTGGTCGGCGTCTAGTGGCGTCCTACGCTCGTTGCTCAGGTTCATGACTGCACTGGACTTGTCCACGATGAGGGTCTTCACGAAGCCAACAGACATCGGTCTCGTTTCGTAGAAGGACAGGATGTCGATGCTTGCGCAGAGGCTCGGGAAATCCTCATCGATAGAGCGCAGCGTTGTGGACTGGGGGATAAGGTCATCGACGTGTGGCCGCGTGCCCATAACCATGGTGACGACGCGCGACAGAGTTTGGGCAAGAGTTGAACCCCGGTGTGGTGTCGCGAGGAAGAAAATGGTGCTGATTCGGTCTACCACCGCCCTGAACTGCGGCTCCGTACGCCCCAGGATGTAGGCCATCTTGACAACTAGGCCTCCCATGCTGTGCGCAACAAATATCAGATGTGCCTACGTCACCATGGTATTAGAAGTTCCCTCGTGATATACAGCCATCGGTCCATGTTAGCGAGCCGCTGAACTCACATTGCCACCATTTTGGTTTATGGAAGGAGAGTCTTTAACTTCGGCCAGCAAAGTACGAGCAAAGTCTTCGACGCCGAGGATGGCCTTGCCCAGTCCGGCTGGGTATCCGAACGCATGAATCCTGACATCCTCGAATGCTGGATCGTTTGGGAGCCATTCGCGTGGCCAGTACAGGGAAGAGACGTTACCCTTGCTCCACGTGCTCTGCGAACCGCCATTTAGACCATGCACAAAAACAATGTCGGCAATTGCTGTCCCACCCGGGGGTTCATGAAGAGTGGTGAGGCCTAGGGGGCCCTTGAAAGAGCCTTTGGGGACGTCAGGCTTGGTGGCGGTAGTCTGGCTTGTCTGATTTGTGCCCCGAAGGCTCCAGGTCCCTATCAAGGTCCTCCGGGACGACCAAGTCAAGGACGACCTTGAGCGGGTAGGGGACTCCATGGCCAGGCATCTGGGTGCCAGGGGACGTGCAGATTCCCAACCAAAAGATTCGCGCGAAGCGGCACAGATAGAATCATTTATATCGGCGTCACGAACGGGACGTGGGGCTTCGCACGGGGAGTGGATGGACTGCGCCTCTGTGTCCAGGGAACGGCTGCCAATCGTTTGGTAATGCCTGGGTGGTGCATGCACCAAGCCCCTGGCAGGGGCTCAACGGCAGCCTGGGCTAAATGGTAAGCGGGGCCAGCTGTGTTATTCGGGCGTCAAGAGGTACCATCGAGGGCTTCCATAATCGGGATCCTGCATCGTGCATTCTGTTATCCGTGCCACCGCGTTGAGGCGCTTGGGCATGCAGCTAAATGAAAATTGTCCTTTGGAGGAGGGTGGCAGGACTGATGTTTGGAGCCAGTTTTTGCGCTTGCATCTCGAGTTGTGTTTGTTGATTGTGTCTGGTACTCGCGAACCTCCCATCAGGATCACATATTGATAGATTCGTCTCCACCCTGCCTGTGGGCGCCCTCTTTGTCCTCACTTGTTCTCCATAGTGTTCTTGCTTGAAGTTTTGGTTGGGTGTGGATTTCCTGTGGCTTCCCATCGCGCAGCCCCGGCACCCAACACCCACCGTGGTGCTAAAAGCATTGATGACAAAGCCTGAAACCACTCCATCACGTGGAGAACGCCCAACCCACCCACGTCATGGTGCTGGCACGCGGCATGGAAGCTAAACCCGGGCGCGGGGGGTCCTGCGACTCATTGAGGCTGGCCCCAAACAGCTAGAGGCGCTTGTTGATCACCTGTCAACCCCCAACCGCGCTCAGCCTTGCGTCCTCCTGCTCCCCATCTGTCCCCCAGCCCAGTCGAGAACTGGATCCCCTGTCCTTTGATTTGTTGCTTATCCTCGCAGTTTGCGCTCTCATCGACGGCGTCTGCTATAGCCACCAGCCGCTGTGCTGAGCAACAGCTAGCCCCCAAGGTTCCCAGCAGAGGGTGCCTGCCTACGCTTGCATCACCCGCCGCGTGTGGACTCAATTATACTTTGCCGTGAATTTACTACGCGCCTCCTCCCATCACGGCCCGCCCGTTTGATTCCCCTGCCTGCAGCAATGGCCATTCCATAAGTCGGGCAATCGTCGCGAGGCTTGTCGCCCATCTGTCACCGAACCACCGCCCAGTCTAGCACCCAACAGCCGCCCTCGCGCCGCCTCGATCCATCACTCCAACCAACCTCCCTGACCTCCGACCTCCGACCGCCGACCTAATATCCAACCATGTCAGACCAGTACGGCAGTGTGCCTGTGCGGAGGCCGCTGAGCGTGCCCGAGATAGTGGAGCAGGCAGATAGCATCGATTACACTCCTGACGTCTCCCTGAAACACTGGGTAGGCGCTGCCGAGAGGCTATATCGAGAGGTTCGTTCACGCAATTCCAGGGAAATCTCCAGCACATTTGTCCGTCCCGTAGCCTGACAGCTTCGTGCAGGGCCAGATATACATGAGCGAGGGCAACTCGGCCCAGGCCTACCTCCTCCTCGTCCGCCACTGCTCGCTCGTCCTTCGAAAGTTCCCGACGCACCCGGCCGCCAAGTCCGCCGAGGGCAAACGCCAGCTCAAAAGACTGAACGACCGTATCCCCAGGATCCTCAGCCAGCTCGAGGAGCTGAAGCCCCACATCACAGCCGCCTACAACGAGTGGGAGCGTCTGTCCAAGGCCGGCCAGGTGTCGGAGCAGCGCTCTTCCACGGGAGATGCGAGGTACGATCAACTTGCCGCCAAGGATCCAGCCCTGTCGTGGAACAACCAAGCTCCGGCCGAGCTGCTGGATGCCGGCCGAAATCAGGAGCTCGCCATCCGCCTGGCCCAAGATGACTTCCACCGCCGCAACACGGCAAGGCGCTCCACGCGTCAAGCCGGCATCACGGAGCACGAGGAGCAGAGACGCCGCGGAGGACGAGTGTGGGAGGACTGGGATGACTGGAACAACCCCCGCCCACATGTCGGCGCGACGGACGACTCGGACAACCTGCAGAGACAGCTCCAGGAGACCAGGCGGAGAATGGAGAGGTCTGATGACCGCTCGGACATCGTCGTCAACGATTTGAGCCGCAACAGATATCCCGGCGTGTCGCAGCGGCCGGCCGGGCCGCGTGCTCAGCCGTCGGCCCCGTCCTATAGCTACCCCTCGATCCACAAATCCTCTTCGATTCAGTATGAGCCGTCGCCGGGCCGGCGAGACATGGAGCTGATGGATCCCCGAAGCTACCCGTCCCGGCCGCCCAAGGAGCCGTACCCAAGCACAGCACCACCCCTCCGAGAACCCGCACCCCCGCCTAGGCCTCAGAAGGTTGCGGAATCGGACGGTATCTGTCCCGCCATCCCTCCCGCAGTGCCAAATGTCCCTGCCAAACTCCCGGAGCAGCAGGAGGCGACGGTAGGCCATGCCGTCAACGAGCTCAGCAAGCGAAAGAACGTGACGTTCCTGCCAGCGGGATACACCGAGGGCGGCAAGCCGCTGCGGCCCATCTTCATCCCGCAGCGACTCGAGGACGAGTTCCTGCGGATCGCGGGCCCCAACACGCGCAAGGGGCTTGAGCTCTGCGGGATTATCTGCGGACGGCCGATTAACAACGCGCTCTTCGCGTCGGGCCTGCTGATTCCCAATCAGGTCTGCACCTCGGACACGTGCGAGACCGAGGACGAGTTCCAGATATACGAGTTCTGCGAGCGTGAGAATATGATCATCATTGGCTGGATCCACACGCACCCGACCCAGACTTGCTTTATGAGCTCCCGTGATCTGCACACCCACGCAAGCTACCAGGCCATCTCGCCCGAGTCCATCGCCATTGTGTGCGCCCCCAAGTTTGGCCAGTGAGTCTCCCCTCTCTCATTATGCTTCGCCTCGCTTCTGTTCCAGTGATTATGTCGTCTTTGCCTAACGGCGCGCCCACATTCTTGCCTCGCAGGTTTGGCGTCTTTCGTCTGACGGACCCCCCTGGCCTGCCGCACGTGCTCGGATGCCCACACACCAACACGTTCCACCAGCACTCTCTCCCGGAGCAAGAGATATATAAGGACGCCATGCATCCGGCCAGTCACGTCTATCTGTCGGACCAGATAGAGTTCGAAGTGACGGACTTGCGCCCACGTTAGAGGCGATACCTTGGCCGGATTGCCCAACCAGGATCCTTGGGATTCAGGGCCAGGATACTGGCCAGGAGGCAAGCCCTTGCGGCCGCCCTGAGCAAGACGCATGGCAATGCGCGCACACGTCGTTTTCCCTCCTGTTTTGCGCCGTCTCCCACCAGTTCGATACCCCAAACCCCATCCCCTGCATGATGGCCGTGTACTCAACAGCCCGGTGATATACATGTTGTTTGTTGTTTCCTCAGCCTTGGAGAAAGGTTGACTCTAGTGCTCACAGAATACAAGGCCCCCACCTTTGAAGTTGGGCACAGAAGGGCCCAGAGGATGCATTGGTTCGGCGTTTCATGATGCACGATCTGCTTTCCCATAACCTCGCACATATTCTCCCAGCCCACTTCTTGCCACCCTCCCATGCCACCTCTGCTTTTTTTCATGGGAGGAAGGAACTCCGTGTTGGAGTTAGATAATCGGGGCACAAGGCGTCGATCACGGGCGAGTCTGGTGGGCATTCTAGCGGTGTTAGAACCAAACAAAGGATAGCATGATTACTATCATTGTCATCATCTTCCAGTACAAGCACTCAAGTGTATTGGTCGTGAGTTAGACAAACGCAAAGTGCAGGGGCTGTCGTCTTATTGTAGATGCCTATGCTCAATAGATATCGGTTTCTCGCTTGGTGGGCATACCACGAGTCTGTCCTGTTTCGCGTTGTTTGTCCTTCGTATTGTTCTCACCACGACCTCGGCAAAAACCCCCGTGGGTCGTCTCTATTGACCTGCGTATTGACGGGCGGGCTGATAATTGCGGTTCCTGGGTTCTCGGCTCCACCCTCCCCCCTCTGACTTTAGTAACACCTTCCTCCTCCTCAACGCCGTTCTTCTTTTGCATGACCTCCTCTCATTTCGCCAACTTTTCGCCCCAACTTTGTGTGGCTCGGCTGAGTCACCGCAACTTTGGCCAGTGCTTGCTTGGGGAGCTGGGCTTTCGTTTCTATCTCTTAAAGCCAGCCTCCTCCCATCCTTGACCGTTTCCTTCTTCCTTTTCCTTCACCACGGTCTCGCCTACCGAAGAAGGCCCAGCCGGCACTTGAGCTTTTCCTGCTCTTGATCCAACTGGCAGCGCGCAACATCGCTCTTTGAACGCGCGCGCACAAACTTGCCTCGTCGTCAGTACTCGTCTAGAGCGAGACCGATCACCAGTCCTACAACCAACCACCTGGCAATCCTCTGACGCAGGCACTGAAGAACTTTTGCTTCGGTTCGCATCACTTCTCTTCCAGGATAGCAATTCAGAAGAGCCGGGAATTTCGGCGCGGTAAGCTAGGTATCTGCTTGACCTTTCCTCGCGGTATCGCCAGTTCAGGGCGCCACCTCCCACCTCGTCACATCACCCTCACTCGGCCCTGACTACCACCACCACCTGTTGGTTCTCCCAAAACAGCAGCAACTGCAGCTGCCAGCCAGCATGGCGTACCAGCCGGCACCCATCGACAATCCGTGGCACCCGCAATGGGACCCGCGCTACCTGCCATGCCTCACCCGACCTGATCCTCGCTACTACCGGTATGTCCCGGACCTCTCGTGCTACTTCGTGGTCGCCCACCACCAGAGCCCGGACTGGCAGCCGGGTGAGGGACACCCGTCCTCCATCCGCTGGCTGCGCAACGCCGCCCCCGAGTTGGTCTCTGCCGACGGTCGCCTCGCCACCCCGGCCGACGATGTGACACGCGGCCAGCCCACCTCGACAGCCGAGGCCAGTGCCATCTTCGGCCCACCGCACCCGCCGCGCGAACATCGCCGCGCGAATGTGCCCACTTGTCCCCCGCCGGGCCCTCCACTGGCACGCTCGGGCGTTGACATGCCCGAGACCCGTGGAAGGCCCTTGTCCAGGGAGGGCGTGAAGCAGCCGACGGACTGGGCCGAGCCTGATAGATCCCGCGAGTATTGGACTGAGAATGCAGTCGAGGATGAGAGGAAAGCCACCAGCTACGCTGACCAGACCCATCGGACCGTTCATCACAACACCCACGAGAACTCTGACCAAAAGGTCGCGACCGAGCAGGCCGGCCCGCATGACAACGACTGGTACGACGGACTGTCCTATGCTCTCCCAAAGAACTCGCAGGCGAAGCCCCCGGCCCGGGGTAAGGATGGCACCAGGCAGCGATCGAGCGAGCGAGGGAGCAACTGGCACTGGACGCCCCAGCTCGCTCCCACCCCAGCTTATCGTCAGCAGGCCGCCCAACAGTCGCAGCAATGGGGCCAGCAACTACAGCCACGGAATAATCAGCCGCTGTCGTGGGATAAGAAACAGTCGTGGGACCAGAAACAGTCGTATCAAAACGAAGACGACAGCAGCGCCCGCCCGCGCGACCTCTCGGGCTCGTACGACTCGGACAAGCAGCCGCACACGGCCACGACTGCGCCCTCGAGGAAGGTCTCAGGCAGCAGCGGCGAGCAGGAGCACGGATCCTCCGGATTCTGGCCCGAGACGACCGAGATCTCAGCCCCCGACGACGCCCATGTGCACCGCGTCAAGCCGGACTTCCTCCGCAAGTCCCACGACCTGCCTCTCGGCCACATGGACAGCGCCTGGGGCTGGCCTGAGCGGTCGGACACGCCGCCGCCGCCCTCTGCTTTTAGAGCCGCAGAAGAGAAGCGCCCAGAGGCTGTGCCCCCGACCCCGGCCTCTCAGAACAGCGATCTAAGCTTGACCTACCTGGCCGACTACTACGAGCGCCTGGCGCTTCAGTGCCGCGAGAGGACCATCAGTTCCCACGAGGCTCGCGCTGCCGCTGCTGCGGCCGTTGCCAACAAGGGCCGCCACCTGGACGAGAAGTTCTCCTCACAGCCGCCGACCAAGAGCCGCGAGGACGACCAGCATCACCGTGGTCAGACGTGCGAGGCGTGGGGCGGACCAGTATCCGAGGAGAACAGCAGCTGGGGGAGCGGCTGGGGGGGCGGTTGGGGCAACCCTTCTGCCTGGTGAAGCGCTCCAGCCGGGCATCCCACGCAAGGATCCGACACAGTTCGCATCCAAAACAACAAACAGCTGAAGGGCAGCACACGCAATCGTCTCAGGTTGCTCTCTGAGAGCAAACCCATGCCCAGCATGGTGAGCTCCAATACGCCCCCTCGCAAACCACCCCATTTTCACGTTGACATTCTCTCACGATGCTTTTTTCTTCAAGTTCCATCCCCCAAGAATTCTTTGCGCCAACTTCGCACATGACTCACTCGATGCATTTCACCAATCTTCAGACCATCACCACCAGGCGACGGACGCCGGCACACTAACACCAGCTCCCATACTCGAGTTCCCCATTCCACAATACCTTTAACCCCCGTCATTTTTACTACCAAAACTTCAGCATTTTAGATGATTCTTTCTCTTTCTCCATTCTCGCACAAGGCACCAGAGCCGATGGTCTGCGAGGACCGACGGAGCCACCCCAGCCAGAGGGGAATGGTGCAGGTGCAGGGACGGCGGGAAATCTTTGCGATGATTTCTTCTCATACTCTATTTACTACCCGACGCTTGCCATGGAACAGCTGGGCAATGGAAGCTATCGAGAATCTTTGGCCTTGCTATTTTCTCCTTGATGGGCTATGTCGGCGTCTTCGATGATACCTAGGCAGTCTCTAGAAATAGCTAGCTACTCTCCAGCAACTGGATCAAATGCCACCGCGATAGAAGCGAAACCTGCCCCCAAAACCTGGTCCCCCACGCTCTCCAAGCAGAGCCAACAGCCTTGTGAGACATTACGACCGCACCACGCTCACGGGCCCAAGAGCGCAGGTGGTGAAGGTGCCGACGGTGATGTTTTGGGAGCACCTGACGTAGCCGAAAGAGCTGACAGGGAACAGCGGGATCAGGGTGTCGGTGGGAAGGTGGGCCTGTGCTCGAGGGGTGTTGCCTCCTGTCAGCAACGCCGTGCGTTTGCGTCCTCCATCCAGGGATTGAAGTGCTTACGATGTTGCAAAACTCAAGCTTTGTCTCCGCGCAGGTGTTTCCGGGCACCCCGGTCGAGGAATCAGCAGTCGCCGCAACACCTATCTCAAGGGCAGGCCCCAAGGCAGACTTTTTTAGTTCACAACGATTCGAGAGGGCTTCCGAATGATGAACCACTCACAGCCGTTGGCAATCACAAGTCTCCCTCCCATGCGCTCCAAGATGCTGTCGCAGCACTGCGGTTTGGTGCCTACGGTGCACGAGAAGGCGGCCAGCGTCCCGGGAGCGGCGGCGGCAAGGGCCAGGGCGGAGGCGATGATGCCTTGGAACTTCATACTGAGCGAGGGGTTTATTTGGGAAACTGGTATCTGGTGGTGGGGGAGGCTGGAGGTGAGCCTGAGGACAAGGGATGAACAACAACAGCGACCTCAGCGGGCAAGGGCTATTTATAAGTGAACAAGGGCTGAGAGAGGAGCGGGAGTACCTGAACTCCCGGGCTATACGGAAGCCTGGAGCCCCGGCCATCTTTGTGAGGCCGTACAGGATGACAAGACATTTGCTAGTGGCTGCTGCATATACGAAAGTCGGTGTGGTGAGCCGAGCGCGTCCTCAAGCCAATGTATAACATCATTACGAGGCAAGTTGACAATTGCGGCAATACCATTCCCTAGCTCGCGCCCTCAGGAGGCCGAGGCTGAGACCCAAGCTACAGCGGAGGACAAGGCGGTGATGTCTCGGTCAGTCTTGGCAGTGATCGATCGATCTCTCGGGCCTTGGACCACTAAGATCAACAGGAATGGTATGACGAAAGGGCGGGACGGAAGTAAAATGCGAGTCCTGCATGACATTATTGCTGCCGCCGAGTTGCCAAAACAGGGCACATCTTGGCCAGTGTGGCGGCAGCGGTGTTGCAAGGAGATACACCGTTGGCAGCATTAACGAGCGCTCATGAGTTTGGGGAAGGGCTCTCTCAAAGGATTGGCGAAATGAAAAGTTTATAGATTGTTTTTTTCCTTTTTTTTACCAAGCGATACCCACCTATCCGCAACATTGCTGGTATCAAACCTGAACGATCCTCTGCTGCCCATTGCGTCTTATATGCACGGCTGGCTATCTGGTTTCCAACAGCTCACAGCAGCAAACCGGGTGGTCGAGCGGGTGAAAACCGTGGCGCAAAGTCACAACCGTCTTCCACGGGTGAGGGCCAGGAAACCCCAAGCTCGCTGATTCGAATCCGTTTAGTGACGGCGACTTTAGAGCCAGCAAAATCCAGCCAGTGCGGGTTTTCGTAACGACACTGTTTCACAACAGCCGAGTGAGCTTTTTGCCTTTTTTTTCTTTTTAAGTATTTATATCCTTTGCGGAATTTGCAATATCAAGGAATCACCACGATGCTTGGCGTTGGTTGATACAATGAACGTTTTTTTTTTGCAAAGCGCTTTAGGACAGAGGTTTGGGAGAAATCGAACACTTAAATGGAAGGAAAGACAAGACGAAGGAGAAGAAACGACGGAACTTTTACTAGGTATGTACGAAGGAAGTAGCTTCTGTTCTACTCAACATTTCTACGCAAAACCGTCATATATCAGCATACACAAATCCTCAACCTCCAAGCTCCCAGCACTGGGCCTCGGTCATGGGCACCTCGTACGTGTACAGCGGCTCGCGGTAGAGCCCCGTGACGAAGGCCACGACGCCGAACCAGAAGCGGCTCCCGTGCCACGCGCCGCCGGCGCAGCAGTCGTCCCCGCCGTTGCCGGCGCACTCGCGCGGTGGGCCGACCTCGACGCCCGTGTCGCTGTCGAAGCCAAAGTCCCGCCCGACGGCAAAGGCGTTGACTAGCGCCGCGCGCGCGCTCAGCCCGGCCGACAGCTCCGCCAGCCCCTCGAACAGGCATGCGCCCACGGCCACGGTCAGGTCCGCGAAGGGGTTGAGCTGCAGCTCGACGCGCGCCGCGGCTGGCGACCTCCCAGCCGCTCGCGGAGCTGCCGCCCTTGTCCAGCAGGTCGAGGCGGGCGCGGGCGCCGTCGATGGACGCGCCGTAGCTGGCCGTGGCGTTGACGGGGCCCTCGGCGGCCACCTCGAGCCCCAGCGTCAGCGACGCCATGGGCCCGACGTCGATGATGCCCGGGATCTTGAGCGCCGACAGCCGACAGCGGGCTGTAGCGCACGGGCGCGACGGCGACGCGGCCGCCGGTGCGGGCCGCGACCTCGAGCCCCACGGCCAGGTCTAGCTCTAGCTCGACCTAGAACTCCTCGAACCGCACGAGCAGCGGGTTGTAGTGCAGGTGGCCGCTGAGCTGCACCGTGCCGCGGACTGAGGCCTCGTCGAACGCGACGGCCAGGTCGGCCGTGTCGACGAGACTGTAGTTGGATGCGTCCACCTCGAACGTTTGGCTGATCTCGGGCCAGGCGGCGGCGGCGGCGGTCGACACTGTGCTGGTGCTGATGTTGCCTCCTGAAGTTGGGGTCCCTGCCTCTCGGCGCCGGCTGAAGTCGATGACCACGTTGGCCATCTCGTCGCGGAGCCAGCGTTTTTCCACCGACGCGGTGGCGGTGAGCCCGCCCGCGTCGTACTCGATGGAGCCGACCGAGAAGACGATGCGGTTGTGGCTGTCGCTGCAGCCGTCATGCTCGTCGCTGGTGATGAGCAGCAGTGAATCCGTGCCGTTCAGCCGCCACGACTCCCGGCCCTGCTCGAGCGCGCCGGCGTCGCCGAAGCGGATGTCGACGACCGAGGACGACGAGGAGGCGTTGCCGCCGTCGGACGGGCAGCTCACGCCGTCGAGCGAGGGCAGCGTCTCGAGCACCACGGCCGGCTTCTTCATGGTGGCCTGCACGACGGCCGACGTGCCGTTCTGGTCCCGCCAGGGCAGGGAGACGCTGCTCGATGGGGCAAAGGCCTGGTCCGGCTGGCACGACCTGGCGCGGATGGGGCGCAGGACGCTGGCTGTGGCCGTGGAGAAAGCGCCAGCCCAGGCCTGGGCCTGGAGAGCCTCTTGACTAGTCCCATCTTGTTCACTTATGAGCTAGCTGGCGAGAAGGGCTAGCAAGAAGGCTGTTGCGGGCAGACAGGTGGCCAACTGGAAAAAGAAAAGTTCAGGCAAAGCCGCCAGCCAGAGGCGGCGCTCGTCTTTCTATTATACCCGCATCAGCAACAGCAGGAGGCCGCCTGTCTCAACACGTGCGTGTGTATGCGCTCACGCTCGGGTTGCAGTACCGAAGTTGAAGATGGAGACAGGGATGGTCCATGACAAAAGGCTGCAACGGTGCTTGCAGGACCAAACAGCGCCCAGTCGGTCCCTGATGCCGACCGCGAGGTATGGCCAGGGGCCGGCTGCGTCATTGAAGGACAGGCACAAGGCCGACTCCACCGGCAGGAACACGCCGAATGACACGCAGCGAATCCATGGTTGCTTTCAGGGCGGCTGTTGTTATCTCTCTACACGCCATGGTATTCCCGGGTCGACGGTCGAGGAACGTGGGAACCAACTGGCTGGTGGAGATGCCATCTGATGTTAAATGGAAGCCCCTGATGCGACCGGCCTGTTATATTCCACCGTTCCTGGTCAGGGCGGTTCGCGAGGTGAGCGGCTCGGTGCATCCTTGCCGCTTTCGGCGTCGGAGAAGTCTTGGCTGGCAACGCCTGCGGACCAGTCAACTTCTCTGGCCCGCTTGCCACCTGCGGGCGGGAAATGATAAGGAGCCAGGCACAATATTTGTCTGCGGGTTTGGAAGTTGCCTGGTGCCTCGTAAAACTGTGCCATTTTGTTGTAATTTATCAAGTACATGTCTGGTGCAATGTGCGCCTTCACGTCTCCTTCCACATCCACAAAGACTTTCAGATCTTGGTTAGAGATTCAAGGGCAGCTTCTCGGCCTGCCCTAACCAGCCACCATCTTCCTGCCATGTCCTCCACAACATGCCAGAGCTTGCATGGGCAAACACATACATCCTACCCTTTTTATCACTCAGCGCCTTGGGCGGCCCCTTCAGCTCGCTTGCGACAGTCGTCCAGGTACCGGAACTGGTCAAGGTGCTACCCGAGAAAGAATAGGTCCGGTGCAGCAGCGAGTTATTGTTCATGGTGGCTTCCCCCCAGACAAAGACGTCGACGCGGTTCTCGCTCCAAGAAATGGCCTCTGGCTCGCCCAGAATCTTGACATCGGGGTCGACAGTCGTCCAGTTACGGCTGCTCCAGTCCCCACCCCCATCCCGCTCGTAGCAAGCCTTCCACCACAGCCGCCCGTCCCCGCCTCTGGCAAACACGTCCATGTTTTTCGCGTCGCGAGCCACGACGGCCGGCGTCGAGGTGACGAACCCGCCCAGATCCTCCATATTTTGGCCACCCACGCCACCATACACAGTCCAGCCCTGGTTTGCGGCCGCGCCGTGGAGCAGGTGTCGGTTTTCATCCGCGACGGCGAAGAAGTGAAGCTTGTTTCCCGCATCGACAACCCGTGGGGTCAGAAACGCCAGGGGCGGCGACGAGAAGACCTTGCCGTCCTTGAGCGAAGGGAAGACGCCGTCGTGGCCGATGCCGCTGACGCCGACGGTCCCCATCTGCAGGATCCCGTTGGCGCCTCGGGTAAGGAACATGGCCGTGTATCCGTGCCACTCATCCCCGCTTGGAGCGAGCGTGAGGCTTTCCTTTTTTGCACTCCACGCCTGGCCCTCGGGCGTATCGTCGGGTTTTGTGCTGCTGAAACTCTCGTTCAAGAACCAGTTCCCGCTGCTGTCCTGCGTTGCGCGCCGTAGGAACCGGCTGTCAAGGTAGAGCAGCTCGGTCCAGTTACGCCCTGCGCGGAACCGGGGCTGGACCGAGAATCGGAGGTCCTGATCAAACTCCACGCTCTTCGCGGTGACGATCCAGGCAGAGTTGTTGGCCTGCCGGGAGGAGAAGTCCGTCGGCGAGGTCGCGTTGGGGTTACGGCGGAAGGCCGTGATGGCGTAACCCCCAAACTGAGGATTCGATTCAAAGACTTGTAGATGCGGCGGGCCCCACGAGATGGCCGTAGGGACTGTGTAGAAGCCAACGGACGTCGACGAGCCCGTCATCGAGGCCGGGTTGGCGATGGTGCTCGTGGATGTTGGCGTGTCGGTGGGCGTATCCCTAGACAGCCAGCCATCAGCCGTTTGCAAGCCAAAGTCAGAGCCGGCCCCATCAGAATCTTTGGAGCGTCAGAAACCAAACGAGATGCGTACCTTCCATCACCGCCATTCGTAGATCCAGGCTTTAGGAGAGTGCCCAGGGTCCCGCCCAAAACAGCAGCCACGATAACCAAAGCTACCAACCCAAGGACAAATAGTGACCTCTTTTTCTTTTTCCCCTGCGCCGTTTTCTCGTCTTCGTGCCGTCCTACACCATGCTCCCCGGAAACGTATATCTTGTCATCCCTCGCAACATGCATGAGCCCCGCGCTGTCCGGCACCGCTCGTTCCAGCCATCTTGGACTGGCGGGGGCTGCTTCCAGACCGGGCGTATCGCTGTGGACTTGCAGGCCGGGGTTGTATTCCTCATAGGCGACACTGTGGTTGGCTGCAACGGCAGGAGAGCTCGATTGATCAGGCCCAGGTATTGTCGTAGGCCCCTGTCGCATTGAGCTTCCGCGATCCGGGGGCGCCAGATCTGGGATGGCCGAAGACGCCATCGGAATAACGCGATCGCGGTCTGCTTTGGCGTTGGAAAACAATTGTTTTACCATACACGCCACAGCCGCGGAGAGAAAGAGGGAGTGAGGACGGCTGATCTGCCGAGTGACGAGCGGTTCGGTTCGGTGGCGCCGTTTCAGCGGCAACAGCCACGGTGGGCACGGCATGGGGTTCGTCCAATCCAAGAACCAGCCGAAGGAAGGCTATATCACATTCTGCATGGTGTATTTACGGCGCCTAGGGGTTGCACTGCACCACGTAGTTACGGGTTACACAGCAGGCCAAACCCATTCAAGCCGATTAACCCGGCTAGATTCATGGGCAAGGCTTTGCCGCCTCGCTCGGCCGATACCGTCTAGTCTCTCTTTTGCTGCGCTCATGCCTGCCAAAGATACCGATAGAAGAGCCCATCACATATCCTTCGAAATGCCCTCCTTATAAGCGGCCAGCGCCCTCTCGCGGCAGCCCTTGTGCTCCACCATCTGCTTCGGGTACCCCCTCCTCTGCGCCTCGGCCCCAACCCCCCTCCCGTACGGGTCGTGTATGGCCTTGCGGTCCTTGACGCCCCTGAGCTCGGGCACCCACTTGCGGATGTAGTCGCCATCCGGGTCGAACTTCTCGCTCTGGAGGAGCGGGTTGAAGACGCGGAAGTAGGGCTGCGGGTCGACGCCGACGCTGGCCGCGAAGCCCCAACCGCCGTTGTTGCTGGCGAAGTCGCCGTCGACGAGATGCTCCATGAAGAAGCGCTCGCCCATGCGCCAGTCGATCAGCAGGTCCTTGGCCAGAAACGAGGCCACGATCATGCGGCAGCGGTTGTGCATCCACCCCGTGCTTGCCAGCTGTCGCATTGCCGCGTCCACGATCGGAAAGCCCGTCCGGCCTTCGCACCAGGCGCTGAACTGCTCGCGGTCGTACGACCAAGAAATGTTGGAGTATTCGGGCTTGAACGGCTTGTTCATGCTGTGCGAGCAGATGGTTAGCCGTCCGACCAAAGACCCAGAGACAGACAGGGGGGAGTGGCGACTTACCACACGTAAGGCCAATTGACTAAAACATGTTTATAGAAGTCGCGCCAGGCCACCTCGCTGATCCAGGTCTGCATCCCTTGAGAGCCCCTGTCCAGCTTCGCCGTGCTGGCAGACTCTTGCGCGTGATGGACCGCCGTCCGAGCACTCAACGCACCACTCGCCAGGTAGGCTGAGATGGAGGAAGTGCCATCTCCGGCGGGGAAGTTGCGCTCCGCGGCGTACTGCCCGATGCGCGTCTTGCAAAACGCCTCTAGCCTCTTGCGGGCCTCGTGCTCTCCGGCCGGCCAGAGCTGGCGCAGTCTGTCTCGGCTGTCGGGGTCGAGTGCCTTTGTGTCGGGCGCTTGTGGCACTTCAGATTCGAATAGGTGTGAGAACTTTGCCCTCGCACTTGCAGGGTTCTTCTGGGGAGCCTCGACGAGCTCGACAAGCTTTGGGTTGGAAGCGGTATACTTGAGCCAGGCGCGGAACCAGGGCGAATAGACCGCGTACTGTTTTCCTGTGCCACTTTTGAGGCATCCTGGAGGAACGATGCACGTGTCGTGAACAACCTCCATCGACTTTCCATTCTCGGCCAGCATCCTGACCAGCTGGGCCTCCCTGCGTAACTCGTCTACTTCATACTCCATGTTGGCGAACAGATGACTGACGCCCCAATCCTCCAAGAGATCCAGAACACGTTGCGGAACCTGGCGCCTCTTCTCCACCGTCTCGATATGAAGAGGGATGTCTAGATTCGCTAGGTCCTGCTTGAGGACCTCGAGATTCTGCAACGTGAAATCGACCCTGACCGGCGACGTCAAGTGCGCCTCCCAGTCCTGTGGGCTGATGATGTACAGGGCTACCAGTGGGACGCCTGCAGCCTTGGCCTTTTCACTGGCCATGCGCAAGGCGGTGTTGTCTGACGTGCGCAGGTCCATCTTAAACCAGTGCATCACGGCATCCCCGATCTTGACTTTCCGCCGGATGGGGAGCGTCTGTGAAAGGGCCTCTTGCAAATCCTGGATGGGCCGAGGTAGTTCTTCGCTGGTATACGCCCGAGCGCGCTCGTTGCTCATCTCGTGGGGGTAGAACTTCCGCATGACAATGCCGCTCTCTTCGGCATCTTTGTAAAACGGATGTGGCTGTCGCAGGCGGTCTATCGCTGAGGGCTGACCTGCAGGCGACTCGGGAGACCCCGAAGTTGTGCGGGCCTTCTTTGAGCCAGCGCCGTTGACCTCCTTGACAGGAGCGGATTTGCGCTTCGTCGTTCTAGGAGGCATTGTGGATAATGTGACAGTAGAGATGGCGAGATGGTGTATCCGAGGAGGCAGGTTACGGAATGAAGCGGTGATACGAGGATTTGCGAGACGAATGGAGATGTATGCGAAGCGCAAGGACGACATGGATGAAGGCGAATCCAAAAAGCAGCGACAGCATTGTAGCAGTCAAAATTCCAAGTTGGTAAGTATCGGATGGAATTTTGTGATGGCGATTTGGCCGATCGCCTCTGTGTCATCCAGTTCTTGCGATCGCAGCGCCTTTCATGTGGCTTGCGCCTAGCGCGAAGCAAGATCGATGATCCCTGCAAATCCCTGGCGCGTAGGCTTGGAACAAACGAAGCGCATCCAACTCCAGGCATTCGCCCTCGCATCAATCAGCTCACTTGCACCTGCACTTGGGGGCAAGATAACAAAGACCGCACAAAAGGGTTGGGGCTGAAAAACAAGGCAAACGAGCAAGAAGCACAAGTTGAATCATGTTAGATGTAAGACCCGTATCTGTACTATGGCCAATTTCTCCAAGGCCACAGCTTTTTGAAGGCCGTATTGATCTGCGGCACGGGGACTATCGAGTAGCCCCAGAGTCCTTGGACATGGAGACTGCACACGAGGTGCATCCGAAGACACTTTGCCAGCCGGGGTTCCACAGGCACAACACACGAGGAATGGCATCGATGATCGTCTGGTCGTTTCGAATCGTGCACGAGGCGGAGAAGTCGGTCGGACGTATGGGCAGTCTCGTCACAGATTCCGCAGAAAAAGTCAGGGTAGTCATTCAGAGTTTCGAGCGGACTGCCAAGACAGAGCCCGCAGTCCTATCGACGAAATGCAAATCCATTGGCCCTGATCCCGTTGATGTTCGCCGTTTTCCGAAATGCTCGATAGACCCAAAAGAAACCCTGTCAAGGAACCGGCGTCATGGTCAGCAAACGGTTCGGAGTGATCAGTGTCGGCGGCGCGGGTAAAGTCGTACCAGTCATGCCCATTCCCATCATCCAGAACCGAACCCGTTTATCGTTGAGCGCTGAAGACGTTCTTGAGGAGACCGTCCCTCTGGGCCAGCCTGTTCAGGGAGTCGTCGCCCTCGCCCATGGCACGGACGAAGCCGCACAGGGCGTAGACGTGGTTCTCGCCCTGGACGGCACGGCCATTCTCGTCGACCTTGGCGATGGAGATCTGCACCGAGGCATGGTCCTGGGCCTTGATGATGCGGTTGGTGGCCGAGCACTTGCGGGGGACGTAACTGTGAGGTGAGGGGTTTCGTCGGTCAGTCTTTTCCTTGGTGATTCGCGCGGTCGCAACCATTGGCCTCGTGGCCGTCATCGATTGCAACTCCTCCTCCCCGCTCGGCGTCGACTTACAGGTCGACGATCTCTCCCTTGTCGTTCTCCATTTTGGCGGACTTTGAGGTTGTTGGCTAAAAGTCGTTTGGATTTTTGGCTGCTGGGATGCTGGGGAAAGAAGGGTCGCTCTTTTTTCTTCGTGATGAAATTTGACGTTTGGTTGACCAATTTCCGGGCTGTGTGCCGGACCGCGGGTTTGTGGGGCGCTGGGCGATCTGCCTGGGAAGTTTGAAAGTCAAGCAGCACGTGACGTCGCGTTAAGTCCGCGTTCCTCCCGCTCGGCTCGGCAGGGATTGTTGACCCCGCAAACCCAATCCAGATCAATGGAGGTGCTGTTGCAGCAAATAGGGGCACATCAATCTCGCTGACGCCATTCACAACCATCACGAACCGAGCCCTCTCCCGAGCCACACCCAGCCGAAACGACTCTCCCAGTCCAGGGACCGACAGTCCACGATACCCGACACTGTCGCTTCCCACTCGGCTTGATCGCGCTCTGCGCGGTTATGCGGTGCGTTGCCGACTTGCGGTGACGATGGCCTCGCCGTCTAGGTTCCTTCCATCTTCGCCATCAAGACCAGGCACCTATGCGCCCCGATCGTCGTCGCCAGATCTTCCCTCAGTCGGCGAGCTTGTCGCCCGCTACGCGAAACAGCCGACACTCCGATCCGGCAGCAACGCTACGCCGATCCCTGCCGATGTCGCCACCTCTTTCACGACCGCGTCGACCCTGCTCCGAACAACCCCGGCGATATCTGCCGAAACACAAAGAGCCGGTGCACGGGAACCCCTTATTACTACACCGCAAAAGTCCTTGGCCGAGCGCGAGATCATAGAGATATCACCGGATGTCTCGCTCGTAGTACCGGAGCCGGTGTCGCGAGCAGAAAAGAGGACGAAGCATCTTGCTGCCCCGCAAGTTGCAGCGCAGGGGTCGGAAGAAAACCATGACAGTGTTATAAACATCGATCCCTTCAAAGCGCAGTCTCGGAGAGCCCAAAGGTCACCTCCGCCCAAGGATGTGTGCGAGATTCCACAACCTATCGGCCAGGCTCCCTCCAAGGTCGTCAAGCCCGCGGCCCGCAAGCCGCCGGCAGCTACTAGGCGCAAAAAGGCCGAGACTGTTAGCAGGCATTTTTCTCCTTCTGTCACCGAACAGCCTGCCCCCGCCAAACCTGCCGAGCCGAAACCACGCCGCCCAAAGGCCAGCAAAGCCACCTCAAAAGTTACTGCCGTCCCCATACCAGAGCCAGATCCCACCGATGTAGAGGAGGCCTTCTGTCTTGAGCCGGCACTACCAAGGCGGTCAGACTGGACCCCGCCACGTGAAACAGCAACGCAGCGCCCATCAGACTCTCCATGCCTCAGGGTTTCCGCATCCCAGGCTCCGGTAGATACGCAAGAGCCCTCAACTATTGGGCCGGGAGGGGTGTTCGAGACATTGCAGGACACATTTGCTTGCCCCCTGGCCCAGCCACCAGGTCGTAGCCACTCTCCCGAGAAGGATGTCCCTCCCGTGGCAGCGCTGAAAAAGAGGAAGGCGATCCAGCTCATCGGTCCATCCAGAGAAGCTTCTGCCTCGAAAAACCCATCTCCCACCAAGCTCAAGGCACCGAAGAAGAAGCCCAGAACCATCACCGAGCTTGCTACCGCAGCCTATATCGCCCCAGCATCGAACGGCGCCGCGGAAGTGGCCAAACCAGGCTCTATTGTGAACTATCTCGAACCAGAAGGTGCTGAGCATGCCCTACAGCATGGACACCCGGTCTCGAGGCCACGCAAGCCCGACAGGAGGAGAAAGGGGAAACAAGGGCATCGCCAGCTCCTACTCTCTCCCGTATCTGCCATGGACCAGTCCGCACAGCAGGACTTTGTGTTTGGAACATCCAGTCAACTGGCGCAGGAGCAGTCCCCCACTTTCCTCAAAGACCTGCACCAAGCTCTGAAAATATCCAGTGAGCTCCCAGAAGACCCCTTTGCCAGTCCTTCAGTGGCAGGATCAGACAAAGGGAGGAAGCTATGGGCTGCTGGCGCTCGTGGTGAGGACGGCGGCCTAGTCGACGTGGAAGTTATTGACCTCCTCAATTCGCCCGCCTTCCCCGATGATCCGATGGCCGTCGTTAGGGCAGAAATGCAGAAGAAAATGCCAGAGAGCCCAAGCGATAGGCTCGAAAAGGGAAGGTCCAAGATAGCCCCCGCGATAGAGATCGAGTCCTCGGCGTCCGACAGCGACAGTGAAGCATTCACTGCGCCAGTAGCAAATACACAGTCCAAGAGCACGCACTTTTCGACGCAGCGCCACCCCTCTGCGCCGCAACCGGCTTGGGGGCCACCGGAATCCAGGCCGCATATGACCCCGACCGTTGACTTGGATGAGGACGCAGGTGACTATGAGCCGCCGCCCAGCAACCAAGAAGCGCAACAGATACAGCAGCTACAGCAACACGACCTTGAAAGCAGGCAAGCAGCAGCTCCCAGGCCAAATTTTGAGCTTATGACGGACGCCCAGTTGGCGAGCCAAGTCACCAAATATGGGTTCAAGGCCATCAAAAGACGCACGGCGATGATTGCTTTGCTTGACCAGTGTTGGGTCAGCAAGACGGGGGGCGTTCCAGCAGCTGCAGGTTCTGCCGCGTCAATGTCGACCACGGCCACGATGGCACGGGCTGGCTCCAAGGAGCCCTCAAGTAAGCCGGCCACAACTTCGCCGAAGAAACCCAGGGGCCGTCCGAGAAAAGATAGCTCCGTCGCTACCACCACGTCAGAATCGGCTTCTGGTGCCGCTGCGCCAGCCAAGCCAAGGGGAAGGCCAAAGAAGACTGCAGCCACCGCCAGCAGCCCCAAGCCGCGGGGGAGGTCGAAGACTAGTTCCCCTGCAGCTAGTCCGAAACCACGGGGAAGGGCGAAGAAGACAGTCTCTCCTGAGGCAAGTCCCAAGCCACGAGGCAAGCCAAAGAAAACTCCACCCTCAGTCGCAGCCAGTGCCAACTCCAAGGCAATCTCCGCCTCGATGCCTCCACCTCCAGTCCCGGCGAGGGCCCGAACCCCCACGCGCGGCAGGAAGGCAGCGACGCAGTCGGCCATCGAGATTGCAGACTCGGACGACGAGAGTAACTTCTCGCGCAGCCCCCACTCCTCCCCCGAGCACGTCTTCTCCTCGCCCGGCGCCGTAGACCTATCCGTCAGCGAAGATGTTGACATCACACTCGCGCCGGGCAGTCCCACCACGGCGACTAGGCAGTCCGAGGCGTTTAGCTTCATCACCAAGGCGGTCAAGACGGCGCCGCGGTCCGACGACGTGGCGAACCCGTCGTGGCACGAGAAGATGCTCATGTACGACCCTATAGTGCTCGAGGACCTGGCGGCCTGGCTCAACTCGGGTCAGCTGGACCGCGTCGGATTCGACGGCGAGGTGTCGTCGTACGACGTCAAGATGTGGTGCGAGTCACGGAGTATATGTTGTCTTTGGCGTGTAAATCTTCGTGGTAAGGTGCGCAAGAGGCTTTGAGACCTTGTATTTGAGCACCAGATAATATTGGGCAGGGGGGATGTATTCAATATGTTTGATTTTGAAATGTCGGCATTTTGTATTTCTTAGCCTTCATTTTTTTTCAAGGAGGCAATAACGTCCATAAATTATCATGCGAAGACGAACCACCAATTCTAGTCGGTTTCCCGATTCTTTTGCCGCACTCTTGAGATCTCATAGTTGGCATTGGTAAGTATTCGGTTGAGGTAAGCCTGTACCTAATGCCCATCAGTGTAAAATGCAGCCAGCAATGTATTGTCGGGCCTCCACATTGGTAGCGCAGCTAAGGACGGCGTCTGAGCTCAGATTGGCGACCGGCACTCGGCTGTCCGCCTGACGTCGTGCCTCGGCTTGTTTGTTCACCCCCTCAAAGACGACAACGCGGGGATTGAGAAGCCACACAGTAACCCTCCATGAGCTCGAGATGAGGACTGTCAGTTCCACTCGAATACTGCGTGTGGGCTCGGCGCAAAAGTTACAAAATTTCTTTGCAGAGAGCCTATCGCCAACACGTCGTATCCAGGCCCAGACACAGCTACGGGACATGACAGCCCCAGCAAAGCCAAGACCGAGTGCGAGGTATGGAATTCGATATTTGAGGCGACTCGGCTTTCACTTACATGCCAAAGTCATGGATGCTAACATGACAAAAAAAACAATACAAAGCATACTATTGGTGTCCCCAGCCAACGAGGTCCTCCTCCTGCATAGGGTCCAGACCTCGAGCGCCTTCCCCTCGGCCCACGTCTTCCCAGGCGGCAACCTCTCGCGCTTCCACGAGAGCGGCCACGTCGAGCTCGAGGACCCGCTGGCGCAGGGGGACAGCCCCGAGTTCCGCGCGGCCGCCATCCGTGAGACGTTTGAGGAGAGCGGGATCCTGCTCGCCGTCGACGCCGCCGCGCGCGGCGGGCGGCCCGTCGAGCTCACGGCGGCCCAGCGCGACGCCGGGCGCCGGGCGGTGCACGCCAACGAGGTCACGCTTTCGCGCTGGCTCGAGGGGGTCGGCGGGGTGCCGGACCTGCAGGGCTTGCGCCCCTTCACCAGGTGGATCACGCCGGGCAACGTGCCGCGGCGGTTCAACACGCAGATGTACCTCTACATGCTTCCTCTATCTAGTGGAACCGCTACGGACCGCAACGTCGTGCCGGCGACGTCCGACGGCGGGCTGGAGCATACAGAGGCCGTATTCGCGCCGCCGCGCACGTGGCTTGAGCGTGCGCGGCGCGGCGACATCGTCATGTTCCCGCCCCAGGTGTACCTTTTGTCCCTTGTTGCAGAGCATCTGCAGCCTCTGAATACGGACAGCTCGTCGTCGCTGGAGACGCGGCAGCAGAGGAGGGAGTCGCTACTACGGTTCGTGCAGGAGACGCCCTCGGACGGGGTGGCGTGGGCCGACAAGGTCATCAGCCCGTCCTTCATGGGGCCGGTGGACAAGGGGGGCGGCGGCGATGACCGGATCGTTCTGGGGCTGTCGAGGCCAAGGGGCGATCCCGATCGGGTTGTTTATGTCAAGCTGGAGAAGGGCGGGTCCAGGTTTGGCGAAGTGCGCATGCACCCTCAGAGGAGCACGACCGGGAAGCTCTAGGTAGGGCTCGCTCTAGGCTTAGCCGGCAGTCTGGGGACGGAGTCAGAGAGGCCCATGCCTCGTGCCTGCATGATCCTGAAACTATTTACACTGCATGCTGACCTGGCGAGGAGGCCGGGGGCGTCTGCAGCCAGATCCCCGCCTCGCCTGCGTCGACTGGTGGAAATCAGGGAGCGGGAATTGGAGGGTCAGGCAATTGAGGAGGTAGCTTGGTGGTGGGCGCCTTGGAATTTGCGCCGTGGGGCTAGCACTAGTTTGCAGTGCCCGTTCAGCTGGGTGAGGCTTTGCAGCTTCTCCATCGAGCCACACGCACAGTGCTGTGCGTCGAAATTCAGTGGGGGGCCTTTGGCTGCCGGCCCACCACGGTTGCCAGGGGCGACACCAATGGGCAAACAAGCTGGGCCAAAATAAACCAGGGTCGACAAGGCAGGGCCTCGCAAGCGAGAAGACGTGCCGCGTGAAAAGTGCAAATGCACGCAACAAAGCTGCCCACAGCGACAGGGAGAGACGTCACCACGGGCCTTGTCGACCCTTGCCCGCGCAACTCGACATTGCTCTACGGAGAGTTTTGTTTCTTACTTTGATCACAAGCAGTGCTGTGTTTATCCTTCGCCCTTCTCCTTACCCATCTCGTTTTGCATATCTCGGGCATCTCATCCCATCATCAACCACCTCTCACCCCTTCTCCCACTTGTTGTTCCATTTTGTTTACATGCGCCCCGAGGGTTTGACTTGGACATCACACGAGTCCGGCACGCAGGCGGAGGAAGCGCCTCCACGATTGCGCCCAGATTTGTAGACACCAGCATCACGACACAGCAGCCATGGTTGTTGGCGACCCCAACGCTTCGTCGATAAGCGTGACGGGTATGTTCTGGGCAACAATTAGGAACCCGAGGCATGGCGGGGAGAAGGCTAACATGAACCGCTACCTCCAGTCCGAGTGCGACCATTCACAATACGCGAAGCCGCCCAACTGTAAATGCCCTCGCAACCCACCTCGACGAACCCCTCCTGACCGCCTTTCCCAATACTGACCTTGGATGTGCGCGCAGCGTGAAAACCGACGAAGGCACACTCTTCCTTGGTGATGGCTCGCTCGCCAGCGCACCAACACCAAAACTCAAGCAGCATGGCCTTCGATCCGTGATCAAGGTCGTTGACGACAGATGCCTGTATGTCTCCAGCAAAAGGCCCCAAGGAACCTGCCTCGTGGACCATGGGCCGCTAACTCTGCCCGACATGCAGCGTCTTCGACCCCCCAGAAGACAACCCAGTCCAGAAGTTCTCGCGATCCGTGGTGCCCATGGGCAAGAAAGTCAAGGACCAGGTTTTCGCATTCGACCGGATATTCGACGACAACGTCTCGCAGACGGAGGTGTACGAGGGCACGACGAAGCCGCTACTGGATAGCGTCCTAGACGGCTACAATGCCACCGTTTTCGCATACGGCGCCACGGGCTGCGGCAAAACGCACACCATCACGGGCACGTCGCAGCAGCCGGGCATCATCTTCCTAACTATGCAGGAGCTGTTCGAGAAGATCAATGACCGCAACGACGAGAAGGTGACGGAACTGTCGCTTTCGTACCTCGAGATCTACAACGAGACCATCCGCGACCTGCTCGTGCCCGGCGGCAGCAAAGCGGGCCTGATGCTGCGCGAGGACTCCAACCAGGCCGTCAGTGTTTCAGGCCTGACAAGCCACCACCCCAAGGACGTCCAGGAGGTCATGGATATAATCGTCAAGGGCAACGAGTACCGCACCGTCTCGCCAACCGAGGCCAATGCGACCTCTTCGCGCTCCCACGCCGTGCTCCAGATCAACGTCGCCCAGAAGGATCGCAATGCCGACGTCAACGAGCCGCATACCATGGCAACACTCAGTATCATCGATCTTGCCGGCAGCGAGCGTGCGAGTGCCACCAAGAACCGCGGCGAGCGCCTGATCGAGGGCGCCAACATCAACAAGTCGCTACTAGCGCTAGGGAGCTGCATCAACGCACTTTGCGACCCGCGCAAGAAGAACCACGTGCCGTACCGCAACAGCAAGCTGACGCGGCTGCTCAAGTTCTCTCTGGGCGGCAACTGCAAGACGGTCATGATTGTCTGCGTCAGCCCGTCGAGTGCGCACTTTGACGAGACGCAGAACACGCTCCGGTACGCCAACCGGGCCAAGAACATCCAGACCAAGGTGACACGCAACGTCTTCAACGTGAACCGCCACGTCAAGGACTTCCTCGTCAAGATCGACGAGCAGATCGCCCTGATCAACGAGCTCAAGGCCCAGCAGAAGGATGCCGAGAAGATCTTCTACGCCAAGTTCCGCAAGCAGCTCGAGAAGCGCGATGGTGTCGCCCGCGAGGGCATCGTGCGCATCCGCGCCGCCTACGAGAATGCGACCCAGGAGCGCCAGGAAAAGATCACCAACATGAAGAAGCTGCGTGCATTTGAGCGCCGCATCGGTCTTCTGTCGGCATGGATTGCCGCGTTCGACCATATATGCGACGCGCACTCTTCTGATCCCGAGGACATCATGCCAGCTAGCCTAGTGGCTATGCGCAGGACCGCCCATGGTATCCTGGCCGAACTGGAGAACAGCCGCCAGCACCTCCACCAGAAGATCGAGAGGTCCAACTGGGAAAGGGGTGTCGACTCTGCTCTGCAGCACAGTATCACCCAGCTTTCGTCGGGCGACGGCAATGTCGACAAGGGCGAGATCTCCACCCTCACCAGGGAGGTGGAGCTGCTCAAGTCCAACTTCATGAGGGAGGCGTACAGGGAGGTGATGGAGCAGGAGAGGGCGGGCGATGCGGCAACCGTGCAGGTCTTGCTGAATGCGCAGTTCGAGATCCTGGCCTCGCTATCCGAGACTTTGGCAATGGGAGAGGAGGAGGCCGTAGCACATGCCAAGGCCATCATCAACCGCCTGCTCGAGGCCGGCTGCTCGGCGGCCTCGCACGTTGTCAAGCCGGACGGCGCCGTCATGCCTGTCGAGATGTTCCCGCCGACAAAGCGCGGCACGCCCAGAAGGAAGAAGGTCTCCAACGTGCACGTCAAGCCCTTGGCTGCCCCTGTCTTTTCCGCATCCACGCTATCAGTAGGGCAGCCAGAGGCGATCGCGTCGCCTACGAAGAGCTCCCCCCGCCGGCGCAAGGCGGCAGTGTCGAAGAAGGGTGTGTCTTTTACGCCATCCAAAAAGAGGGTGTCCACCGCGGCGCGGTCAGTCCGTTGGCGCGACGATGAGACGGAGCAGGGCACCCTGGCCGATTTCGAAAAGACCCCCCAGAAGCTTTTCGAGTCCTCACCAGAGCGCAGCTCGCCCGAGAAGGAGAGGGCCATGCCTCCGATGCCTGCGCTGCCATCATACCTCGCAGAGGATATGAGCATAAGCGCAGATACCAGCAGCATCAGCCTCGCCAACACCACGATGGACGATTCCATTTCCGAGTCCAGCCCATCACTTGCTATCCCACAGCCGTCCAGCTTGTCAGCGAAGCCTAATCGTTTCCAGACGGGCTTCTTGACCAAAGCGCGCGTGTCGTCAATTGGCAGTGTCGGCGGGTCTCCCCGCGCGGCGGGAAACCTGTCGGTTAACTATTCATCGAGCCCAGACTGCGACAGGAGGAAGTCGCCGCTTCGCGCTATCGACGCGGGCAAGGCGGCCAACTCTCTATCTCCGTCGGCCGGCGGTTCTTTTGGATTTAGGAAGTCTAGCAGCCCTCAGCCGCCCTCGAACCTTGGCTCCCTGGACGAGAACACCCCGTTGACGGCCCCGGTCCGCCGTGTCGGCTCTGCGTCGGCATCGACGTCGTCGGGCTCGGACTCGGAGTCGACCATCGACACTAGCAAGCTGCGCGCCGCCATGCATAACGTGAAGCGACGCGACAGGCTGTCCCTGATGGCTGGAGGCCTGCCTGGCCTGGGAGCAGGCTTGGCGGCGTCATCAGGCTCGAGGCGCATCTCGTCTCTGGGCACCACAGGTCACCACCGCGCATCCATGTCGTACTCGGGCCCCGCGCTGGCCAGTTCGACCAACGGCATCTCGCGCCAGCGGTTCCGCCGCAACAGCTCCGACCGACGTGCCAGCGCCGAGCGGCGACGCAGCCCGCCCATCTCATGCTCGCTCCTCGGCGACCTGGGCGCCACTAAGGGAGAGGCGGGCGGGTCGTCCGGGTTCTCGCGCTCCTTCACGCCCGGCCAGGCGAGGCGTATGAACCTGAGCAGCAGCGTGCAGAGGCACCGGGAGGACGTCGGCAGCGCCAACCACGGCGCCAGCCCCGGCGATAAGAACCAGGGCAGATCTAGGAGAATCACCATTGGCACCGCCGGGATGGGATCGCTGGGCGCTAGCAGCGCGCGCAAGGAGGTGGCGCCGAGACCGAGCATTGTATGGCGGTAGAGAGAGCCACAGCCTGTCGGCGGCTGTCGGATGGGATGCATGATGCGCTAACGAACGAGATTGGTTTTGTTTATTGACCTTTGCATGTATTTATTTTGCGGCGGGATTTCCATAGCCCCCCGTTGTCTTCGTCATGTTTCTTGCTCTTGTTCTATTCTTATGTGTCTTTTTTTCTTTCTCAGCCTAGTGGAGTTGGACAAGCCACCGTGTAATGTCTCAACTGCTAGCTGGCTGGCTTTTTCATCATGCCTTGTTGGGCGAGAGCTCGAGGAAGCGAGTCATTCATCTCAGGCGGAGTTTTTTTCTAGTCTCCTTGACGAAATGGCACGAGGTTGGAGCTGATTCTTGTTAGCCCCCCGTTGGTCTGCAATATTTAGGTATCCCTATGCCATGTGCAACTTGCATCCCTTTTCCTCGTCGCGAGCCCAGTCTAGATCCATTTCAACAGAATAGGTATGACGTCAAGGAAGCGCTTCGCTTTGAGGCTCGCCTGGTGCCCTCTAAAAATTGACACGGACCTGAAGTCCCTCTTCTTTCTGCGACAAAGGTCCGCGTTTTTACTTCCCAGCTGGTACCCTCGCAGCCGTCTCAATTTGTGAAAAAAGGTTTAGCGTCAAAGAAGCAGTTGTTTGACCAATAGAAAACGATGTTTGTAAGGTGACATCCGGAGCCGCTACTCAGCCTCGTCAAAGTAGCAGCTGTCTGACCAATAGGGACGGTGCTTGTCAGGTGACATCCAGCTGCCTTGAGAGGTGGGGTCATCCACCTCCAGCTTCTTATCGCCACGTGATTTATCATTTTGCTCCTCTGCTCTAGGGTTTCCCACCCACATCTCCTCCCGCTTTGTCTGGCCCGCCATTTTTTTCGCGGCACGAATTTGACGACGACATCCCCAACGCCTGCTTGACCACCGTTTTTCCCAAGCAACCACCCCTTTAACTCAGATAAAATGGCCAAGCTTTCGTGAGTAGTGCCCCTACCGTTTTGACTACCTCACGCCAGAGCCATCGCCGCCCAGAACGAGAGAATGCCACGCAACCCGCCCGATAAACGACGCCGACAGCGGCCCGCCGAAATTCCCCGCGCACGATCAGGGGAGATGGTGACGGAATGAAGCTTGGGGAGAACAGAGCTGGACAGGAGAGCACTGGCAACGAGGCACGAACGAGGGTCTCTGCGATTGAGCAGGAGGGCCATCCTGGGATTTGATTGCTGTCGAAGTGCTGTTGGAACATCTGTCCTCGGAATTTTTGCTCCACGACAAACGAATTGCGGCGAGCCCGACACGAGCGGACGAGCGTTGCCGGCATTCTCTCGGCACACCACAACTTGGGCGGCACGGCGTTTTTCTTGTCCAACACGTGCGGTTTTGGCTGACCAGTCGCTCCTTTTTCCTCCCACAGTCGTGGTGCCCCTGGTGGCAAGCTCAAGATGACCCTGGGTCTCCCAGTGTACGTTGCCGCTTCCTAAACTCCCGACCGACGCTTCCCGCTCCTGTTCGATCCGATGGCCCTCATCACGACGGCCGGGTGACCTTGGTGAGCGCACAGCTGACGACCCAACAGTGGTGCCATCATGAACTGCGCAGACAACTCGGGCGCGCGCAACTTGTACATCATCTCGGTCAAGGGTATCGGTGCCCGCCTGAACAGGCTGCCGGCCGGCGGTGTCGGCGACATGGTCATGGCGACCGTCAAGAAGGGCAAGCCTGAGCTGAGGAAGAAGGTCCACCCCGCCGTCATCGTCCGCCAGTCCAAGCCCTGGAAGCGCACCGACGGTGTCTTCCTGTACTTTGAGGACAACGCCGGCGTCGTAAGTTTCTCTGCCGCACTCTCGAACGACAATTGCAAGGAGCCTCTGGGCCGTTGTGCTTACCTGTCGCGCCTCGCAGATCGTCAACCCCAAGGGTGAGATGAAGGGCTCTGCCATCACCGGCCCCGTTGGCAAGGAGGCTGCCGAGCTGTGGCCCGTATGTTGGATGCCCCATGGCAATATTGCTTCCCTGCCCTCAGATTGCGCGACTAACACGTCTCCCGCAGCGTATTGCCAGCAACTCCGGTGTCGTCATGTAAATGGGTTTGTTTGTCGAATGGAATTTATAGACGAGCGGGCACCAACCACATTCCGCGGACAGGGAGCGTGGCTGGGTGGGTTGGTCTGGGCAGGAATAAAAGGCGATGTCGCCGGCCCTATGCCGGTCCACGATGACGAGGGAGGAATTAAAGATGGATGGATCTCGGGAAAGGATACCTCGAGACGGGGCCGGGACACTGAACCTCTCTTGCACCACACTTCTTTTTGGGCAGGGCTTTGCATTTCGGCTGGCTGGCGGCGTGTTACGGAAAACTCATTCATACCATTGCCAATGATTTCAAGGACGGTCAAGACCAAGCTCTGGCTGAGAACTGATGATGAAAATGTCAATTGCGCAAAATCGGTACAGGGATTAGAAATGCAACATTTTTACAAGAAACTACTGCGGCCATAGGGGATTATGGATGCGAAGGGAAGTTGGTGGAGAAACGGGGGCACAATATGAAAGAGCGCAAAGAGCAGGAGGAATGGGAGGGAAAACTTGGGAGATGGAAAAAGACAGATGTTGTGACAGGCCGTGGAATAATTGTTTTGGTCACCGTAGTCTACTGCATGCTTTTAATTAGCCGCCTTGCATTCCCTGGTATCACCACAAAGGAGGATCAATACAGGGAAGCGATCCATACTGGGCTACGTACGAACGTATGCAGTGCAGCTGTATGATTTCTCCTTCCACCAAAGCCCGTAAAAGCCCATTGGAGGAAAGTCAACGGATTAATGGGCATAACAAAGGCAATGCATTAAAAGAAGAAATGAAAAGGCGAAAAGACAAACGTGACCGGGGAAAAGGTAGCGGATGAGAAAGTAGGTAGACATTGTAATAGGGGAACAAGTGATTAAACTGCGTCGCGGGAATAGTTCTTTGGTTCAGGAGAGTGACGCGAAGATCTTGCCACATCTGATGCATGATGGTCGTGCTTCAATGAATCACGATTTACAGATAGATCAGGAGCAGGACGTGGGCCTTAGTATTGTCTAGACATTAGAAAAGAAGAAAAGACTAGAATCACTCAAAAAACTTGAAGCTCCAGCCCTTGTTGACATTGTCGCCCGGGACGTTTGCGCGGCTGTAGGCGATCTGGGGCCCCCACCAGACGTAGCTGCCCGTGAACCACTGCCTGTTGTCCCACGAGTAGGGCGTGCCCTTTGGCACGCCGTGGAACACAAACTCCTTGCGGTTCCCGCTGTTGGGGATGGTGCCGTTGCCGACGACGCCGCCGTCGAGCACCCACGTGTGGTGGCCCGGCCCGTCCACCTGCAGCGTCGCGTCCCAGCCCTGCATCATGTCGACCTGGCGCGACCCGAACAGGCAGCCGTTGGACTTGTACCAGTCCCACACGTACGTCGGGTCGCCGCCCTTGCGCAGCCGCAGGTCCGCGATGCAGTACTTGCTCTCCCAGCTGCCGTTGGCCGAGTAGGCGATGTGCAGCTGCCCGTTGGGGTCCACGATGGGCTGCGGCCCTTCGTTGATGAGCGGCCTCCCGGACCCTTGCTCCCATGGCTCGCGCGGCTGCGAGATGATGAAGCGCGCGCCCGTCGACCGCGTGGCCGACGCCATGCGGCAGATGTACAGGTTCTGCTCCACCCCGCCCGTCGTGCTGTCGCGCCAGCCGGACCAGACAAAGTAGCGCTGGCCCTCAAACGTGAAGGGCGCGCCGTCGATGGCCCACTGGTCGTCGGGCAGGGCGACCTTGGTGGCGGGCGTGTAGTCGCCGTAGGGCTCGTCGGCTGCGATGGCGTACATGCGGTGCGCGGCCGACTGGCCGGCCGAGAAGTAGATGTAGGTGCGCCCGTCGTCGTCGCCGACGGCGATCTCGGGGGCCCACACGTCGCCCAGCCCGGCGCTGTCGGCCCACACGCGCTTGCGGTCCACGTCCGACGCGCCCAGGCCGAGGAGGGACTTGGCGCGCCGCACGTGGATGCCGCCGCCGGCCGACTCGGCAGAGTAGTACGTGTCGCCGATCTTCATGATGGTCGGGTCCGCGCCGTTGCGGATCTTGGTCGCGGCCGCGGCCGGCGAGACGAGGAGGGTGAGGAGGGTGGCGGCCAGGGCCAGCAGGGTGACGCCGGCCGAGGGCCGGCGCCGGGAGGAGAAGATGGCGAGCATGGCAGGTTGTGAAAGAGTGTGGTTTGTCTGGGGGGGTGGTAGTAGAGAAAACGAACTGTGTCTGATGATTCCTCCAAGGCCTACGGTAGCGGGAAGAAAACTCCCTTTATTATTGTTTGCTGCAACAAAGAAAGCCCTCGGGTCGGGTCCGGCGTGATTGTTCTCGAAACAAGCTTGCCTCGAGCAGAGAGACGGGGACAACCTCCCTCATTTATCACCAGCACACAAAGCCATTATTGCCGATCTTGGCCATAATATCAACCGGGGAAGCCTGGACTGTGACGTTTCCTGACCGCACGCCGGCCCCCAATCCATTGGTGGAGGAGTCGTTTTTTGCCGTTGCCGGCCTAGCGTCCGGCTCCTCCTAGGTGGCCCTGATGTGTCCCCTCTGTCCCACTCCTCCTCACAGCAGCACCTCCACGCTGAGGAGGAGGAGGATGATGCGAGGTGTCGGCGCAAAGACGGTCACATTGGGCGACGGGCGGAGAGTGGATGGCTGGGCATGGAATCCTGTGGTCGGTTAGGGCTCTTTCGCTGCAGGGGTGGGACGCTGCGGGAAGGACTCGTGGGGGGCTTTGGCGGTTCGTCCAATCGCCAAGTGCGGGAGCTGACGGGAACGGAGAAGAGCACCAGGGCAAAGATCATCCATCCAATGTTGGGAAATGACAGGATCGGCAGGCAAATTCTTAAACCGACAGTGCTCGGACTTGAACATAGACAGACTTGTCCTTCCCGATTCTGCATCGCCGATGGGTGGCGCTATCAAGCCTCGGAAGACCAAAATAGAAACCCCACCGAGTTGCTGCGCCCTGGCAGTCTCCGCCAGCGCTACTGGGGTTTTGTTCCTTCACCTTCGTCAAATCACAGCACCACGAGCGTCACCATCACCGCAAGGAGAAAAGCCAGGCAGACGGCAAGACCTCAATTTCCGATCGGAAGCATCCCCCTTCTAATTCATGCGAGAAAATCAACAAGGAAAAAAGCCCGCCAACTCCTTGCCTCGCTCCGTGCGAGGCCTTGTGGTGCCCGCTTCAAATGCATCATGTCCGGCTGCCTCCGGGCCGGAAACAAAGGGCTAGGCCCAAGAGAATCGAGAGCATCGTGTGTCCGGATGCTATAAAAGGAGGAGAAAAGGGAAGGGTGAGGAAAAAGGGCAGCGGGGAAAAAGAAACAATACAGGATTACAACATGATAGTGACGCTTCGTCCCTCCGTAATGTGACAGAAACGAGAGGAAAAACAACCCCGGTGACCATCCGTTGGGCCACCACCAACAACCCCCAATCTCCCATGCCTTCATCAGGCATCTCGCCATCCAGGACCCAAGTTCGTCTCGTCTACTTGGCTGCAGCACCACTAGAGGCGGGCATGGTCATCTTCTTGCCGGGACCGGGAGCCGGCATCGCCGTAGTGGCGGCGGCGGCAGCGGCGGCGGGCGGAGGAGTTGCGGCGCTCGAAAAGTCCGCTTCGGCCTCTTGAGCCTTGGCCTTCTTGAGGCGCAGCGTCTCCTTGCGCTTGGCCACCGCGCCCTGCATGGAGCCGTTCTTCCAGCGCGCTGTTGTAGTGGAAACGGCCTTGGGTTAGCTAGGGCTTCCGTGAAAGAGCACACCAATGTGGGCAAAGACTTACAGCGCATCGAGTAGCTCATCTTCTCGGACTTGGTCATGGACGCATAGTCCTTCTCTGGCTCGTCCCCGTTGGCTACAGCAGGCGATGCGGCGCGCGAGGCTGTTCCCGAGTCGCCCGAGACGGACGCAGAGGCGAGCGACGCAGACGGCGCGCGGGCAACCATGGACGGCGTTACGTGCTTCATCTTCAGCTCGCGCTGCTTCTTGCCTCCTCTTGGGCCAGGCCCCGGCTGGATTTGATGCAGTTCTTGCATCGCTGGCTGCGCAAACGGCGCTCCCGAAGTTGGCCCCATCTGCATCTGCATCGCCATCGCCATCGTCTGGCCCATATTGGCACCCGCCGTACCGGGCCCCAGCTGGAGAACCCCAAAGGCGCCGTGCTCGGCAGGCGAGTGCGGGTACTGCATGACGTGCTGGTGTCCAAACGAATGAGGACCGGGTCTCTGCTGCGGTGCCAGGTGTGGCTGCATGTGCGGGGGAACGGCTGGGGCCAGGGGCACAGGCTGTGCTGGCGCTGACGAAGGCGGCACTCGCTTGCGACGGCCACGCTTCTTGGGCTCCGGCTCCATGGGCTCGTCTGGCTCGACGCCGTCCTGAATATCCTTAAAATTCCGGCCGCGCTTCGGGCGGAACGAGTAGTTGGAACCCTCAGAAACCGTCTCGTTGGACGATGACGTTGTCGGCCTCGAACCCTCGCCGCTCTGGCCTGGCTTGGCGGCGCCTGAGGATGAAGAGTAAAAGTTGCCAGACGCGATCTCCGCCCTGGGTGGGCGGTTAGCCGGCCGAATCATGTTCGCAAATGGGATCCGCTTGCGCGCCCGCTTGGTCTCTGGCTCGGGCTCGGCCTCGTCGTCGTTGGCCGTCTCCTCCATGGGAGTATCTGCAGAGGCCTGGCCGCGGCGCCTCTTGCGCGTCCGGGGCTCCTCCTCGCCTGCCATTGTCTCTTCGGCAGGTGGGTCCGACGGTGGGTGTTGCTGCGCCCTGGCGCCACGCGGGCGGCGACCGAGCTTAGATGGCTCGGGCAGAGCAGCAGCCGGAGTGTCGTCCTCGCCTTCTTCATTCTCTGGCTCGAAAGAGGCAGAGGCCTCGGCAGCTGGCCTGCGCCCGCGCCGCGTGAGCTTCATCGGCGGTGGGACGGGCGTGCTGGCCCTGCTCTGATTGCGGCTCTCGTCGTCCAGGACGCGTTTCTTGCGAACCCGCTTGGAGTTCAAGATAACCGACTCCTCGGCCTCGGCCTCAGCCGCCTTAAGTGTCTTCGGCCGAGCTCTGGTGCGCGGTTTACTAGCCCCGTCACGTTGATCCAGCGGCTGCTGCTTGCCAATGAGATGCTCTCGGCTGTCGTAGTCGAACCCGTATGCTTGCGCCATGACCTTGTCGTTGGCTCGGGCGTCGGCCTTGACCTGGTCGCCGTCCTTGTCTACCTCCACGACCCATCGCCGCGGATCTAGCGTACGCCTGAGCTGGAACCCTTTGGGGCCCTGTCGGGTGTTGCTGTCGGGGACATCGAGGTCGTAGACTCCTTGGGTCTTGAACCTGTCCAGTGCCTTAGAAATCCTCTCGTCCTCTTTGGGCTCGTCCGCCCGGCGCCTGGGCGCATTGTACTCTGCGTCGATGGTCTTGCGAAGCCCGACGTACTCGTCCTGCCAAGCGAAAAGGGTGTCGTTAATGGTCGCAAGACAGTCGAAGAGGTCCTCGGTGCTCATCGACTTGTAATCTGCGACAGTATCAACAAAGTCGTCTGCCGACCGGATATTCTTGAAGGCCAGCTGCTTGAACTTGCCATCCCGGCCGGCATCGGATGCTGCTTCGCCCTCAAGCACTGCCTTCTGGAGCGTCTGGCCGCCCTTGGAAACGTCTGCTTGGGCATCGTTCGCTGCCGAATCATCAGATGTAGACTCCATGGCAGGAGCCGCGACAGGAGCCCCATTGGTGGCCTGGCTTGTCGAAGGCGCCGATAGCTGAGGTCCCTGTATTTCCGGGTATCGAGTGACTCCAGGGACGTATGGTGTCAGTTTGGTCCAGGGTCGCGAGGCGTCTGTGGCAATCTGCTTTGCTGCCTCCCGCTCTCGCTCTACCACTGCAGGTCTCTTTCTAAGAACGCGATCGGAGAAGGGCTTGGGGGGTGCTGAGGGCTCGGGAACGGCGTCCAGGGTAGCGGACGAGTTCTCTTCGGTCGCAGGTGCGGCCTTGAGCTGAGGCTGAGGAGAAGGTGGCTCGGGTATGGCAGAGTCGACCGGAGTTGCTGGCGTGAAGCGCAACGCGGGTTCATCATCGTCCACGCCGGATGCCATTTTCTGATTTCCTTGATACAAAGTTGGAATCGGAGGAGAGGATGGAGTTGGTGTACGGGCGGGTGTAGGTGCAGTGTCTTCGATCAGTTGCGGTGGAGTGAGCGTGGACTCGACTGTTGGCGTCAGCCCATAGTCAAGTGTGTGTGATTCTGCGTCTTTGGGCTTTGCAAAGACCTCCGGGCTCTTGGATTTTGCCTTTGCAACGTGCGTCTCGGGTGGGGCGTTGCTTTGTTTGCTTGACGGTGCCTCGGGTTGGTCAGCACCACATTGTGCTGGAACTCCATGGGGCTGTTGTCCTGACAAAGCCTTCTCAGTCACATCCTGAGGCTCCACAACTGCCACCACCTTTTCTTGCTCTGATGACTCTGAAACATGGGGTGTTCCAACAGCCTGATCTTTGTTGGACTCTTGCGCAACGGGCTCAGAAACCACATTCGCCATCTCGGCCCGAGATATCTCAGGCGTCCCCTCGGCGTTCTTGTCTACCGCCATTGCGTCAGATGCAGTTTCTGCTGACGGTAAGTCATCCGCCATCTCGATAACAACAGTGCCCTCGGTAGACTTTTTCGTGGGAAGGAGAGAATCTACGGGCTGCTCGACAACCAGAGATTGATGGCGAGCTTGGCCTGCTTCTGCTGACTTCTCTACAGGCTTTCGCTTAGATATCGGCTCTGTGGCGGACTCGTCGGCGAGAATAGACTGTTCAATACTTGACACGCCCACATCCATGGGCGGCATATCCGTCGAATCTTCGGCAGTAGCTTGCTCGGCTGGCTCCTCGGGTAGTCTCTTCTCATCAGTGCTGGTCATCTCGTTCCCTGAACGCTGAGACTGTGCGGAGACTTGCTCTGTCGGTTCTTGGCCTGCGCCCACAGGGAGAGGAGACACAGGATGCTGAGAAATCTGATCAGCAGAGTCTTGCATGGGTTTCGGGGACGGTCCCGAATCTGGATCTGGCTCCAGGTGCTCTCGTGAGGAGTTGTTTGATTTCTTAGCAGGCCTGTCGGCAGCAGGTGAGCTCTGTGCCTCGGTTCTCGACACTGTGGACTTCTCTTCGTCCGGTTCAGCTGCAACTTCTGACATCTCTTTTGATACTTCTTGTCCAGATAATAGGACAATGGCCTCGGCAGGCGCCGTCTTTGCCGCAGAATCAAACAAACACTCCCCACGAGGAGAGATCGATGCGGAGAGCTCGGCGAGCCCATCCGACAAGTCAGAGCTGTCAATAACCTCGCCCAGCGGCTCAGCTGCAGACTCGCCATGAGCATTCTTGATAGTTTCTTTAGACTTGTTTGGCAACTCGTCAACAATAGTTTTGAATCCCTCGATCCCTGGGGCATCTATAGGCGTAGCAACCGGAACCTCTGTCGGCTCTACCGCCGTGGTGGGCTCGGCCGGCGGCTCGGGGGAATCTGGGTGTGACGCCGTTGCCGACGTACGAACATCTTCCAAGGGCTCATCTTTTTGATCGACAATTGTAGGTTCATAAGGTGGGGGAGTTTGTACACCTGCTGATATGGGTTCTGGAGACAGGACGGGCTCGGTCTGAAAGAGCGACTCTGGCTCTTGGGCATCACCATCGGGCGACTCCTCTGGAGGCGCAGTGGAAAGAGGTGACGTCTCATCCTCGACCTCAGACTGGAGCGTTGGGTCAGAGCCGGGGAGCAAAGACTTCAAGAATTGGGAGTTGGTGTGAAGGCGGACGACGAGACTGTTGCCGGCCCTGTCATCGACTATGGCTGCTTGCGAAGTGGTACGACCGGGTGCCTGAGCTCGACGGCCAGCGCCACGAGCTGCCCCCCGCCCTCTTCGGCGTCCCCCGCGGCTTCCCCCACGGCCTCTGTAAGTTTTTACCGGGATCGGTGAGTCTGGCGAGTCTGGCGAGTCTGGCGAGTCCGGAGAGTCTGGTGACTCGGGAGAATTGTCGGAGGATGATGGAGACGGGACGGCGGCACTTTCCTCAGACGGAGACTCGGGCGATTCCTCGTCATCATCGTCATCATCGCCATCGTCATCACCACCACCACCACCACCACCACCACCATCCTCATCATCTTCTTCTTGTTTCCCATTGCCATCATCGCTGTCGGGCTCCGGAGAATTTACCGCGACCTCGATTTCGTCCATGACTTCGGCCTTGACGTGCTTAGGAGAGATCTCGGCCGGCCCAGGAGCCGAGCCGGCGACAGCCCCACGACGCCGGCCAGTGGTAGGGACGGGCGTGTCCTTTGCCTTGCTGGTCAGACGGGGCCTTTTTGTGGCGGTGGGGGTGACGGGCTCCATCTCCCCAAAGGAGCCACCGCGGGCAAGGGTGGTCAGCTTGCGCTTGCGGCCACGTGAGGAGAACGAGATGGCAGGGTCGTTGGCGGCTTCCAACTTGGCGGCTGCAGCCGCCTCGGCGATGGCCTCCTGCATATCTGGCTGGCTGTAGTCGACGCGGGTGCGCCGACGGAGCGAGTGGCCGCCTTTAGAGTGCGCGCCTTCCTCGGCGTCGACGGTTGGCGGCGCGGTCACGTCCATTGCGCTACGACGCCTGCCGCCACGTGCGCTGGCACCACCCCGTGTCGAGGCGGCGGCAGACTGAGACGGAGTCGAGAAGGCCTGAGATTGGGCCAGACCCGAGGCCTTGGGGGGCTTCTCGGAGCGCGATATGCGCGCCGGGGGTGAATTGGGGGGATGCATGGGGGTGACGGCCGCGGCCTTGGACCGACCACCCCTATGAGAGTTACTGGTAGGAGATGCGCGGCCGGCACTGGGAGAGGCCGGGGTGGCTGCAGTCATATGGACTGATGGTGTGGCTGGCGTGGGCGTGGTGTAGTTGCTCACGACGTCAGCAACACCGTCACCAGCGCCGGCACCATCAGCGGCGGCGCCAGCAAGCAGGGCGGCGTTGGTGGCATTCTTGGCGACGGTGTTGTTTGTGCCGGCGTCAGCAGCGTCACCGTGACTGGCACGGGAGGTGGGTGACGACGAGGACGCAGCGGCAGCTGTTGCTGCTACTGCACTGCCTCGCCTGCGGGATCCGCCACGGCCGCCTCGGCCACGGCCTCGGCCACGCTCCATGGCTCACGCTGCTGGTGTCGCTGCCGGCGCGGGCTCGTCGCGCACATTGACGGCGCGGCTGCGAGCCCTGAGAAATACAGCAAGCGATACAAGAGAGCTGGGAAACCCAAGGGGATTAGAAAGACAAGAGCCTGGGCGAGCGGCTCGATGGGGCTGGGTCGCACACGTGTGCTGTGTTGGCTGGATATTCCGCGTGCGAGGTCTGGCTTTGACGGGACGGGAGGGTTTGCTGGGGTCTTGTCTCTGGCCTAGCGTGTCAGGAGACGGAAAAATGCGTGCTGGGCTCTACACGCCCAAAGCGGGAAGTTCTGGGGCTGCCTTCCATGCCAGCGAGCGCGCCCACTGGAGCTGGCGCCGGGACCACCCAGCGCTCCACCGCGGCTGGGGCTGCGACTTACATTGACGATGCGCGATCTGGGTGCATTCAAGTATTCCCGCCTGGTCGCGCAGTGAGTGCCGGGTGTTTGTTTGACACTGGAGAGACGTCGAGTTGGTGTAGGCAGGTGTACACAGCGAAGAATCAATGCAATGCCCACAAAGAAATTTGTCGCACGTTCGTTTACACGCGGCGTGGCACGTAGCCTTGCAGACGGCAGGCAGAAAGGAGGCGAGGAAATAGGGCGGCACAGGGTCAGAAAGATTTTGGCACAGCGCACTCTCACGGCATCAATCATCATCGTCACCCATCCATTCTCAGCTGGCTGCGTGGACCAATCTCCAGCCTTGCCCTGCTTGCTAGACGCTCAATTTTTTCCGCCCCTGCCCTGTGGACGCTCGCTCAATAGGCTTGAATAAGCCACATCCCAGCAGCCCACTGGCGAGAACAAAGAGCAGGTGGGGCCGCGGGCGGGTCTCCATCACATCAAAGCCACATGCGAGGTGTCGTTTTAGGTAGGTGAGCCTAGCACCCAATCAGCTGCCCCGGGCTGTCTAAGCGGCACCCACTCTGGGATCCCGTTCTGGTGACGTTCGTGGTTGGCTGGGCGAGGCGATAGCAAACGTGAACCGCTCGACTGATTGACTTAGCTTATTTCCACGCCGGCACAAACACCACCACCCGACCATATAGCTGCTTCGACACATCAAACAGCTCAATATCCACTTCCAGTAGCTCTCTCTATTCGCTGTAGGCGTCGTCGCCGCCTGCGCGCCTCCTTGTCTGCATTTCTTCCTCGCCCCTTGGCTCCCCTCCCACCCCGCCGCTCCAAGCATGCCTCCCAAGCCACCCGCAAAGCCCAAGGCCCGCGCCACCGACGATGACATCGACGACCTGTTCAAGGACATCGACGACGAAGCTCCAGTGAAGAAGCCCGCCGCCAAGTCCAAGGCTGCGCTCAAGGCGAAGCCCGACGAGGATGACGACGCCGACATCCTCGCCGAGCTCGAGGACCAGCTGGGCGAGGCACCCGCAATCTCCCGCCCCCAGACCCCCCGCGTCAAGGAGAAGCTCGCGAAGCGGCCTGCGTCCGAGAAGGCCGGCTCCGACGATAAGACGTCCACGGCCGCCCGCAAGTCGGTCGACAGCTCCCGCGACTACCACTCGTCCTTCACCCCGAGCGCCTCCAGCTCCGATGTGCATGATGTCGATAAGAGGGACACGGCACCCGCAGCCGCCGCTCCTGCTGCTGCTGGCAGCAGCTGGTGGGGGGGCATTCTGGCCAGCGCGACTGCGACGGCCTCGGCTGCCATGAAGCAAGCCGAGGAGGCTGCGCGCCAGCTCCAACAAAGCGAGGAGGCCAAGAAGTGGGCAACTCAGGTCCAAAGCAATGTTGGCGCCATCCGGGGATTCGTTGGTGAGTGAAGCGGCCTAGCATGCCGGGCTACAATAGCTTGCCGAAAGTAAAGCTAGCTTATGCTAACTGCCCCCCCTCTCCAGGTGAGGAAATTCGACACCGTGCCCTTCCCACCTTCAGCGACATCCTCCACACGCTCGCGCCGCCCATCGCCTCGCACGAGCGCCTTTCGATCCACGTCACACATGACATCGTCGGTTACCCCTCGCTCGACCCTCTCGTCTACTCCGTCTTCTCGCGCGTCATGGCCCAGGTCGAGGGCGGCGACCTGGTGGTCATCCAGCGTGGCCAGGAGAACACGGCCGGCCGGCCACGCTCGAGCTCCCAGCTCTTTGCGTCAAGCGACCCCAGCACATACGGCTGGCGCGACGGCCCCTGGTGGCGTGCCGTCGACTCACCCCGCAACCTGCGCGCCGTCCGCGGCTTGCCCGAGGGCACCAAGCTCTGCCGCGTGTCGGCTGAGGCCTACGCCGACGAGTACTACAGCGCCCACGGCGGCCTCGAGCTCGCCCGCCAGCGCGCCATTCAGCCCGTCTCCGAGGACAACCCGGTCCGCAGCTCGGATCTGTTCCTCGCTCTACAGGCCATCACCATCAAGAGCGATGAGGGCGAGCTCTTTAATGCCTCTACTGCCACCGCCGCCTCTGCCAAGGGCAAGGAGGAGTCCGACGATGACGACGAGGAGTCTGACGAGGACGACGAGAAGGAGGACACGGCAGACAAGGAGCAGATTGTATTTGCCGTCTACGTGCTCGACCCCGTGCATGACATCTCATTCCACGCCGTCAGCCAGGCCGTGCCCGCCGAGTGGCTGCGCTGGATGGACGCGGCGCCCCCGCTGACGCCGGCGAGCAGTGGCGGCGACGACCCAGATGGCGACGCGGCCGGGTTCCTGGGCCGCATACCAGAGGAGATCCGCGACGTGGTCGAGAGCGGCGGCGTCGACCCGCGCGAGTGGGTGGCCGAGTGGCTTGAGGAGCTACTCAACCTCTCGGTCGGTGTCGTCGCCCAGCGCTACGTCGCCCGACGCATGGGTGTCGGCATCGGCGGCCTCGGTAAGGGCAAGAGGAGGACCGAGACGGTCGTGCAGGATGGCGGTGGCGAGGCCGCGCGCGCCGGCCTGATTTGAAGCCGCGGGAAGGAACAAGTGGGAGGGGTGGCCTTCCGCTTTTCTTCCTTTGGTGCCTAGGTAGGTGCTCTGTGACAGTGGAGGGGCGGCGCCGTCTGGTCATATTGTCCTTTTGCCGGGTTGTTGGGGTGTCGGCTGCAACTGCCTCGGCACCGGCTAGTACCAGTGCTGTTGTATCGAGTTTTCTTGGGTGGTTGACTTATTTACTACAATATCACAAACGAAAGCAACTACTGTTCATTGTTAACCAATTTTTGGTTGTCATGGAGCAAGGTAACAATTAGCTACCTAGGTACCTAACTAGGAAGGTAGGAATGACGTCTTATCATGGGAGGTATGAGGCCACAACTGGATCCATTGGCATTTTAACGAGCGACTGCAGGGATCAGTGCCGAGATGAAACTGCCGATACCTACCAAGAGGTACCCAGGGGGAGGCTGGTTCTGCAGACCGAAATGCCCAGCCAGCTGGTTGACGTCTCCGTAGTCAGGACCAGAAACACAAGTCTCTGCGGCTTTTTTGGTCGCAAGCTTTGAATGGAAAAGTACTGGCGCAGAAAGTCTAGAAATAGCCCATCATCAAAGCCCTGGCCTGGCTGGGTGCCGGCAGCTCCGAAGGCTAAGCCTCACTCCCTTTCCTGTTTCCAGTTTGCACTCCCTTCCATTCTCATACCCTGCTGTTAGGTGCCCGAGAAGCTTCTCGGGGGCGTCAAACCCCGCGGGCCGCAGCGCCTCGCCGGGTGTGGTCGCGTCGGAGAAGGTTTAATAAATACGCAACAATTAATTCCTTACTTTGTTAAAGGCAGCCCTTTAAGCTATTAGCATCGGATAAGCAATTTTTAGCTTTTACAGTTAAAAGGAACCCCGTTATCAAATACAACGCTTTGCTTTCCGAAAGCCCCGTGCGTGTTAGCAAGCTTATACTTCGCGCAGTTTTGCCCAACGAATACTAGCGCAAATAGCGCAGGGTTAAGCGCATTTTATTGTTACTAAAATGCGCAGCTTAACGGCTTTTTTAAGCAAAAAATTGGAAGGGAAAAACCTAATAATTGGTAAAGGTATAATAAACGACCAACTGGAGGAAGCCGTCGAGAGTTACCCATGGCTATAATGTGGAGGCAGCCGCAAAGGGGGCAGACTGACACAACGTCACCTCCTCCGGGAACCTCGGGCACGGCCGTGTGACAGCAAGGACGTTTGTTTTACCTGTGGACTAAAATGGAGCAAATCAAATTCGAATATCGGTGCCGGCGCTCCCAACGCCACGCGAATAATGACCGCCTAAGAAACCAGATACAATGAGAACCCCGTGAAAAAGGGAAAGAGCCATAAACGCCAAACACCGAATTCCATCATGCCGAGCTCCCCGCGTCCCTTGCGCCTATCCCTTGACGTCCCGTGCTGCGCTTTATCCGATGTGAATCCCGACTCCCAGCAATATCACACACGTTTACTGTCCGGGCTTCTTGCCAGGGGGAACGATGTTCTCCAGGCCCTGCTTCTTCCAGTCGCTGCTGGGGCCATGGAAAGGGGCCGGCGGAGGCGGGGGCGAAGGCGGAGGGACGGGCTTGCTAATGTCCTGCTTGTCAATGGGCTTCTTCTTCTTCTTGAAAAGATTAGTGAGCCAGTTGCGCCTTTCGAGGTCCGACGCGGAAAACGACGACGAGGCCTCGGCATCAGCCGCGAGCAGCTCGGCAAGGGTGTCCTGGCCGAATGTGGTGGCGGCGGGTCCGGTGGCGGCGACGTTGGTGGAAGGAGGTTCGCCCGTCGGCAAAGCTGCCGCGAAGGAAAGGAGGGGGAGGAGGATGACGAGGCTCTTGAGATGAACCATGTTGGTGGTTTTTGCGGAGGACTTGGGCCGTTTGTTTGGTTCGGGGGTTAGCTGGATGGGTGGTTATGGTGGTGATGGTGATTGTTGTGAGTTTGTGTTGATGATGATGCTTTTTCCAGTCCTTCTTCTCGACGCGCGTCTCTGCTCATCTTTATACATGGTCGACGCATCTTTCGAACGCCTAAAAGATATTACAATGCCAAAAATAAAAAAGGTATTGAGCATGAGAATAGGCATCTTCCATTTGGTTCCTACCTTGGTCGAGCCGTAATAAGCTCGCAAGTTTCGGATTAACGGGAGCCTGAATGGAGCCACAGCCGCCTTTAGGCTGCATCGAATCCAGACTAGGGATTGCGATGCGAGTCCGAGGTTTATTATCATACCTGAGCCAGCTTACTGCTTGGAGGCTGTATCCTGTGGGCCCCCTCTCCTCCAGGGGGCCCACAGAGTACAGCCTTCCTGGTCGGGTGCCGGTATGCAGACCATTTCGGACTTTCGCGCACTCCGAATTCGACATCCATTTCCGGTGCTGGAATCCGGCCTCATGTGGTCGTACTTCGCGGCCGCTTCCGGAATTCTCTCCGCCACTCCTCATAAGCCTTGGATGGTTTCCGCAAGCTGGCGTGCTTAGATAATTTGCTAGATCCATCCCCCAAGCAAGCAGGTGGGTTTAATCGCATTGTCTTCACGAGGCCCCGGTCGACAGCGTTTTTAAAGCCAGGCTTCATCGCTGGATATGATGAAGAGTTATTCTTCCTGCTCCAGACGGGCCCGCGACTCCCTTTCTCCCCAGTGGCTTCCATTCGTTTCGTCGCGGATATCCGATGCGAGCGATAGTGGTTGGCTTAGGGGTGACCCCTGAACCCTCGGCTCATGCCCTACCGGAGTTTGGGAGAGGCAGGACGTAGGGATTGGTTCATTCGTTTCGCTGGAGTTGTGCTCGGTTTCCAGAGTTTTTTTTTGTTTTTTGTTTGACATTCGCACACTCTGTTCGTCAACGCATCGCACCCTAAACTGCGCTAAGGATTACATCTTTCAAAAGCCAGCAGGACAACGGACGCGCGCCCATTCCCACACTCCCTTCTGGCCACGCCCGCGTCGACCTCACACGAATACAAACACAGGCATTCAAGCACATTGTTACCATCACATAAGATCGTGAGCCGTAGTGACGTAAACATGTCGCTGCCACCCATGACCGGAGGGCTCCACCGCGAGGGGTTAGGTTGCGCTGTTCGTAGGGCTGTGTTGCGCTAGAGGCACAAAGTCAAGGTAGGGTTGTGCGGCACGTGTCGGTGCGGTCCACCATATTTGCACTCCGATGGTCTCCGCCATCCGCGTCAACAGACAAACCGTCATTTCCACGTCAACCAGACAGATGGCCATCTTTCCCCACCATGGCGTCGCCAACAACACATCCGCTTGGCCTTCTCGATGAGGCCATCGATGCAATTAGCGCTAACCGACTGCGTGATTTTGTGCGCGAACTATGCACGACTTCGGAGGCAGCCCGCAAACATTTCAGCGACAAGCTGCTGGTCGCACAGGCTCTGCCAGTGATCGATCTGACGACTGAGGATGCGGACAACAAGCCTGCGGAGGGAAGCGCGTCGACGGAGCAAAAGCGAAAGCATACGCGACAGCGCTACGAAGTATGCGAGCAATGCAACGACGAATACGATGTCGAAACCAATGGCCCTACAAGCTGTGTATGGCATGATGGTAGCCAAAGCACCCCTCTCCCTTGTGCCCACTCAACTAGGCGTAGTCTAATTCGTTTTACAGGGGATGCCGACCCCGATTATGACGGCGACTTCTGGGCGGACCACGACGAGCAATGTCATGGTACGATTGACTCTGAGTGGGCGCGAAAAGAATTTCCCGAAGGCTTCATCTGGAACTGCTGTGAGAAGATAGGTGCGGATGCTGAGGGATGCCACACAGGAGCGCATGTACCCGGAGGTAGGAAGAAAGCTAGGAGTCTCCACTAACGAAGCCGTTCACCTGGCCCTAGCAAAATGCGCCGGCTGCTTTCCACGCATGTACTTTAGTTATCTCCTCAAGGGTAGGAATGGCTGCGAGACCAACAGCTCCCAGATTTACATTTTTTCCATGTAAAAACTCGCACCCAAACCTGGGTATGTACTCCTATCAGCGTCCCACCTGCTCTCTACGCGCAGCCACTCAGCGGCACTTCACTTTGCTCGTGTCATGCAGCGCATCGATGATGCCGGGGAAGTTAGCACCAAATGGATCCCTTGCTCCGCTGGAGGCAAAGTCCATTAATATGTCACTTTCGGGCAGTCAAATCGCCACCGGGAAACTCGGCAGCCAACTTGGGTGCCGGAGGCACAGTGTTTCCCGAGTTCTCCTTGTCCCATTCGCAGATCTCCTGCAGCATTTGGGAGCTGCGCCTGAGGGTGTCCCCGATGCGACCTGCCTGGGACCTGGCAGCTCACCACCGGACCATCACAGCTTGGTACAGCCACGAGCAGCCCGCCTCGGCCGCCACCCACCTTCCCAGTTCCGACATAAGATGTGTGTGTCCGGTGTGGGGGTCCCGTCGAATGGTGATCGTTCCAAAGGGAGGACACAAGGGTTGTTTTTATTGCCGTGGATGGTTATGGTTATCCGGCCCCAGTCCTGAATGGACCTCGTCCTAAGGTACCAATTCTGACCGACCAAAATGGGTTGCGCGCTTAGTCCTCCCATCACCCAAAAAAGTAACGGGGTAACGACATCTCCGGTATACACATCGAGGAGGACGAAATAACGTATCTTAACGACGGTATTATCGCCCAGGCGTACGCTCTACGGGCACTCCGCCTTCCGCATTGGGACGTTCAAGGTCTCGACCAGTGCCGGAGGAATGGTGTCAATTGTCGAGCCGCCATCCAACATGGCGTATGTTTTGTGGTCCCTTCCAAGCATAACTCGCACGTACAGGAGATGTGGTTAACATCAACGAGTAGCAACACCTTCCGACCTGTCGTCGATGGGTCATGTTTTACGGCATGGGTGAAAGACGTCATGGACTACCTCGAGCAAGGACCTGATGCCTTGAAGGGCAAGGGGGCGATCGGCAGACGGAACATTAAAAAACGTTCCTTGCGATTCCTGATCATTAACGGCAAGTTACATCGTCTCGAACAAGATGATTCATTCGCCGAAGTCATTGGTGACGAGCGAGTCGAGTCGGTCCTGGTTTGGGCCCATGAGACATTTGGCCATTTCGCCTATACGATCACCATGAATAATTTAAGAGGTCGATTCTGGTGGCCGACGAGGTCGCACGATACACAAAAAAAGGTATGGAGTGTCCAATCTGCCAACGGTGTGGGCCACGTTCGTTCCGACTGCGTCGTGGGAACACCGGGTGGCGCGCGTGGTGCGGCACGTGAGGCTGAAAGGAGGAGTCGGCAAATTCCGCGTCTGGATTCAATGTAAGCCAAATCCGACCTCGTGCATGTCGTGCTAATCATTAGTAGCGGTGCACCCCTAACGATCAGCTCGTACTTGGCTGCTATGATGTAAAGGATCCGTGATGACGTTAAATCAAGCAGACAATTAGGCTTGGTGCCACCACACGAATTGCGAGACACCCTGCAAGCGTGGCGGCGATCGTGCTATGCCAGTCATGGGAGTCGACATTCAGCGAGGACGGGATCCCAAGCCGAGCCAAAGAGTCAACTCGAGACGTGAAGTGGTATAATTACCAACACTTTGCTTTTTCTACCACTTCCACTTCCACGGGGTGTGATTGTGGCTTCGTTAGTGCTCGGTCAGTAGAGCTGGAACATTCTAAAGGCTCGCCCATGTAGGGGGACAGTCGGCGGCCCCGAATGTTCAGAAGGCCACCCCGTTACCTATGTCATAAGAACGGCCCGTTGCCCTCCTTTCTGACTTGTATCAATCCTCCTGGGCACCGCACCACCCTCCCACTGAACTCATTTGCATATCCTTCTGGGGACGGCTATACTGCCACAGACTCTAGCTATTCTACCACAAAATCATCTGTGCACACGTGCGATCACTGCCGCGCACCGTCCCACCAGAAAATTTACATGTATCTAAATGACGAGCGATGTTCTCACATGTTGATCACGTCAATTCATGAAGTCACTAGTTCAATTCCCCGTATTGCACGGTCGTTAGCACGGCCGTTCCTTTTTGCACCGGTTGACAGGCAAATCCAGGCACAAATCCGGCTTAGGCCGGATCCACTAAGGGCCCGCTTTCCTTATTGAGGCCCAACCCCTCAATTTTTTTCCTTCCGCCCCTTTAATTTCTGGAACAAATCCTCAACACCAAAAAAACCGGCGATTTTTATCAATTTGGCTTCATTTTAATCAACAACGTTTTCCTCCCGCAACAATGCTTTCAACAACCTGCATATCCAATTAAAAGGCCGGCCCCGTAGGCCTGGAAAGGGCATGGGCCGGCCAGGGCCGCAAGCGAGGAAGGACTCCCAAGGGGTCACGAACCCCGGCCCTTGCAGCTGATTTAGGGGTGCGCCCTCAGCCCCTAACTCATTTACCGACAATTCCGACTCCTCCCCTACGGGGATTTGACTTTAGTGCCTCCCGCACGTTACCAACGAACACAGTCACGTTGCTGACAGGCATTGATCGACCAGCAAAAGCACAGATCCTCCGCCCAAACTAGCAGAGGTACCTTGACAGTCTGTGGTGCACTGTAACTCCGCTATTCTGTGGTAGAATAGCTAAAGTCTGTGGCAGTATAAACGTCCCCATATTATATTTTATATTTATAATATTAATATATATAAAATTTACGTTAAACGTTATTTATTGACTTATTTTAAAAATGTGTATGCGTTGCATATGCAATGCATATGCATTTTTACTGCCCCTGCCACCTTGGCTGAGCTGTCCCCTCGATTTGAAGTGGCCATAGGATGCACATATGTTGCAAGCAGAAGGGATAGGCACGGTGTGAGGCTATTCCGGTTGATATGCTTTAAGGAGGAAAGGATCTGAAGTGCAGGGTCCCGTAAGGGCCTCTGCCCTTTATATACACGTGACTCCCTGTCCTCCTTGCTTACTAAGCTTCCCTCTTAACGCTTGGAAGCGTTATACGCTTCCAAGCAAAAGGACCGCTTTTCCAATGCTTTAAGCATTTAATATTTATATTTAAAGCTTTTTTACAACAATATATACTATTTACTTTGTAACATACCCTTTAAACGAACCTTTTGGGTTATTTATAAATAAAATAAAAAAAATTGGTTGCTATATTAATAGCGTAGGATTTAAAAGCTTACCGCGCTTTTAAAAGTTAATTGTAAAAACGTATTAATTTCGAAAAGTAACGAAATAAGCGTTTTCCGCTTTTAAAAGGTAACCGTAAAAACGCATTAGCTTCAAAAAATAACGAAGCAAGCGCTTTCCGTTGCTAAAAACAACGAAACAAATATTTTAATTACAAAAAGTAACGAAACAAATGCTTTAGCCATTACCGGAAAAAGGTGGGCGTAGCAATTAAAACTTTTTTTTTTTTATTTTGTTCCGGCTTTCCTTTTTTTTCCTTTTTACCATTATTTCCTTACCAATCCGTAAATCCTTACGCTTTTGTCCTTATTGTTTAAACTTTTGCTAATATAAAAATTTTTGCAAAAGCAAAAGTAAGCAATTGTAAATGCTTTGCGCGGCGGCGTAATATTTTAAAAGCGTTATGCGGTGCTAATAAATTGGCTGGAAAATAAATATTGCCGGTAACAAAGCAATGCGTACAACCGTTTAAAAGCGCGCTAAGCGCAAAGAATTTAACCGGGTTTAAACCCAAAAAAAGTAAATCGTAGCTTTTTGCTTTTTTACCAATTTATTGCTTTTTCGCTAATTTTATTTTATACGCGTATAATACGAATTTGCAAACGGTTATAGTTGCTTTAGCAATTAAAACTAAGCAAACGAAAAAAGCATTATTTAAAAAAAGGAAAAAACTTAACAAGCTAAAAAGGATAAGCAAAAAAAAAATAAGTTTCCCGCGAAGGAAAACAAGCAACGGGATACAAAAAACGCGCGGGAACAACAAGCTGCCCGCAAAAAGGCTTGGAATAACGCCCAAGCGATTAAAGCAATAAAAGCGCATGCATTTGCTAAAAGCGCTAAACGGGTTAAAATTAATCGGGCTCGTTACGCTAAACGGATAAAGGCTTTGCGCCGTTTTTTAACCTAAACCCCAATTAATATTGCCGTAACCATTTTCGAACCTTCGGTTATTTTTGCTACTTTTTATACCTTTCGTTTTAATCCTTAACCTAACCCAATCGGTGCTTTTTAAGCTTTGGTTAAACTAAGCAAAAGTTTCGGGCTTAATTAATTTGTTTATTAAACGATTAAAATTAATTTTAATTCCGATAAATTCGTTAATCGATTTATTTAAAAAAATAACGATAATAACGATAAGCCCGTCGTTTCCCCCAATACCCGGAAGCGCAAAGCGGGTAAAAAAACGAAGGTAAATAATTAAGTTAATTCGTTCCCAACCGTTTTTGCGGGTTTTATGCTAACCATTCCTTTCCTTTCCGTTTTAATCCTTAAAAAAAATGCTATTGGCCTTTTTTTCCAGCAAAACCGTCGATTTTCTTTTAACGGGAACGTTTTAACTAGCTTTTTTAATAATACCATTTCCCGCGCGGTTCCATGCAATAAATGCATTAAAAGCTTTTTAACAAAATTTCGGAACTTTTGCAGCAATAAGCCCATAACGCGCTCCTTTTGGAATGGTTGTATTTTACGGTGTATTTAATATGCTTAAAGCAATTACCGTTGCAACCCTTTCCCTTTTTTGCCCCAATTGCGCATTGCAATTATTTTATTCCAAAAAAAGCTTTTAAATAGCTTTCGCTTTAAAATTAAAAAGTTTAAAAAAATAATAAGCCATTTTTTTAAACCTTACCCGAAACCGGGCAACAAGCAAAAGGATAAAGCCAAAAAAAGGAATAAAAAAGCTTCCCGTTAAAATAATTTTGCCCTTTGTAGCCCGACCTTAAAAAAAAAGGAAAATGGTAATAATAACGAAGGAAATTAAAAAGGTAGCATTAAAACCGCAATAATTTAGGGCTATTCTTTTTATAAAAATGTTTTTATCCATTAAATAATGGGTAAGGGCTAAGGCTAGGATAAAAAGGAAAAATGGACAAAAAAAAGGTACAGCGCTTTTGGAAATTGCACGCGTTATAATTAAATACCGTTTTATTATTTAAAGCCGGCACGCTTTATGCTTATTAATAAAAAAGGAATTTGCGTTATGCTTTTATGCAAACGTTATACGCTTTTAATGTTTGCTTCGAAGTTTTTGGCTGCGTGTTAAATTTGCCGACCCGTTTTTAAAGGAATTGTGCAATTTTAAAATAGCTTTAAATGTTTTAAATTTGTAAAGCGGAAGGTTTTTAATAAGCTCGTTTGCTGGCATAAAGGCGGTTTTAAAATATACCACGTTAAACGTTCCTTTTTGGTACTTTTAGCGTAACCACATGTTTATAATATTTACGTGCTTTAAGGCCGTATTAATGCGGGTGCCCTTTTTAATTACTAATTGGATTGTTTGTATGTTGTTACAATAAAGCTTTTAAAAAGTATTAATTTCCAAACGTAAGTTTCGGAAAAGCCTTTTGTTAAAAGCACGGGCAAAACCGCCCGGCAAAAAGCGGGGAGCGTTAAATGCACGGGCGAAACCGCCCGGCAAAAAAGGAGGAAAGGGGCGCTAGCAGCCAGCCGGGCACGGACCCCCCGGGAATATGCCGGCGAGCTACCGGTATTGCGGCCAAAGCATAATGGCAAAGCTAAAAAATAAGGTAAAGTTTAAATTGCACGAAAGCGCTTGGAGCGCGGAAGATTTAAAGGACCGACCCCGGGTGCTTAAAAGGGCACGAAAAAAGGAAAAGTTAAAAAAAAACAATTTTTGTTAGCGATAGCATTTTTAATAAAAGATTTACGGAAGTTTAATAAAAGAAATACCGCATTCGGCCCGTAACCCGGTAATTACCCGCTTTTGTACCGATTAACCTTTAACATATTGTTCCTTTTTTTATACTTTTTTTATTTAAGGAACAAGCCCGGGTAATTACCGGAAAGGATCGAGCAAGTTTAAAAAGGGCATTTACGATTTTGCACCGTTTATAATAACGCCCGACGCTACGTCGAGCACGTTGGAAAAGGCCGTTAAGCTACCGGAATAAAATACTAAAAAAACCCCGCAAATTTCCGATAATTTCGAAAACCTTTTCGTAAAAAAGCTGCAAAAAATAAACAACGCGCTAAAGGCTTAAAACAAACGCGCCCGTTTAATTTAAAAAATCCAAAATAAAAGGTCGAAGCATGCGCATAAAGGTTTAAACGAAAATAAAAAAAATACCTTTAAGCAACGGAAAGGTTTTACGTAAAATAAAGTTACTTTTAAGCTTTTTATGCTTAAAAAGTTAGCAATTTGGCAAAATATTGCCCATTACATTAGCAATTACGAATTTATTTTCGAAAGCGAAAAGGAACGCTACGGTAAGGACCGTATAAAAGTTTAAATAACTTTTAGCACTTTCGATTATTGTTAGCGGGTATAATGGACAAAATATAAGCAAATGCATTACTTAAATACCGGGGTATTATTTATTTAAGCCGATTTTTCGCGGTAATTTTAAATAAGGTCGAAAAACTTTAATTTGCAAATGTAATTGGCAATTAAAAAATTTGCGGGGAATATCGCTATTAAATAAAAAAATTACAAATTATTTAAAGCGTTCCGGATTCGTTAGGATTTAGTAAAGGATAACCTTTCCGAATTAGCACCCGAATAGATAAGGACGACATTGCTTTTTAACCGGTTCCGCCCCAAAATCCAAAAACGGGTAATATTTAAAAACTTTTTTTATATTATGGAAAAATTGCAAACTAAAGCTTTTAAAGCAAAAATAATATTGGAACCGTATAAAAGGACCCCGGGGGATACAAATGTTTTAGCTTTTAAAAAACCGGTTACTTGCTTTAAGTGCGGGCAATTAAACCATATTGTTGCAATATGCAAAATACGAACGGATAACCCGGAAACCCCGTTAACCCCAGCGACTATACAAAAGGCGAAAAGGAAAAAGCCCGAAGTACGGTGTTACGGGTGTAAGGAATTGGGCCATATCCGGCCGGCGTGCTTTAAAAAAAGCAAAATATCGTTACCCAATTTAATACCGTTATTTAGCCGTTTAAATACCGGGGCTTAAAAGTGCGCCCCGGCGGTTAAAACGCGTTAAAAAACCGAAATGTATTTACGGATTAACGGTTGCCGGGTAAAGTTAAAAGCGTTGGTTAACAATGGAAACAACGTTAATTTGTTGTATAACCGTTTTTTGGTAAAAGCAAAAAAAATACCGGTGCTAAACGGGGGTTATTTGGCGTGGTTCGATATTAAAAAACGCATGCTTACGCTAAAGGTAAAAAAATATAAAATTTAAGTAACGGATAGTTAAAGAATAACCCGAAAATTAATAATGTTTTACGTAATAATGCCCCGGGCCGGGTACGACATTACGTTAAGCATGCTTTGGCTTTAGCAAAAAGATATTAAAATCCGGTTTAAGGATATAAAGTAAAAGTTTTCGGTAATTACTAAAAAGGTTAAAATAATTTCGTTGGAAATAATTAAAGAATTAATTTAATTGGGACAAACGATAGCCGTGCTAACGGTTGCACGCCCGGAAACCTTGGAAAACCCCGGAAAAAGGCTGGAAGCTTTTCCGGAATGGGTTAAAAAGATAGTTGCAAAATATGCGTAACTTTATAAATCGAACCTTTTGTTAAAACATATAGGCTAAAACCACGCGATTAAATTAAAAAAAAAACGATGCCGCTTTACGAAAGCATTTATTTTTTATCCGAAAAGGAATTAAAAACCTTTTAAAAGTATTTCGACGAAGCTATAGCGAAAGGTTAAATCCGGCATTTAATTAGCCCCGCCGGCGCCGGGATTTTGTTCGTTTTAAAAAAGGACGGGAAGCTTTGTTTTTGTATCGATTATCGGGGTTTTAACAAAATTACCAAAAAGAACCGGCTAACATTCCCGTTAATTTACGAAATATTCGACCGGGTATTTAAAAGTTAGTACTTTACTAAATTGGATTTAAAAAACGTTTATTACAAAATACGGATCCGATAAAAAAATAAATGGAAAATTGCTTTTCGTTGCAAATATGGACATTACAAATATTTAATAATGCTTTTTGGTTTAGCCAACGCTTTAATAACGTTTTAAAGCTTTATTAATATAACGTTTGGGGAATTAATTAATAACAATTGCATTATGTATTTAAACGATATTTTTATTTTTTCGAAAATATAGGAAAAGCACCGCGAAGCAATAAAAACGGTACTGGAACGATTTAAACGGTTTAAATTTTACGTTAACCCGGCCAAATACGAATTCGAAACGGATAGTATTAATTTTTTGGGGTTTAAAATAACCAAATTCGGGGTTAAAATTTTGCCGAATAAAGTTATTGCAATTTTAAAATGGAAAATACCGGAAAGCGTTAAGGATATTTAAATGTTTTTGGGCTTTACGGGGTATTATTGGAAATTCGTAAAAGGTTACGCGAAAATTATTGTGCTTTTAACGGATTTTTTTAGCAAAAACACCGTATTTTACTTAAAAAATATTGCGAAAAAGGCTTTTTGCAAATTAAAGTTGCTATTTACGAAAATTTCGGTATTAGTGCATTTTAACCTTTTAAAGCCGTTGTGCGTGCGGACCAACGCTTTAGCTTTTGCGATAAAGGCGATGCTATTGCAATTGTAAAACGGCCGGTAATACCCGGTAATTTATATATCGAAAAAGTTATAATAAAAAAAGTTGCGCTATGCAATTTTTAATTTAAAATTGCTGGCGATCGTAAAAGCTTTCGAAAAGTAACGGCATTACTTGGCTTATTTACAAAAAATTGTTAAAGTAATTACCAACCATTTAAACCATACCCATATTTTAACAAAAAAAAGGTAATAAAGCGCTAAATAAAATAATTTAAAAATTTAGCAAAGTACGATTTTACGATTAAATGGAAGCTAAAATACCGGAACCCCGCGAATGGCTTGTTAAAACGTTTTTAAAATATATTAATGGATAGAAAGGCCGATATGGCAAAGGAAAAATTCCAAAGCAATTTGTTGGCTAAATTTTAAAAGGTAGCTTACGTAAGAACGACCATTACTAAAAAGAATACCAAAACGATATTAAAGCGCATTTTTAAAGTACAAGCAAAGGACGATTTCGTTTAAAGCGGTACTTAAAAAAATAAGCTTAACGTTTGGAAAATTAGCAACGGTTTGTTTAAGCATAAAAAAAAAGTTTGGGTTTTAAATTTAGCACCGTTTAAGCAAATAATGCTTTAAAAACAATACGATAGCCCGACGGGGGGTTACAAAAGCATGGCCAAAATTTTAAAAAAGTTTAAACGGCAATTTAAATGGCCGGGTATGGCTAAGGACGTACGCAAATACGTACGGACGTATTAAATATGCTAGCAAACGAAGCCAAAAATATAAGTATTTTACAAATTGCTAGCATTTTTGCCCGTGCCAAACCGCCCGGGACAAAAGCTATCGATGGATTTTATTGGGAAGTTTTTAACGTTAGTAAATGGAGCCGGCAAAAAGCGCAACGTAATATTGGTAATGGTTAACCGGTTTATTAAATATAGCTTTTTTATTTTAACGTTTACGAAATTAACCAATAAAAAATTGGGGAATTTTTTATTTGTATACGTTTAAAAGTTATTAAAAACGCCCAAAAGGATTATATCGGACCGGAATAAATTATTTACAAGCGGGTTTTGGATAACCTTTGCCGGACATTTAAGGGTTGCAAAAAAGCTATCGATAGCATACCATTTTTAAACCGACGGGCAAACGGAACGGACGAACCAGGCAGTAAAGCATTATTTCCGGTGCTTTTGTTGCGAAAAGCAAAACGATTGGGCGTTATTGTTGCACTTAACAGCGTGGGTGCATAATACGAACGTGCATTTAGGGTCGTAAAAAATCCCGGCGTTTTTGCTAATAAGGTTTTACTTACGAAAGCTTTATAATTTTTGAATGGTTAAAAAAAAACCTTTGGCAACGGTTAAGGTTAGGGCGGGGGCTTTGGAAGCAATTAGGAAGCAAGCTAAAAAATTATTAAAAAAAGCGAATAATATGTACAAAAAGTATTATAATAAAAGCAGGACCCCGGTGCTTTTTAAGGTAAACGATTGGGTATTGCTAAGTACGGCAAACATTAAAATAAAAAGGCCGTTAAAAAAGCTATTGGATAAATGGTTAGGACCTTTTTAAATCCTAAAAATGGTTGGGTTAGCCGGTTTGGCGTTCCGGTTAAAGCTTTCGGTAAATTACCGGATATATAACGTATTTCCGGCAAATTTGTTGCGGGCGTTTAAAAAAAAGCCCGGCGAAAAACCAAAAAATAAAAAACCAAAAATCAAAAAAAAAAAGAATCGTTTTAAAGTAAAGGCTTTGTTGGAATATAAAAGGCCTTTACGAAAACGAAAATACTTAATTAAATAAATAAATTACAACGAATTGGAAAATTTAGTGGATTTTAAAAAGGGATATTACGAAAAAAATTGTTTAAACGTATAAAGCAAACTTATTGGAAACGAGCTTATAGGATAAGGAAAATACCGGATTTTAGCGGGTAAATACCCGGAAAAAACGGGGGTATTATAAAAAAGGAATAATAAAGGCCAAAAGAATGGCCTAAAAAAATGTTTTAACGTACCGAACCGG